TTGACAAGTGCGTGCTCCAACTGTGATTTCAGACTTTGGACCATCTCCTCCTCGTTGAACTTCTCGATAGATGTAGACGATTCGATGCCTCTGATTTGTTGCTGATAAACTGATATCTGCTGTGAAGCTTCACGGTGTATCTGATTTGCACGTATAGCTGACTCCTGCGCGGCCGACTTCTCGCTTGCCATGTAGGATCTCATCACTGCAATTTCCCGCTTCTGCTCCATGATAGTTCCTTCAGCTTGTCTCATCTGTTGCATTATAATATTCGACTCCATGTCTTTCTTTTCCCCGTACTGAAATGCGTTCATTTCCACCTTGCGCATCTGTTGGGCTTCCTCCTCAAACTTGCGCCATGCCTCAGCCATGTGGTGTTGGTGGTGACTCACTAGATGTCCCGACTGTTTGCTGGCAATCTCGCATCGTCTTTCCAGCTCCTGGATCCGGATGGTGCTTCCATAGTCTTCTTGATGAAGATTCGCCATTGCTGCCGACATTTCATCAAGTGTCTTTTGATATTCCCCGATCTCCACCTCCATCTTGTTCTTTTCCTTTATCGCGGCGCGAAACTCCGCACTGGTGGGTGACTTTGACCTCCCACCCTTCGATGTCGATCTCACGCCCTTCTGCGACGTCCGTGGTGTCGCAGGCGAAGATGATGATCTTCTCGGTGGGGATTCTCTTTTCTTCGACTCCTGATGAACATCGATCTGCTTCCATGATCTTGTGGGAGTGGATATGTCGCTGAATAGCGCGGAACCTCCGCTCCCAGGTTCATCCTGTGAATCTGCAACCATATCCATCACCGCAGGAAGAGCCATCAATCCATTGGATCCCTCTGAGCTGCTGTTCCCAAAAGTTGCAGTACTTGGGCTCGCTGAAGATGCCATTGTACTGTGTAGGTTATCGTTCCTTTATTGTCCCTGTACCCGCAATAAACCAGCTGTCTCTCTGTCCAGTGTAGAGCTTGTCGTTACGGCTGATAACCTGTCAAGAGACGGCAAGGTGACGTCCCGTGGGACGCTATGCACCGAACCCTCCAGCTGTAATACCAACCACGTAGAAAGGTGTATACGGACGATGCCGTTATAGCCGAACCCGTGTAAACGTTGTAAGGGGAAGGAATGATAGTTACAACAGTGGTCCTGACAAATGCAGCGCAAGCGAAGTGTTTTCCGCTCTCAATGCCGATCACGTATGAATGCAGCTACACATCAGATCTTGAACCTCAATTGTGTCTTGAGCCAAATGGCAATCAATGGAACTTGGTAAGCAACACTAATACAGACCTCAGAACAGCTTCCCAATTTAGGCACGGGGCCTAGAGGGTTTTAACAAAAACTGACACTCAATTCCCTTGGTCAGGAACGAGCTCTCCCTACAGACACCGCATCGGGGTCCGTCACGGGAACATTCTTCACACAAGTTCTCTTTGAACGAGAAACAATACTCACAAATATCACCTCTGCATCCTTTGCAGTGAAACTCAGCCATGAGGTGATTATTTCCATCACCTACGTATTTACACCTGGGTTTACCAGGGTCGCCAGGGTTCCCACCGGCAGCACTCTTCTTCCCCCCTCCTCCTGGGCTTTGCCGATCTGGAGGAGGAGGTGGTGGAGGATCATCATCAGGAGGGCCAGGTGGAGGTGGCCGCTTATCCGGAGTACGGGACGCGGCACGCCTTCCTCTTGTGCGATCGTTCAATCCACTACTTGATGCCTGGTTCGAGTGCCTTGACTCGAGGGAGTTAATTCTCTGGGCCGTATTACCCAGCACCTCGAGCATTTGCTCGAGCTTACTGTTGAGCGTAGTCGAAACGGCCATGTTATGAGTATTTTGCTTGTCCGTGTAGGATTTGCAGTCCCTTGACTTTATCTCAAGGTTGGCTTGTGTCTCATAAAGTTGGTCTTTAACCCACTTTATGCCGTCCCTATTACTGGTCCAGCATTGTTCGACATCTTGCATCATCCTATTAATCTGACATACCCTAGTGGACAGGTCCTCGATTTTGAGGTTTACTCCACCAATCGCAGGATGGTTGGATTGGCTCTCCACTAGAGATCTCTCGATCGCATCAACACGAGCTATAAGCCCGGTTACTCGATCAGAAAGAGATTCAAAAACAGTTTGAACTTGGGTGATGGAGCGAGCAACATCATCATAGCTGGCTCGCTCATTTAGGGCATCGCCTATGCTTGTCATGCGATTGGAAACGATCTTGACGCGTTGGCCAAGCTCGGTCACGATGTCCTTAGTCCCTTGTGACAGCTGCATGGCCGCGTTCGCAGCCTGCGTACACGTGCTACTCACATGGACGCATTGGTCGTATTTGGCCCTCCACGAGTTAACCTCAGTGGAGAGCTGCTTGATGCATTGATCACTTCTATCATTCCTACGCCCAAGGTCTTCGACCTTAGCAACCAGGCGATGAATGATCGCACTTACCGAAGAGTCCACTCTCCCTCTTTCAAGGGCTGTTACAAGATCAGCAACCTCGTTGGGTTGCTCCTCACTCGCAGGACCAAATCCTGATCCGCGATCTCGAGGAGTGGACAAATCAACCATGATCGGATTAGATCTCGGAGGTGTCCTGAAATCATCTTGTACAGCCGTTGATGGCCGTGGCAATTCGCTCCGATTAGGAGACTGACTCTGATACGGTGCAGATCTTCTGGCATCACGAACCGCTGATGGCTGTGGCATGCCTAGACCCTTTGTCACAAACAATTTGGGAACTACTGGCCTATCAGTCCGCATAGGAACTTCAGGCTTCATATCGGCAATGACAACGTCATGCAAATCAGTTGCATTGGACGCTCTAGACTCAGACATTGATTCAACATCGGTGGCGCTGCCGACGGTGTTGTTATGATTGGAACTTGACGCCATCATGGACTCAGACTCAATCGGAACATCAGCTCCGTCTGTGTTGTCAATGGCGAGAAAGGAAGCCGCATTGGGCGTAGGGCGAACAGTCTGTGCATTCGAGCCACTCGACCTAATAAATTCTTCCTGGAACGCTTCGATCCCATCAAGCACGTTAACCAACGTGTCCGCGTTTAGCGGATCCCTACCGACAATCGACGCTGGATCACCCGAGTGACCACGTCTTGAGCCCCGCACACTGGGGTTTCCCCTGTGTGCGGTCTCTCGATCCATCCTTCTAGCCCTGTGCGAGCCGGCCGAGTCTGACCTAGACCGTTTGCTCGGCGTAGGACTGGGATGCAAATCCAATCTATCTACAATGTTTCGCTCCCTAGGGCTCTCAAATCCTGAAAGCCCTGGGGGAGGGGACATGTTCCTCATGGTCGGGTTTACCGACGGTCTTGGCCTGACGTTACGGCTGGCCACGTCAGGATTGAGATTCTCAATCGACAAAGGTAGCATGAATTCATCGCTTCCAGCAGCCCGTTTTGGGCTTTGGAATTGCGGGAAAGATGACGGGGCGGGTGGCCCTGGCATCCATGCGGCAAAATCCATACCAAAAATGTTTCCGTCGTTGGGCCATGAGGCTCTCCAATCGAGCCCACCGGATTCGGTCGGCAGATGAACGTCAAATGCAATTCCACTGGATGTACCAGGTTCGGGATTACCGAGCGCTTGAAAAACTATGCTACTGGTTGGCACAGGTCTACTGCTACTTCGAGAGTCACGAAAATCGGACTGACCAATATTCATCAGCTCGGGGAAAGATGAGGATTGAGCTCCAGGTACAATACCGGGCTCGTCATCATCACGTCCTGAGACGGAATCATCATGGTCAGGACGATTAGTCCCATGACCCTGAGAGCGATTAGCTCTTGAGGCATTAGACGATAGGTCATCAGTGCGAGTAGCACTGGACCTTCCTGAAGGCATTGCTTCGGAAAAAGTGTGGTCCGACAAAAAGTCAGGACCGGAAAACATCGGCTGTCCGGGCACTTGGTCGTCATTCACAACGTCCAAGATTCCGGCCTGGCCGAGAACCCATTCATCGGTTACCACATGAGGTCCATCCTCAGTGATTCCCGCCATACTATTTACACTACCCTACGATGCCTGCAGGGTTGTTAAAAAGGGGTTCGCGGTGCCAACCGAGGACGAATCCTACGGCTGATAACCTGCGAAAGGGTTTGAAACAGAGTTTCGGGATGGATAAAACAGGCCCTAACCCACCAACAAGAAGAGACCACCTTATCCCCCCGGTCCCAAGGGCAAAGCGGTTGCCCCCGGCCGGCACTAACACGAACCAAAAGGGGTGCCTCGTTTGTAACAAGAAGGAACCAAGCAGCAGCGCAGCAGAGCGCAGGGCAAGCAAGCAAACCAGCGGCAAGCAGCACCAAGCGAGCAGAGCGAGCAATAGCAGCGCACTCCAACCAAAACCCGACCCACCTCCGGGACCAAGACCACCGCACCAGGGACAGCGGCCGCGCAAACACGAGGCCGATGTCGAGGCGCGCCGCGGCTCTTTCCGACGAGATGGCGAGCGAGGTTGCCGAGTGAAAAGCTTGAGCCAAGTGCCGCGTTGGGCATTGGCATGAAATTAAACATGTTGCGATAAAAGTACATGCCCCCAAAAACAAACATAAAAGGGCGGGCTTTCACGTTTGGAATCTCACCGCATTTTCAACCTAAGGGTGAAGCAGGGTGGGGCCAAGTCCATTTCAAGCACGACGGGTGCGACTTCTCAACCGCGGGAATCAGCCAAAGTGCCAACAAGGAATTGCAGCACTCCAAACCCACTTATCTACACCTGCCGTTCTGTACACAGCTTGGCAGGACCTGTCTGACCTAAAGAGACTACCTCACGTGACTTGAGAGTGAGTAGTGACTGCTGGTTAGTGGGTTGTGGCTGGCCGGTGGTTGGTTGTTGGGTGGTGGGTGGTGCGTGGCTAGCGGGTCCGGGCCGGGTGGTCAGTGGGTGCATCCGGGCCTCTAAATTTATGAGCTTCGTGTGGCTACCGTGACTGCACTCTCCAAAGGAGGGCCTCCAGTTTCACACTCAGCGCCCAGACTCCTCATCGTCCACGCAATACTCCCCAAGGAGGTCCCACAGCTTCTCCGGCGCGCACCCTGAGGCAAAGGCAAACCGCTCTTCTCTTGGCCAACCTTGCTGCAAGTCGACTTGCCGGGAAAAGGTTCCAAGGAAAAATGCTCAACCTCCCTTGTAATTTCCTCTGGTGGCATTCAAAGATCAGTCAAATGATTCGGCACCCAGTCTCAACTTGGCCGAATCTCACCAAGGGCTCCCGGCCGAAGCGGATGTACAAGAAACCGCAGCACCGGATGTACGGCCAATCCTGCACAGGGCTTCAAACAGAGGGTCCGGCAATGTGCTTCAAGATGATGGAGCTAAACCAATGGCTTGTACAACAATGCGAAAAATACCCATCCGGTGCAAGATTGACAAACAATGGGAATTTCATGTCTGGTCGCAGCGTGCGTCCCAAAGAAAGCTTGTTTCCGTGTGGCTTCCCTTTGACCAAAAGGCGCTTCCCCCAAAAAGATACGCCCATATTGTAATTTCCCTCCCAAACATGGCGTGGTGCACAAGAACCCGCCCTCTCCAAGAGAAACATTGTCTCAAAGGGGCCGAGAACAGTCATGAAACATAAAACAATCGGGGAGCACCAATCACCACAAGATATCTCAAAGGAAGTGGAGGCCTCAGAACATGGCTGGGTGTGGGGGGGGGGGGGGGTGGGTGAAAATATATTATGGATCCCACTCCTGGCAACATGTGATCGATCAAGCCTCTTGCTTTGGAATGTGAATGCACATGGCGCCCTTTAGGTCAATGGCCACAAAGTTGACTAAATAATATTACAGGTTCATGATTTATGGCATCCATTGCGTAGTTCCTTTGCGCAAATGGGTTGAAAGGGTTCCGACTCACAAACCTTTCACGCCATTCGCATCTTCAAGATTCAGCCTTGGACTCGCAAAGCAGGTTCAGCTCGTCATAGGACAGGCCTCGACGGTGGAAAACACGCTGCTCTACTGTCAAGCATCAGAGGCTTTTTGGCTGGTTTGAGAGGGGACAAACCACAAAAACCCTAGAATTCTCCGGGATACCCATATGCGTGGAATGGGGGTCCGAAAAAGCGGCTGATCTCCATAACCGCCGAGTGTCATACAAATTGCCACTCCAACAAAGGCAACTATTTCTGAGCTCTTGCAGGAAGTCTCGCCTCGCACAACTTGGAACCATGACGGTCATGTTCTTTCCAGTGTAACAAATAGCAAGGGTCGAACCAAAACACGCGTATGACAAAACACTTGATGAATGTAGATCAACTTTCAGGTTGGTTTCTCTCTCTCTCTCTCTCTCTCTCTCTTTTTGGCACATTCCGCAAAAAGGGCCAGGGCTGCTGCTTCTCGAAACCTCTCCCATCCAGCTCCCTGACTAGTTTGTCAGATTATGCCTGAGGACTGTTTCTCTTGAGCGCCTGTTTCGTTCATCCCCCCCCAGTTGCCACTCCCTTGCAGACTAACCTGGAACCCAGCAAACTCCCGTTTGTAGAGGAACCTCCTCTTTGGGATGGGTCACACTGTGTGCATGTCTGGGCGGGCCCACCAATGGTGAAGAGCCGGTAGAGGCAGCAGAAAAGGCTGGAAGGTACCGTCCTCGAATCTCGCATCAACTTGGAGTCCCCACTGGAATTCACGTGAAAGGAATCAAAGAACACTTCATGGGGGAGGTTGCAAGCCCCCAAAAACGGTCACAATAAAAATTGCCGATGACTTTGCGCAAACTCATCACATTAGAATTGAGAAACGTGGCTTACTCTCTACAATAATCCAATGTTGTTGGGGTGCACAATGGGATATTTGGACTCATGTATTAACATACTCTTCAACAGTGCCTGCTAACCACAAGCCACACAAACATACCGCAATGCAACCAGTGGAGATGTTTTTGCCCAAGGATCCTCATGATGTTTGCTTCAAATGGATGGCTCCGAAGACAGTAACCCATAAAAAGGACACAAACTGACCTCCCAGGATGGCTCCCCCTTGCAGGGACCTCAACAAGTATCTGTTTTCGCGGAGCCCTGGGGTCTCGAGGGAGGGGGGGAGCTCAAATACGGCCACTGAATAAGAGCCCTCCTCGCAGGCATCATGATTGTTTCTTCAGTGGTTGGTTCATTTTGACTCTCAATCAAACCCGTGCAAAGCACAAACGCTGACCTGGTGTCCCACTAGAGGTCTCGTACCCTTGTGTTTCCGCGGGTGTACGTGTAGCATCATCTTTCAAAGGCTACATGACAAACACATTTAGGAACCAATAATTCTGGCTTAAGTATTGGGTGCATATATGGATGTATACAATCCTTGGTTTCATATTCAACAGAAACAAGGGTGTTCCACTTCTCCAACTGATATCGGACGCTACTGACTGGCCCCTTGATCCCTTGCTAAAAGTTGAACTTTAGTGGGATATGTTACAAACCCAACTCTAGAAATCTTGAGGTCCAAGGCCATTGCCGGGCACCGACAAGGGCACCAACCGTTGATCCAGAGTCGGACCCCTTTGACTCTTTCTCGGACTCTCAGGGCGCTGCGTTGAACCTCCCCCGTAGGTCTCGGCGGTCTCAACGTACTGGTACATTTCCTGTGGCACGCCGCCCATTCCATCTCTTTCTTACCAAGGTAATGTTCAACCCCTGAGTGTACCCAAATCGAAAGTCGATCAGCTCACCACTGGTTTCCAATGTTTCACTGCCGCTTTTGGTCCGGAGAGGAAAAATGAGGCTCGGAAAGTCTTACCATCCATTTGGGTGAGTGCTTTTTTTAGGGGACCGAAGGGTACGGACATCAACAAAACGCAGCCATGTGCAGCCCAGCTTCATCCATGATGCCTTCAAAGGTATCGATCTTCACCAGCCTGAATCGGGTGATCGGGCCAGACTCATGGCTCCCTGCGAGGATTAGCCAAGCTATGGATTGGCTGCGCAAAAATGTTCTGTCTTTCATCTGGATCCTAACCCCGGAAGTCATTGAGCATGCCGGCAATAAAAGCAAATAGAAATTAAGTGCAAGCAGATCTGTCCACTTCCTTTTTCTCAAGACTGCTCAATTTGTGAAGAAGGGGTGGATGTGCAGAGTTCAAAGGGCTGCTGGTTTCGAAGATCAAGTTGTGAAACCAACAGTTTTTGTCAAATCCGGAGTGGGGGTGCAAAGAAAAACAGGATGGTTGATGCAAAACTGGCGTTGTGGTCAGCATGTCCCAGTGGTCCCCAGGTCCCTCGCCGTCAAGCTGTTGGGTTTCCCAGCCCTCTAATTAGTGGTTCTAATTGGTGGTTTGGAGCCCGGTGGTTTGGTCGTTGAGTGGTTTGCCATGTACCCACAAGAACCGGCAAAGGGTTTCCTAACTTTCCACCCGCGAGCGCTTGCCGTTTACACCTGCAAGACCGGATTGGTTTCAGACCCGACTATTCTTCTGGGGCTTTGAGGGTACTTGAAGCCCTCGAGCCATCGAAACCTGGTATTCAAGTGGTCTGCCCCAAAACATGTAAAGAATCAACAGCGGCTGCCAACACCTGTGGCTGTGGCTTCGATTGGGGCTTTGGTATTGGCTGTCTTGGGGGTATGTGTTTGAGTGTGCCCTTTTTTGGGGGTTGGTTTAAAGGTAGACCAACAGGAAATTCCAACCAAATCTTTGTGGCCCGACACCATTCTGATGAGCCGTTCCCTTTTTGCACTCAACTGAGCCAGGTTGCGTCTTGAAGTAGGTATTCTTCAAGATCTGGTCTCGCAGCCTTGGACGTCAGCTCAAGCCATGGGAGGAGATGGAGGCTCAGAGGAAACACATCGAGCTCCCCTTCCACAAGGGCTTAATATGACTTAATCCCCTGATAACCCCCGGCTTGATGGAAATATTGTTGAATGGACATATGGCGGGTGTCCTTTTGTCGACGTTGGGAACATGTTTGGCATCCACGAGGAATCTTGCGGTACGTCCATTCGTTTTCGTCGTTCCTTTCGAGACAACCTTTCTGCAAACGGAACAAGCACACCAAACACAATTTCCCCTACAAACAAGTTGCTACCCCCATCGCAAACTTTGGTATATTATAACCACTTAACAAGCAATCACTGCAGAGTGCTTAATGTATATCAACTTGTTCATACCATTTCCCTTGGTCATGGACTGCGGGTGGTACATAATTGTGGCAATGATGCTTTCTGTCATACAGTGAGCCATCCCCATGTCTGCTTCACTATAAAGAGGCTTCACTTATCACAAGTGGCACTGAAGCCCCATGTTCGTACCATGAGGTCTTGCTTCCTGAGTGAATTGGCCCAGAGTTCAAATTGCTTGTTCACCATGGTCCGCAAGTGACTCAAGCCCCGAGTTCGGGTGAGCAGTGGAAACCCCAAAAAGGCATGTCGAACAAAAAGAGTCGGCCCTGGGCTCGGCGCATAGAATTGAAGTTGTAGGTCTGCTTGTTGGTGATTTCGAACGCCTCCGCCCCGCGCATTCGGACCTTAGGACTCGTTTGGAGCTGTGAAGAGGCTCGGTGCCACACCCCTTCAAGCATGCGAGAAGAACACGCATACGTGATTTAATGTTTCCGTTGAAGGGGCAGTGGCTTGTTGACACAGATTCTGCACAATCCTGAAAGTCAAACTTGAGCCCCTGACTCGTGGACTTGTTTCTCTACCAAGATGGATTTAGAGTTTTTGCAGCCTTCATGATTCCGATTTAATCAGTAGAACCCCCTACTAAAAATCGCAGCGTGCGTTGGCCGTTGCGACCAATCGGAGCCCAAACCCCCGCTGGAGGCTGGACACCACATAAAAGCCAACCATCTTAGAATCTTTGCGACGCCGCAAATTCCTTGAGCAACCCTCCCGGTTCCCCAGCCAGGTGAAGGGCCTACCCACTTGTTTGGGGACACCGAGAGTTGGAACCAACAAACAATAAATGCGAGCTAAGCTGTTGCACCTATCCCCAGCTCCGGAGATTTGGTCGCCTGCAATAAAAGAACCCAAACTGCAAATGTTTTGAGGTTGCTTGGAAGGATAAAACGAAACAGACACACCGTGCACTTGTATTGATTTGGGGAGGACTCCGTCACAACATCCTAAAACGATCTCGCAGGACATCCCCCTTTCTTTGACTGGTTGATTTGGGTGTCAAAACTAGGTGGACCCGAAAATTGTGGTGTTCCTTTAAAATTTCGCAACACCCCATCTGAAGGTCGGAGCAACAAGGAGCTGAAGCTATTGGCCTTCGGACCATTGACCTATGACAGGAGCCTGTTCGTGCAAAGCCCTCTGCCCTCTGGGTGCCCTTATGTTGAACCCATGGGTAGAAAACTACAACTCACAGAACTTGCTCTAAGCAGTCCAAAAGTCAGGTACCTTCATCGAATCGGAAAGCTCTTTATAATCTGCGCTGATAAACCTCCCTAAGAAAACTAACCCCAAAAAGGGCACCGAGCCTCAAAGAATGACATGCCCATTTAGCCCCATCAGTATTTATTTGTGTGTGAGTTTCAACTATGAACCGTTTGGTGGACATCATTTTCATGGGTTAAACCACCATTTTCGAGAGGGGTTTCTAATTAGAATCACAGCCACTCCCTTTGAAGATACACCGTGTCTCTTAGGTCGCTGCTCCGAGAGCTTCGTCCTCCTTCTTCTCCGATTTCTTATCATCCTGTCAAAGACTTTGGTGTGAAGCTTGATTGATCCTTTGGGGAGCATCATTTCAAGTAAGGATTCATGTCTACCACCCATGCTTGTGGGTGTCTCCATTGAAAACATGAAACACATGGACACTTTTGGTTTGGCCCCTCAAAAATGGATGTATTTCTGCCCCTTTCCCTTTCCTTGAATTGCCTTGGAGCAGTCAAACTACCCCGGCCCCTTGGGCCGACTAAGGTCCATTGTGATCCTGAGGCTCCCGTTTGCTTTCACACACACCCTCACTGCTGCCACTTTTCCTAGATCAGCATCACGCGTGCGAAACCTTACATATTCATCAGATCAAGTTTCCTTTTGGTTGCCACGCAGAGCTGTCCTGAAACTACCCCTGAATGGTGGTTTTCAAGGAAAACCGCCGACAAAAGTAGTTCTGCCATGTTGTGCGAACCCCTCAAAACGTGCACTTCCCAAACACCCAGCGGCCTTGGGAAAAAACAAGCACACCTTTGTTGGCAGCTTATTCTTAAGGGAAAGCCCCTCGAAAGCAAAGAACAACAGCACTGGATGTCTGGGGCTTTAAGGGCCCCACAGTCCCGGAGAGACCAAACCTTGGAGGTGCCGACTTTCTGCCTTCTTCTGCGCGGGATCTATGGCCGAGTAGTACACCTCATGGCCGACTTTCTGTGCCGCTGGTGGCGGCTGGCGCAGGAATTGGCTGAAGTGCGACCGACGACCTGCTCCGCAGACTAGCACTGAAGATACAACAGGAGCCATCCTGTCTGAAAGGAATGCGACCCTTTTCGGGTCCTTTCTCCTAATTGCCGGGGATGGTAGTGTCCTTCCCCTTGATAAGCAGCGCCAGCCAGTTTGAGTAGTGCAGTCATCGCTCTATGCAAACACAACATCCCTTTGTTGCGTGGGTTCTTCCACTTGGAAACCTTCGTAGGAAGCAACTTATGAAATGGAGAAAACAATCCAGACGACAAAACATCTTCCCGCTTGCTATCTTTTTTCTAGTTGGTTTCTGCAAAGGCGGCGATCTTCCAGCCAAACCCTGCGTCTCACTTGCCCAAACGGCCCAAATCTGCATCGAGTCCAGCCAAGCGCTCGCCAAAGAAAGGAGCTGCACCGACACTTGCTGCTTGGGTTCCGAATTCTTCCCAGAGTTCCCTCAAGACACATGAGGGGCTCAAGAACTCTGGGGTGGTGGGATACTGTGAATCCATCATTTAATCATGATACGAGCAAATCTTGGTGATTGTTTGGCCCTACACTGAGGTCTCATCTGACAGGTACAAACCAAGGATTGGCTTTTGACACCCTTTTGCCACCACAGCCTACCAGGAGTAAGTTTGATCCTGGATCAATAAACCCCTGGTCGACTGACATGGTCATGGGAGTGCTCCATTTACGCGGGGTCCCGAGCACTTTGGGCAGAGTTGCAGCTCCTGATTCATCCGCGAGGTTCACTAAGTTCCCAGTGACCTCACATTTCCGGCAAAATCATAACCCCATTTTGGGATTGATTCCATCCTGGGTCCCGAACCGGGAAAATGGGGGGCACTGAAACCGGAAAAACAACGCGCTGGGCTGTGGGCTCTTCGGCAAATCCTGCAGTTCAGCTGGGGCTTCCGGTGGAAGTGGCAGCCTCAAACGGTTTCGCAGTCCGCTGCTTGAGGCACCGACCACTCCCACAGAAGGCACCTGGGTACCAGAAAGATCAATCCCCTAAGGGACCCGCAGTCAGGTGCAACTGTTGGGTGGGAGGGCATTGACTCAATGCACGTCTGCTTTTTGTTGGTACAGTTGACCAAGTTTCAATAATGGCAACTCAAGTCTGGCCACGGCAGCCCCTGAGAACGCCACGAATCGGCTCGCTATCCTGCAGGTGAGAAGAAGGAAAGCCGCATTCAAGCGAAACTGCCGGGGTGGCTTTTCTGTTCAGTAGCGAGGCATGACAGGTCCAACAGGCAAAAGGCCGGGAACTTGGGTCGCAAAGACTCATTCGTCGCCTGGATGGGGACCTTCGGATGGTGTTCCAGGTGTTCTGACAGTTCCTTGCGGGGCTGTGGAAACTGCAATTGGGTAACTGTGACAAGCCGCCGGCGCGAAAAACAAGGCACCCCCAAGAAAGGAACCTTCACGGGTGAGGGAACACACCCTCTTCACGAGGTTGCAATCATTTTCTGAGGTACAATCGATTTCCAAGCCAAAGCTAAGTTATGAAGGCTGCTGCCGCTAACGCGGGAGAAACTCACCTTCCATGTCGGTGATCGGTGCGTTCAAACAAGAATGTCCTCACCAGTCATGACAGTTTCTCTCAAAATCGGCAGGTTCTATTTGCCGATATTTGCCGTGCTGTTTGACTTCCGTCCGCGAGCAGACCATCTGAACAGAAGCACAGCTTCCCCTCCCACCGAGTCTAAGGAAAGGAGGTTTGGAGCATCTCCCAGTTGGTCAGTGACCTTTTTGCGGTTGACCATCTGTAGTGGGGGAGCCACCAAACAAAAAGGGAAAAAGAGTGCTGCTGAACAACTGGAATTATCTCTTCGAGTGACCTTCTGGTGGGTAGGCATTTCCCGATGGTCATGGCGGTTGTGGCGGATGCGAGACAACCTGACACACAGGGCTGCACTGGCCTCCGACTGCTGAATGCTTGGGCTGAACATGGACCTTGACTGCTACCCGCATATAAGAGAACCTTGCTCTTTTGCGGGTTCACTGACAATGAATTCGCTGGAATAGCTGCCATTACACGAATCTGCAAGTTCTAGAATCTCTGTGAGCTCGCCAGTTAGGAAAATACGCAGCTAGCCTTAGGCGGCAACATTGCCTGTTCTGGCATGCTGAGCGTGCGCCTCTAAGGACACCGAGAGTTGGCTTTGACATTGCTTCAGTTCGGATGCAGAAAACCAGGATTGTTCCCCCGAATACTAGTGGGGACCCTTTCAAACAGAGAGATACTTACATAATAACCCACAGTACCAACATCTTTTAACCCCCAAAAGGAAACTCACTTTAGGATGGTAACCGATAAGAGAAACGTGGGGATTATCTTAAAATACACGGTGGCTTCCCTTTCGGCTTCCCTTTAAATCCAGCCCAAAAAAAGCGCCTCCTCCGGAGGCTTCTCTTCCACCCGTTCCTCGCCTCAAATCAGCAGCGCTGGTCCATTCAATCCGGGTCTTTTTCAAAATGGTTTACTCATTTGTGTTGGCATTCAAAAGGACGCCAAAAGGAAACCGGAATGCCATTCATAGGGGACGCTATTTTCAGACATACCCGATTCTAGGACTGTATGTGACAAATTATGGGTCCAACCAGTGTACTTTATCCCCGAAAGTTTTGGTGTCTGTGAACTGGAACTATTCACCAGCCTGAAACAAGAAGCCCAGGAAGTTCACAGTTGCAGCCAGCTCGTGTTTTCAGGCCAAACTGGATAATCAAGTCTTAAGCCTTTCACACCCAGCGCTTTCACTTATCACACAAGTAAGTGACCAAAGAAACTATCGTGTATAAACTATAAACACCATAGTTACCTATATAGTAGTAGACTGAAGCAGGGTTAAACAAAGCAACACATTCTTGTTGATTGAGGCACAGCAACCAGGGTGACTTCGCGCTTGGACTCCTATCCTGGAACCTGAGTGACAGTCAGGAGGGCCCTTCCCAAACCGCTGCCGCGGTTGCATTTGAGTGGGAATGAGCGGCCTTTGTTCAATGAGGAGGTGCTTGAAGTCAACTGCTTTCCCGCTTACTTGCGGGAATAAACCTGGATGAAAATCGGCAAAGCATCACGCAACCAATCCGATTTGTCGTGTGCTTAAGGGCTGCCGCAAACAGAACACTGCTTTCTCCGGGCTCGTATCTCATCAAACCCTTCCTAGGCAAGGCACATTTGATTGCGCTGCAGTGTCTTGCTCACATCCCAACACACTTTGTTCTTTGTTTGCATCACCTGTTTGCAGAACTGTGTGCGTGCTGTTGCAGAAGACTACTTGAAGGCGCCTTGTACTTCCGCGTGCTTGGCGAACGTGAGAGTGTGCTTTTGGCGGCACCCTGCTTGGGGTTGCTTTTAAGGACGGCCGAAGGGATACTCGCATAGTTGAAGCTCCGGATTTCTCTTCGGCACGCCTAAGCCACTGGCCCCATGCGAGTCGGGATCTCGTTTTGACAGAGGCACAGCATTGGAGTTGTTTGGTCTGCGTATGAACCATCTCTCACGGAACATGCGAAACCAGAATCATTTCAAAAGCCGCAGGAAAGATCACAGGTATCCCAAGCACCCAGTGACCCTGGAAAAGGGGAGCCTGGAGTCATGGGCAGTCCATTCCTTGGGCTGCAGCGGGGCTCGGCCTTGGAAGCGGAACATGAGGCTATGCAAGGGCCACAGCACTTCTTCTTTGGACAGCCAAAAAACTCGACAGCAAACTTGAAGGAGGTGATAACACCTGCTTTTGGCCCAAGTAGAAACATGTGCTAATCTGGCATCCCACAAGGAGATTCCCAAAGACCTCCCGAGAGACGTCAGACTCTCCCGCAACGCCCCGAAACCAAAGCCCCAAAGTCACAAGCACCCTTCACCATCAAAGCAGGCCCAAACATCCCCCGAAAAAAACAAAGAAGAAAACATCGGGCCCCGCAATTTCCAAATCCCACAAACCATTCTCAAGACGTCGGACATTTCCAATCCTAGCCCTCAAGCCACGACAAATACTCGTGAACTCGCAAGAACAATCCACCCGAAACGTCCCCACGCCCCCAGACTGGGTTCTGGTTCGTTTCCTGTTCGAACCCCGGGAAGCAGCAGCAAGCCTCCAAAAAAGACGCCCGCATGGGCCATCGATGGAAGGTATGCTCTAGGCAACTGACAACTGATCATATGAGGGGTAAAAGCTGCTGAATTAGCCATTGGCGGTTGAAGGGTGATTCAGCTTATCTGGCCCATAGAGCAGAAAACCATGAAGATATCGCACCCCAGCCTCTCGAAAAGTGTCTGCTGGCCTGACGCTGGGATTCAATCCAGCCGCAGTCCAACTTTTTGGGGTCAGCACAACCCGGCAACCCAAAGGGGTACACTACAGATGTCCTTATTCCCGTGCCATGGGGGAACATTTTTTTGGCCTATCTATCACAGGTTGCAGGTTTCTCAAATAGTTACCTAGAACAAGAAACATGTGTGTGCATACCCGCTTTCGAGTGAGCCCCAAAACATGTTTTTTTCTGGGACCCCAATGTCTCTCCCAAATTGATCTTCTGGTATTTCAACCGAACCTTGCAGTCACTTTCTGAATTAACAACGAATCTGAACTTCTCCGTACCGGACATGATTACCCCACTTGAAAAGACCAAGCATCTGGGTGTATCCAATCATATTGTGGATGGTCAAAATCCTGAACCAGGTGGAATGGATAAAGCCCTATGAAAACTGAAGTACCTGCCAACTGGCGCAGGAATTTGTCGATCCAGAGGGCATAAAGGAACCTTCTTGGGCATCCCCCCTCCTTTGTGAGACCGCAAGCCAAGAATCCAGGATGCCTTCCACCACCCACGCCGGTTGAAATCCCCAAACCTGGCCTTGGTTGTGGTTTGGGGGCAATGGGAACCCAGGATCAAGCAGAACCCCCGCTTAACTTTGGTCGGATGGCCTAAAACGCGTAGATCCTCACCTTTTGATGAGTTGCACCTCCTTTAGGGTCCACCAGGTCGATTTCCCTCGACGCGCCTGCGCCTCGGGGCCTCAGGCGCGAGCAAGCGACTGGGGAAAAAGAAAACGCCTGATATCGCCTGATCAAGGGGTTTTAAGGCAACAGGTTGTTTTGGGTTGTTGTATTGTTATTCAAGGGACACCGTGGGACGAACCACAGGTCTGGTCTTCAAAGGCCGACATCTCCAGCACCGATCAAAATGCGTGTCATGGGGACACCAGAAGGCTTCAAGAGATTGTTTTGATCGATGTTCTCCGCTTGGTTTGCCCTTCGCCTTTCACAGGCGAGCAAAGTAGCAGACTTTTTCGATTTGTGCTACTCCTGCACTGGGGAACTCATCCCCCCCCACCTTCGTGGCAATTTAAGGATCGAACCTGGTCATCACTTCGAAAACCCCAGATGGACGCGCGGATGGACGGATGGACGGATGGACCAATGGATGGGTGATTGCAGCAGCCAAATCACTCAATGTCACAAACACGCTTGCACCTATGAACCTTGAACACCATGAAGTCGTTTCAATTCTGCTGGAGATGCTATAGGTGGCACTTATTCCCAAATCGGAAAGTTGTTCGGGTCAACAAACAGATTTCAACTACACATTCAACCCTGCACCGCACAACACATAATGAAAACGCAGAAGCCAATCGGAGATTCCAAGTGTTGTGGGGATTCCCATGATTCGCCCTGAGGGGACCCCCGATTTGAGGGAACAGGTCGCTGTTTGGCGACACCATGAACCCATAGTTGGCCGTCGGCCAATGGGGGCCCCGACTTGTGGCATCGGCGCATTCTGGGCCTGTGCCCGAGGAAGCCAGTGGATGGATTCAATGCCCCAAAGCAAGAAGCCTGAAGCCTAGCCTTGTGCTGTTTTCGCGGGGAAACGTCATCATTTCCAAAATGTCAACGTCTAAAGATCCGACTAAACAGCAGCCAAGAAAATAGGGGGCTCCCAAGGCGCTTTGAATTTTGGCTTCCCCCAAAGCCGTATAGAACCTCAAAATGGCCGTCGTCAAGAAAAAAACATGCGCCGCAGTCAAACTGTGCAGTTGCCATGATGTACATGAGAAAATCGAGTTTCGCCCTGTCCTTTGTTGGTTGACATTTAGAGAGAGAGAGAGAGACAGAGAGAGAGAGAGAGAGAGGTCCCCCACGTCCTTCCTGAAGTAGACCGTTGACTACCCTACCACCCAGAACATGGAACCTGATTGGAGGTCCTTAGAATACGCTCTTTTTTTCTGATGGGACCTTCTGTCAGCTTCCACGTTAGTGTGAGGGTATCTAGAAACTGGGAGCAAACCTCATGGACACAGCCTGGACAGTTGCTAGTTAACTGATTGCTCCCAATTCCACGCTTCGACACTTCAGGGCACCCAAAAGGCCAGAAAGACCCAATGCAACCAGGGACCCTGGTTCGAAAAGGCACCCCTTGTTATGGACCGTTTAACCAGCGGAACCCACCAAAGGAAGAAAACAACGGGTGCCACTAACCTGGAAATAGGGCGTGGTGACAAGGGGCCCTGACCATCTGACAGCTTAGTAAGGAATTACGGCATTCCTCTGTAGGCTTCCCTCATGTAGAGCTAACTCACTTGGAATACCAGGGCAATCAATCATAGTACTCTGGTACTGTAGAGACTTGCGAAGCATGGTCCAATTTTCACAAAGAAATGCCGCAATTCCGTGTGAGGGAGGAATAATCACAGGAGCGCCTCTTCCGGACAACATATTGAGCATTCGACACAAGCAAGGTCGAGATTTCCCTACAAATGGACGTTTGTGCGAGGTTCCATGTGAGTGTTTCTAGGTGTATGACTTTCTCTGGGCCGAATCAACCCGCAGCAGCTTCTCGCTGGGCCCCCTGCTGGCATCACCATGCGAGGTGCAACCATACCCTGCAAGTCGGGCGGAGTGCACTCTGCATGTCAGCCTTTTGAGTGCTTCTCCATGCGGACTAATACCCCCTTTCCAACAATCGCGGAAGTGCACAGGGGTTTAGAAAGCCACAATCACGAGGCCCCTTGCCACTTCCAGAATTATTGGAAAAAGGCTAGTTAAAGGGACACATACTCTATGCGTGCTACTTTCCGTTGTTTAACAAACTTTATCAAACAAGTACAGTACCCTTGACGAGAATCTCATTTCCTGAGTAGACTGACTAACAAAGTCCGAACTTTTTGTTTACCAAACAAGTTGTCTTTCCAAAAAGTATATAGTCCAGGAACTCAGAGAGTGAGGAACGGTGCTCCGCGCAGTCTGGTGCTTGCATGGATCGAAGCTCTGGTGAGGAATGTTCACGACTCTTTTGCTGGTTGCAAGGAGAAATAATCAGGACCAGGAAATACGTTCGCTTGGATCTGTCGACTGCTTGCAATTTGTGTAGGGAATCGTGTATGCGCGCTGAAAACACGAAAACAACCAACGGCAACTTCTAAGTCATAGACAAATGTGATGCTGTTGGGTCCAGTGGGTTGAACCCCTCACGTGATCCACTCCATCAGCCACCAAAAATCGCCTTGTGCTGGGAGTCTGGGAGTGCCTCAAGAAGATGTCAGCATGTTGGAGATCTCCTTCCATGCCGATCCACTGGGCCACGCGAGCCGTGGCAAGTCCCATGCTCTCGGCCATCTTCGCATGACATCGATCATCCGCTGTCCCCGATGGGCCCTGGGCTCGTTGTTCCCCGAGTCAGTGAACCATTCGCACCGCTCCAATGATCTGAGAGTCAGCGAAGATGGAGGCCTTTGCATGAGGGCGTGGTGGAAGTTCCATGTAGAACATTCGGACACATGGGGTTGATTGCGAAGGGACACCCAAGTGGGCAACACTGCATTGGGCACCCCTAGCCCAGCAAGGGAAAGAAGAGAGCCCCTACCCGGTTTGAGCAGTGATCCTACCAGAATCGGATCTTCTTTGCGGCTCACTATCTGCGAGCAGGAAACCTGTCAAACAAACAGGGATTTAGGGGGTCGAATTCACGGAGCAACTGCGTGTAGGAAGCGAACGGGATTGGACAGTCAAAGAAGCGGCTGGTTGGAACAGACGGTTGTATGAATCCTTCACGGGTATACGACCACCGGAAACAAGGGCACTCTTTTGTTGACCTGATTTTAGAAGGAACCCCTCTCTTGGGGTTGCGGGGTGCCTTTAAAAACAATTTTAGTCGTGGTTGGGGGGGTAACTATTAGTAAACAAAAAACAACTTTTATGGGTATGCATCAACAAAGGAGCCACAACTTGATTTTTGCTGTGCTCCTTTTCCCCATTCAAACTACCTTCATTTCGGATTTCCTGTGCAGGGTATTTGGGTATGAACTTAATGGAGAAGTCTTCTGTGGGCATCATTTGGGCGGGGTGGAAGATGTTCACTACTTTTGAGGCGGTTCCAAGTCTCGAAACTCTTCCACGCCAGTGTGGCCAGAACCAGTGCCAAGGTTTCCCCTCACATTTCAGGTTCTCCCTATGTAAAGGGTATTTGCCCCTTGAACAAACAAACAAAAACCGCGCGGCGGCGCACACATGCCTGCGGCACCATGTTCAAGACGGCCAAATTTGGCGCAATCGCCGCCTGGCGGGAGACGATTTGAGCACAGCACCGGTCAAAGCCAAACATGTGTTTTGCAATAGGTGTACCCAAATAACAACAAGAAGAACACAATCACATATGAAATATACATATATATATATATTATACATATTATACATATATATATATATATATCATACATATTATACATATATATATATATATTACATGTACCGTACTTTATGCACACGCCAGATAAAAGTTTGGGCGCATGAGTTTGCAAGCGTTGAGTGCTCCAAAAAGTCAGCATGGCACGGGTTGGTTCTATCCTGAGCAAAAGGACTCATGCCACAAATTGCACCTCAAGTTGCCTTGTGACTCCATTTCCGGGAAACAAAAAAACAGGACCATCATGATCATTCAGGGTCCAAAGGCTGACTGGTTCAAAACCAATGGTTTAAGTTCGATCCGCCTTTTTGCTTTGGCTTCAAAAGGAATCCAAACGGAAAGCCACGCTTTGGGATTCCCCCAAAACCACATACACACAACATTTGGGAATGTGTTGTGGTCAAACTAGGAGTGCCAAAACGATTGGCTTCCTTCTGGCCTCCCTTCCATCCAAAACCGACACGGGTCCCTCACGGCCTGGCCATTGGGCATCGGAGGCCTGAAGCGAAAAATACGAAGACTTCGGTTGGCTCTGCTCGATTTTGTGGGATGAAGAAACCACTTCTTACTAATATGGGGCCGGGTTGACCCCCGCAAAAACCGAAAACCCCCCATGTGAATAAACTGGGGTTTAGGGAAACCCCGGTTCCCATTAAAAGCACGGGCCGTGCCCAAATTCAAGGAATCTGACTCCGCAAAGCATGGGTTGTTGGGGGTCCATGTTAGTCAGAGTGCAACATGTCATGTAGCTCCAACATGGCCCTTTGCCTGGAACGCGTTTCCGGCTCAAACAACTCTCGCGACAACATAAACCATGGGCCCAGCCCTTGGTCGAAAGTGCAAACCCTCCCCGGTGTTTTTTACTCCTCCCACGTACTTCCGCACGGTTTCCAAAATTGGGCTTGAACCCACCTGGAGTCTCCATGACCCTAACATGGAGCAACTGGGCAACGTGTCAGCCGACCTTGGATCAGCTCCTTCCACCGGCTGAGCTTGCACTTTGCAATATGATTTCATGCACCCTTTGCACATGGGGGTTGTGATGTGTCACTTTTGAGATTCCTTCTGAAATTGGCCGAATCTTTCGAGGCCCCAGCGGGGGCAGCTCCGGCAATGGCTCCGGCTCGGGCGGCGCCTGCCGAGGGGTGGGAGGGGAGGGGTTGCCAGCCTTGGGTGTGCGCGTCAAAAAAGGAGCCTTTTGTCAATTTCGGACACCTAACTAGCTCAGCGATTTGCCCATGACCTGAGACGTTCATTTGAATGTCTCAGATGTCAAGAGGGAAGAAAATGCAGAAAATACAATCTTATTCACCAATCCCTATCTCACGATTCTGTGGAAATTGTCCCAAATGTTCAGAGTCTTGAAAGTAATTGCGGGTGTTTCTCAAAACAGGAATCAATCGGTCCATGTCCTAAAATGGCAAGGGTTTCCCTGTGGGCTCCCTGTAAATACCAGCCAGTCCGCGAAATCCACTTGGAGAAAGTCCCAAAAGGAGAAGGCAGTGGCTCAGAGGCACTCCCGGGCACAACTCACTTCCAAACTGGAAAACTTGGAGGAAAGATATATGGATGGCTCCTCCTTCAGGATTTGGACCCTCAAAATGGCTTCGGTTTGGGTTCTGGTTTCCCTGTAAAACCACCAAAAAGTATCCTCAAGAAAGGCATCCTCATATGAAGATAGAAAGGTGTTTCATGAATTGAGGAGATATTTACTTGTCGTTCCACCTCCCTCATCTCTGGAAATGGCGATTGGGAAATTTATTGATAGAACACCTTTGAAACAAATGTCCTGTTCCGGCCAAAACTGCCCGCCTGCTTTCTGATTCTCAAGTTTGTGGCCTGGCGCAGGATCGAGGCAGTTCTTCATTGCCGCCCTTCCGCGAGCCCTTCCGTTTGTTTTGTTGCGAATCCTTGCCTTTCAGGGTCACTCATCAAAAAATGAGAAATGGGTGTTCCTTTTGTTCCCTCCACATCATCCTGCAAAGTGTATCATGGGTATCAACAGACATACACTGGCCATGGGGTCGATTCTGAGCCCGCCGCCGCTGCGGCCGCCATGGCCTGTGGGAAAGGTCGTTCTGCGCAAACCCAAAGGTTTTCTTGAGGAATGAACGGCGTAAGGGTTCAACATAAGGGGTACATCAGGGATATGTGAATGTGTGCATGTGGTTGCCTGTGTCGGTGTGTGTTTGTGTGTGCGTGTGTTCCGGTTTATTTAGGGGTGTCCCCAACAAGAACAAGTTGGCGAGCCTGCGAGTTCTGGTGTGTGGTTGGATTTCTTGCACATTTGGGCAAAGCGTGCAACTGGGTAAACCTCGCCCGTGGAATTGTCCACACGGAATAGTGCCCACAAAAACAATGTCTGGAGGAATACAAAGTGATGCATGAGCAAACACGAAGTCGTGAGCAAGCATTCAAGCTGAAATGACACATGTTGCCTCGAAAAGGGTTTTCGCATGGGGCAAGGTCGGGAGTGCTCGTGCACATCCCTGTGCTCGCAGTCTGTTTTTGGGCGGGACATGGAACGGCACAGAGATGGGATGATAGGACTCTTCATTTTGTCGGAATGGAGGAAACAAGTGTAAACACTGTCGTGGCTCAAGCGCAGGCCGTTCGGAAAAACCAGCGACAAGTCCAAGTTACGCGCATAACCTCCTCCTTGTGAGGACGTCTCAAGGCAAGGGTGTCCCTATTTTTCAGGCCAAGTGTGCACTGTGCAGCCCCCTTACGTTTCCACATTCACCACAACGTCGTACACCCTTCAAGCAGTGGCACATCACTTAAACAGCAACGTTTGGCGTTGAGACAAACCGTGTGGTTAATCAACTGTGTCTGCGCAACCACGCGTTTAAACAAAAGTGTTGAGAAAACACTGCATGTCTTTAAGTGTTTAGACAACCACGTGTTCAAACCATTGTGCTTAAACAACTGCGAGTTTGAACAACCGTGTTGAGGACGCACGCGCTGAGAAAAACTCACAGGATTGCCCGCTGAAATTCGTAGCCACATGCTGTGTGATATCAAACCACTGCTTTGCAGATGGGATGGGTGTGTATGTTTGCTGAGGGTTCTCTCATCATGTTATTTTGAAGGGAAACCAAATGGAAAGCCACCATACCATTGTGGGGCTTCCCGATCTTGGCACATACCCAAATTACTGCCCCTGGCGAGCCATGAGAACACATCTGTTGATGCTGTGGCTGGACTTGGCCCAGCCACAAGATTTTGCGCATGCCACCAAATCACACGCCCGCCTGCTTTGCTTGCAGGCTAAGCTGAGCATCGGGTACTTCCACCTCAGGCCTAAGAACACAAAGGCAGAGCACGTGCAGTTAGAGACCCTCTTGAAGCAGGCAGTTGCGTCACTTCTCAGGACCAGCGTGCATCTAGATCTGCTTGCCAACGAAGAAACACCCTCAACGTCGAAAGCAATTGATCCATAGTGTATATTCTTTTAACCAGAAAACCAAACCACAACTTACTATAGGGCGCAACAGTTTCGGCACTGCGTTACTATACCGTCAAACCAAGTACGAGTAGCATACTAAAATGGCCGCTCGGGGTGCTAGGCGCTCACATGCCAAACGTGTTCAACATTTGAACGCGCAAAGAATTCGGTGCCCTGTGGTGACTGGCCAATATAGTTCAAGCCGTTCGGTGGATTTCCACGGGACGCACTTCTTGCCGGTTGATCTCAAAAGAGAAGCCCCACCCCCCCCTCGCGCCCTAGGCCACCCGGCTCCCGTGGGCCTCACTGCTTCTTTTGATTGGCCGGACACGGCCACACCCCGTTTTAACAAAACGGGGCGTCGTCTTTTTGAAGGTACTTTTTTGGCGGCGGTTCCAAAGGGAAGGCCAAAGGAACCACTTTTGGTTGGGGGGGGAGTCCCCCAAAAGAACGACCCACCCAAATGGTAACCAAACCCAAGTGACAGTCCAGGAACCCGAGGCTTTTACTTGGACAAAGTGACAGATCTGTGGAGCGGGTATCAAGACCCAGAAGGGTTCTGACCGCAGGGTTCTGACTGAAGGGTTCCGAAAACTTGGAGCTTCCAATACTGTGAGCGCAACATGATTAAAGGGGCATGTAGACTCCAGGCAAAAGACAATACACGCTTTTATGTTTGTTCGCATATGTTGGGATCATCGCGTTTGACTTCGTTTGTACCAACATGATACGACATTTGAATTTTAACCCATATGCATCCACAAGGTTCATTTCTCGGGCCCCATGTTTATGTGTTCGTTGTGCACGTGCTGGAGGCTGGTATGTGTTCGGTCATGCTGTCTGCCTATTTTGTATTTGCTTGCTTTCTTGCTTACTTGCTGGGTTGGCTGGCTGGCTGTCTGGCTGCTTGCTAAAAGCTTGCTCCGCATCAGTGTCTGCAGTGTCGGTGTGTGCCTTACTTTAAACGGGTTGACAATCCTTCCGGAACCCATCTGAGCCACATCCCCAGAACCGCCTGGTTCGGGTGGCGGGGGCGGAGCCGGCCGCGACCTGGGCTTCGACAGGGGAGGTCAACGGCCACTCCCCCTTTTTGAGGCCATCTTCTTTGGTCGCATTAGAGGGAAACCAAAAGGAACACCTCCAAGGGGGTGGTTGATTTCTTGGGTTCTTGGGAAGCCAAAAGGAAAACCCCCAACCAACCGGGTGAACCCGACTGCGACATCTCCGGGAACCCCGGGCGGTGGAAGAGCCTCTTCGACCCCCGGAGGCGCGATGCCGGCCTGGCGCGAATCCCAGGTGGAGCGGACGCACTTGGCCTGCACACTAAAAATCACATATGGGTGCGTCTGCTTTTGGAAGCGGAGGCCCCAAGATGGCGGGGTTGCCTTTCCGCAGGCCCAAGAACCTCTGACAAGGGCTATTGAGCACCCAACCCTGCATGAGCCCCAATGCTACTGTGGACGCTGCTTTGAGCCTATGCCGCGATATCTCTTTGCCTCGCTCGAGTCAAAACCAGCACACATATCAAAGGAACATACCTAAGTCAATGAATGGAAGCGCTCACGTGTCACACGTGGCGGCTGCTTTGCATATTGGGGAATGACTCCCTACTCAGGCCCATGAGACGTCAACACATCCTTCAGATTGGAGTCGTGTTGCCCATGATTTGTGCTAGACAAATAATTGTCTGCATCATAGTGTTGGGTTCAACAGAGATTGAGAATACAAACAAAAACATGTATTGTAATGTGATGCAATGTAATTTAATGTAATGTGCGTTTACATATGTCCACTGCCAAGTTCAGATACAGTGTCTGGCTGTCCCAAATCTTGCGGATCCAGGAGTGAATCCCGATTCAAATTGGAGTTGCAAAACATCATACGGAACTGAGATGGCGATGGCCTGGGTGATGATACGGCCCGCGAGTTTTTGATTGCTGCCTTTCCCAAAGTCAGAGCTCTTGCGGCTGTCGGTTTCCCATCAACTGGTTGATTCCCATAGACGAACCAACTAGGGACATCCTCGAGTTTGCTGCGGCCTTGTGAGTGGTTTACCTGCAAAAACCAAAAAACAGTACGATTGCAAGGTGGCTGCCTCGGAATAGGTTGCATTGCTCGGCCACCCAAACGGTGGCTCGAATCTTTCATCGCAGAATTTCTTGACATTATGTGACTGAAATCGCGCCAAGCCACCCGCCCAAACCATTGAAAGATCACTACCCAAGCGAAACTGAATCCATCGACAAAGGAGGCGATCCCCGCACTTGGGCCCAAGTTTCGCGACTTTGTCAGCACCTCCTGGAAAATAAATAAGATGTCTCCCTACATCTTTCCTCCAAAGCACACCTTCAGCGATAAACACCGATGCGCTCCCCGAAGCTCCAAAGCCTCTGCCAGCTCTCGATGAGCCCTCAGGGCATGAGCCTGCAGCAAGATGCCTGTCGGGCGATTCGAGGCCCCAGCGTTGAACCACATGTCGTGCATGTCATTGGGACATACAGCGGCATATCAGTCGAAATGCAGGCATTCAATAAAGAAATAAGTACACACATTAATAAACAAATAAATAAATAAGTAAACAAATAAATAGTATCGATCTATCTATCTATCTATATATATATATTGCAGCTGACCAATATTCCTGTTTCCGGAAAACGTCATTGCCCGCGAGAAACAAATATCTTTCGCGAACCTGTCGCGACTCCATCGCCGCGGCCGTTTTGTTTGCAGCGCGTGCTCTGGAGCCATTAAGGCCTCTGCAGATATGCTCGCAAAGGCAGTAACTCAGCCCCCTCGCACAGGCACGCTTCCAGCAGCGTTAAGTGAAAGCAGCCACCATCATGTGCCCTTGCCACTTGCGCTTGCCGGGGATGCGCGGAACCTTGCGACAAGCTCCATGGGCTTTGGCCCGTCTTTCGCGGATCTTTCGCGTGCCCCAAGTTAGCCCAGCCAACGTGTTGGCTTGCACCATTCCCAACACAGGCAGGGAATCAAGGATGCAAGTAAAGGTGCTGCGCATTTTCCCGTCTACACGGGAGTGGGGACTGCAAATCTGCAAGTGCACAGGCATGCCCCCAAGAATCTTTCGCGAAACAAACAGGCTTCTTTCGCGAACTCCATCGCCGATCTTTCGCAGAGGGATCTAAGCAAACACCATTCAATGGTCACCGATCCAGGACCGTTTGATCAATCAAATATACACTATACATGTATGTATAATTATTTATATATAAACACGTAATAATAAGCGTCCATGCCTGCCAGCGCCGCGGCATCCAACAGCTCCTTGTCACCCCCGAACTCGGCACCTCACGCGAGACATGGCGAGACCCTCGGCGCCTCACGTCTCACGTGGCGAGACACGCTTGTCGCAAAGGACCAATGGATGGACGTTGCGCAACGCTTGCACCTATGCGGAGTTTTGTTCAAATTCAGAAGGGCTTGAGAGATGGCTGATTTGAAGGGGACACCTGACACCCAAAGCAACAACGAGTGGATTCCAGTGCGCACCCTCGTTCTTGCTAACTTCGAGGGGAACGTGTTGGTTGATTTGAGGGGCAAAACTGAGGAGGAGACCTGAATGTCGAAGAACGATGGTTGAACAGAATGGGGAATCAACCCCTAGAGATGAGCTTTATTTCTCACTTGACCGGGGCTCAGCTCCCAAGTTACAGCTGTTCAGGATGCCAGCACCGAGTTTTCCCACTTGCCGTTGTCCACATGATCCTATCTCTGAACAGTGGGCGCAACGGACTGCTCAGCCTGGTTTCTCTTACAAACAAAGGTGCGCACTGCACCTTCAAACTCCGCAATCAAGGGTTGTTTGCAGGTGGACTCCGAACAAAGCCTGTCACGCTGCCCCGTACGGCCCAAGGAAGCCGGGCATTTCTTGGCTGCCGCCAGCAGAGTCTCGGGGTGCACCAAGGGCGGCAGCGGGAAGTCTTTCAAGGACCTGGCGAGAAATTCGAACGGGTGATCAGCTTCCTTCCAATTATTGGTTTGGATTGCTGGTTTCGTGCTTCGGGGTTCAAGAACCAGAGGTTCAAATCCCAAATCATCAATTAAGGGGTACTTGAGGTGAGTCCTTACAAACGTCGAAAGCTGGGCAAATTGTCGAAACTGAGCGTTTGAATCTTAAAGCCGACCAGCGACTGGAACAATGCATTGGGGTCAGCTTGTGCAGTTCAAAGCCGGGTTCAAGCAGCAAACAATTACCCTCCCGCAAGATCCACCTGCTCCATGCGATGGAATTACTGACTAATTCCAAGGACGTGCCTCACAGCCAGGTTTACGAGACACAGCATTGGCAAATCAGAACCTCTTGCTTTCTGGAAGGGGGTCTAATGTCCTTCCTGTTCCAAGCGATCGGATATCCATGCCGGCTCCACGCCAGCCCGGAGGGAAGTGAAGTCATGGCGCCATGATGCACTTCAGGCTTTGGGATAAGCTTCGCGTTCAAGGCTCCCTTGGGGCAATGGTTCGAACAAATGTAGCTTCTTTCAATGTCCTCCCTGGGAAAACCCAGGGAATCTGCCAAATTCCTCAATGTGCCCAGGTGTACTGGACACGGGCTGTATGGCTTCGGACTGGAACCAGACCCAATCCAAAGGATGCTCATTACTTTTCAAGGCCGTGCCATGTCGTTTGGAGTTGCTTACCGCTTTAGATCTTCGGGGTCGTCTTAAAGAAGCGGCGGTCTCGAACCCGCTTTTCTGTGGTTTCCCATTTAGAGAAATCTATGCGCTGGCTGCATCGTGGCTGTTGGCCATCTGACATTGAACCTAGAGGCAAGCCACAAGGAGTGCTGAGTCAGCTGGTCGCTTTAAACAAATCGGAGAGGGGGAGCCAGTTCGGTCAGTTGTTAACATGACACGCAACCAAGCCAAATGAGCCTGAAGATTGTCAAGCAACGGCTTCTTTGCTAGAGTCGTCACATTCTTGGCACTCTCGCAGACTTGGGCAATATTAAGCTTTACCTTGCAGGAAGTTCAGTTCAACTTCCAATGTGCGTCTGTCTTTTGTAGAGGGAACCGAAACAAACACCACCATTTTTGAGGGTGTCCCCTAACAAAAGACACACTCATGCGCGTGCATATGCCAGAATCTTTGGTTCACTCAACGCTCAGGCGTCCTTTTCAATCGCGACGCTCTGGTCTCTGGGTCGACCTCCGCCGGTTCCGGAGCACAAAAGGCCAGCCGCCTCCCATGGTGGGGACCCGATTTCTCCAACCCCAAACCTTTTTTGTCGACCTCCACTTAGCGCACTCTTGGCTTCTGTGACCACGACAAGGCTGGGGGGTCGGCAAAAAACAGGGCACCTCCCATGTCAGTTCTCAAAAATATCTCACTTTGAATGGTGTAGATGGTCAGATGTCGGGACTTCTTGTTTCCCAATCTGATCTTCACAAGTGTCATGTCCAGAAACTGGTTGGAAGCAAGGTGATGTTTAAAGGAAAAGGGGACAATCATCCAAGTCTCTGTTTTGACGGCACCCCTGAAACATCTCATTTTGAGAAGAGAGGGTATCTCTGCCACATGACAACCAATCCTGCATACCTAGTGGCTATGTGGTGGCTTTTTGCACCCTTTCCTTGAAGCCTTACCTTGTGCCCTTACTAGGCCCGTCGAAGTAATCCGCAAAATGACTCTTGGAGGTTGATGTCATTCAAGCCACCTTTTGAAGATTCATATGGGCATTGATTTTCCTTAGGAGCTCTTTGGCGGACATCAGAATTCGGTGGAGATAAAAAGGTCCACCAGCCACTTAGATGGTTCCAACTCTTAAATGTCAAATCGCCTTTTGAAGGACGTCACAAGGCGGATAACAAACATAAGCTGCCCAAAGGAAGACAAGCCACGCAGTGATCGCGTGCCACCGAAACTGTGCAGAAACCCCTGCGGGGACTCTGAACAAAATGGTTGGTATGCCAAGATCCCCAAACATCAGTCAGAGGAAACTTAGACTTTTCGGAATCTCTTCTTTGGCTAGGTCCTGCAGTAGAAAGGTTAAACTAAGGGTACCCTTTTTTCTGTAGTCTATTTTAGTAGGGGAACCCTCCCCAAAAAAGAATAAAAGGGCACTGGGGGACCTTGGGGTCAATGCTAAACGAGGGACTCCAGTTACTGGAAGTCGCTGAGTCTGGCGCGTTCTCGCGGCGCAGATCATAACTCGGCGTTGGGTGAGGCCAAAGTCGACCTCAGGCCAGCGGACGGTCAACATCTGCGATACATTTCGTTTAGCAGCTTAGCATTTCTTTGTGGCCCAAACAGCTATGGAGAGTCCCCCTGCCGCCAAATTTGACCGAACCTCATTGGTTTGCCTTCAATCTTTCCCTTCAGCATCCGTCTTTATCTGGAGATTGCTCACAAGAAGCAAACATCAAACAATTGGGACTTCAAACAAAGTCCTATCCGGTCAAGATATATACCCAACCATGCGAACAAGCACGGCCAATCTGCACTGGCTATGATTCACAACCTGAACACCAGGACTCATGCTGGGAACTAGTATCATGGAAGAGCCCGTTCTGGGTGATTGATGTTTGGGGACTCTTTGGTGGACATTGCTCAGCATTCGAAATAAGCATCGGCCGAAACCCGGCATGGCCACGCGGCAGCGTCGTGGTTGTGGTTGTCGACAGCTTCTCCGGCCTGGTGAAATGAACAATGGATCAAGTCTAAGGGCTGCATCGCTGGACTCATAGAATCTGGGAGCAGCTGAAATCCCTAAGCCGGGCATATGGAAGCCCCTCAGTAAAGAAACGTGGAGACGCTCGTTTAACCCCTAGCTGAGCTTGCCATAATGTGACAAGACACATAAAGGGCGTCAAGACCAGCAACCAGAACCTCCGCTCATCTCTGGCACAAAATCGACCAACCGCTTGCGAGATCCCGACTTGGCAGACATCCCGAAGTAGAAGAGGCATCCCAAGCCTGGTTTCCATCGCAACCAATGGCGCGCGCGGCCGGTCTTCGTGCCCTGCCTTCAGTGGCTGTTCAAAATATTGTAGGAGGGAAACAAGTTGGACACCTTGGCGATTTCTGGGTTTGTGGCTGGATGTTGTTGGTTCACTTGATTTACATGTAGGACTTCACTGCACCCCCCTTCAGAAAACAGTCTTCAACGCACACCACCAAACGTGATCAAGCAAGAGACTCCTCTAGTTTATTAGCGTGAGCGGCGCCACTACGACGGTTGCGATGGTTATAAAGGTGTATCTAGGCTTCACCTCTAACCAGGTAGGTCCACCTGCTATGGCCAAGAGATTGCTCCTCATGTCTGGCGCAGGATTGCCAGGCAATGCCAACACGGGCTGGACCCATGCCCGTGGCTGGGCCCACATGTGGGGTATCATATTTGTTCTGATCTTTCAGATTTAGTCTACCCTAAAGTTGAACAGAATTGTTGGAGGAGACCTCAGAGCCTCAGGTTTTATGTGTGAGACGTGGCCGGCCACGTTTCAAGGGTCCCTGATTGACAGAATGGGGGTCGTTTGGGGACCTGGGCTCAGGGATGGGTAGGGTAATCTTAGACCTGCCTTGTAAATGGGGTGTCTTCTGTAGAAAGTTGTTGCTCCTGATTCAGGATCCTAGGACTGCTTGGGGGTCCCGAATGATAGAAAGTCCCTTTCACCCCCTCAAAAAGAATTGAGAAAAGATGCGCAAGCAATACTAAAATAGACTTGACAATACTGAGCCAACCCAGACTGCAACCCAAACGCCCCCATCCCAAGGAACCAAGCAAAGGGCTTTGCACTAAAGAGGGTCCGAATGCCTGGTGGCACTGTTGGGGGACGCCCTAGGGCTACTCAGTGTTGCCCAGAAGTCTGTCCAACTCTCAACCCTTGAAGATTGACATGAATTTTCCATCGCTCGCTATAATCCACAAACCAAGGAATCTGCGAATCAGAGATCCTTGTGGGTGAGCTCGCTGTGATTTGCCCTGATCCCTGAATCTGAATGGTCCTCTTCGGAACTTGCATGCCTGTCATTTCGAAATTCGCAGAGTGCGCCCACGAGGGTGTGTCTTTTTGAGAGCAGCTTTCCTTCGTGGTTTTCAAGAGAAGCCAAATGGAAAACAACCATTTTTGGGGGTCCCCTAAGGTGGTGCACAAGTTGTTCTGCCCTTGGCTTCGCAAGCCGAGCAGCCAATAATAAGAAGCACCATGAACGCCGCCATGAGGTACACGTCCCACCAGCTGTCGTTTTTGTCGTACTCATCCTACAGGGTTGCTCTCAATCGACCGGATCAGCAGGGTAGAATTTAGCCGCCTGTCCCAGAGCAAAGAGAAATCAAAACAAACGTTCCCCAATTGTCTGCCGTTATGCTTGTTTAGATTTGCTACATCATCCTTGAAGGGCTTCCAAGCAACCCTGTCGAAAGTAACACATATGCCCTCACAGTGTAGAAATGTCTTGTCTCTGTGTGAGCTGATGTGATTCTCTTTGCCGCATTCACCTGTGTTGGTACAGCTAAGCTGACCATTGCCCATTCTAAAATTTCTGAGAACCTTTCTACCGGTTGAGCGATCCTGCCTGTCCTCGAAGATGGAAGGTACCCCATGCAGCCAACATGTCAATTCTGTTTGGTTCTACCAATGACGAATATGTCAAGAAAAGACACCTTGAAGTCCAAATGGAAACAAGAACCCAGGTGGGTCAGCTACTGCGGATCCTTCGCCAGGTGGGATGGATAAAAAAAAACACCCTATGAATACTGAGATAAACCGCCTACAAACTGGAGCTGGATTTTGCCCATCCACAATATTGTTCCATTTTGCTTGGGGTCCCATTATGGTTCGTTTCCTTTTGGCTTCCCTGCTTCCACCCGTCGGGATATTTCCTCTCTTGGACACCTCTGTCTCTCTGTTTCCAGGGCCAGCTTCGGTCCCTAAACTGCTTGAGGTCGGGAAAGAGAGAGTCGAAGAGGGCGTCCTTGCCGAATTCCTGCGGACGTCGCAACGAAATAGCCGCACCCAAAGCCGGAATAAGCGAGTCACTTTCCAAGCCCCGATGCAAGAACAAACCATTCCTTTTTTCCACGGAACCAAAGAAGCAAACAACCAAAACAACTGTTGAACCTGATACTGTAGGGGGCTGGGCTAAATTAGCAACAGCTTACTCACAACGTTTCAACTTGGCCTTCATGTGGCCACATTCTGACAGCCCCTCCACTCAAGACACACGGTCCCTCTGCCTGGTCCCTCTGCCGAACTCGCCTTCTTCTGCCACTTCAGGCGCATCTGCTGCGCTTCGGGAGTCTTCGGCCTGAAAGGCAAAAGGATCGAAGAGGTGAGCGGGGTTGAGGGGACATCTTTACGGCGCTGGGGGAAACCAAAATGAAGCCATGGGGGTGGTTTTATATCTATGCTGACATGCACCCAAATGGTTTGTATTTCGGTGCCCCTTTCAAACAAACCCAAGTGTGCGCTCAAGTGTGCCGAGGAACTATGGCCTCCTCCTTTTCCTTCCGAAATCCCATCACCTTGACCAAACAAAAATTAAGTGCAAAGCTAACATTGTTGCTTCTCGCATCCTCGTGGTTGGCAACATCACCAGATTAGATCGATTTTCTGTTTGTTGCTTGAAAAAGAACATGACGCAACACAAGGTAAGCCCAATCTGGAAATGATAGGTGGGGGTTCCCTGTTGCCCACATGTGTCGCCCGCATGTCGCCCGCATCACGGATGGGCAAATTACCCGTTTTGCAGCCCGAGGCGCGTGCAGATGGTGTTCACGATCTCCAGCAGGCCGCCTGCGCCTAGAAATGGTGTGCCATAAGGGGCTATTTTGCTACACACAGTGTTGGCTTATGATCATGACTTGTCCTGGTTTCAAAGTACCCCAATATTTCGCCCCTGAAATTTTAAATTGTCTGAACCTCCTACCTACTCTGTAGAATTCGGCAACATTGGACTCTTTGGGTGGGCCTTATGTACACCAAACAAACAAAATGAACGAGTTCAAGTTCAAACATGACTTTAAATCCGAAGACCGCGAACATTGCACCTCGTCTCTGGGGTTTCCGAATGTCCTGCTTGCAATCATGCTGCACTTCAAAAATGAGGCCCTCTCTGGGGGTTACCCTGTGCTTCCCTTCAAAACCCACCAATGCAGGCAACCCAAATTGCCAGGTAACCCAAATTGCCTTGCTTACCTTCGGCTCGCTTCAAAACCTAGAGCAATTGGGGGGCCCTTGGCGGACATTTACATGGGAACTTATGTGCAAGCATCAGTGCTCTAAAGACCCTGTCACAAGGGTAAACTGATCCATAAGCAGCTCTACCCTTGCAAATTTTATATTTTGTTGAACCACGATCATTTTGGAGGGGGGTTCCGATGCAACACTTCATGGCCTGTCAATACTCATTGTGTGCCCTTCCGGGGATGTGTTAAAAGGAAACCAAAGGAAAGCCACGTGTTTAACGGTCCATATTCAGCATTTGACACTAGATATTGATGAGCTACAGTATCCAGAATTTGAAACACTGCCGCGCATGACAGTTACTATTGACTGTTCAGATCGATTCGTCTTCCAACCAGCTACCTTTCTTTGCGATCGGAAACGCTAGAATCCCCAGAGTCTCCTGACTGCCATGTGAACTTAAAGATGTGAACAGGTATGGCACCCTTGGACCCTCTTGAAATGCAGCACTGAATGTCACCGTTCGATAAAAGGTTCCTGCCTTGCTACCTGGCATGTGGGTATTTCTCAAAGCTAGGACCGCTCCAGGTTGCGGGTGGCCTTTTGCTCAAAAAGGGCTTTAACCGGTTCAGGAAATCCCCGAAAAAGCAGTGAAATGAACAGATTCGTTTCATCAACGCTGGTGAGCTGGCAACCAAAACCAACTCCCTTTCGGTGCTGCTTAGATGAGTCACAATCAAACCGGGTGTTGAAGCGGTCTACCCAAAAAAGGAACTAACAAAAAGGCGGATGCACCCATTTATGGTTGGGACTGGCCCGTTCACCCGAATGGTTCTGAAGGTTTAGGCCCTCTCTACCTTATCTAGTTGGGGCTGCGGAGTAGAATTCCCCAGCTAGGAAGGTGTGTGCATTCAACCGGCGGAAATTCCTTGGGACCCGCGGGCTGTCGCGGGCTGCTGCGGCCGCGTGCACCGTTTTTTTTGGGTCATTTGGCAACGGCTCCAAAGGATCCAAAGCGAAACATGGCACATGTTGCAACTTGCAACAGCCTTCTTAGATTGTTTCAGGATGCCTCGCTCCCAGTCTTATCGAAAAATCTATCGGTCGGTCTATCTATCTGTCTACCTATCTATCTATCTATCGATCGATCTATCTATCTATCGAACAATCTCATAGTATCTCATCTTATCTTATCTATCTACCTGTCGAAAAATCGCGTCTTCTCTATCCATCTACGTGCCGAGCTATCTATGCATCTATTTACCCGGCCATATATCTGTCTGTCTGTCTGTCTGCCTGCCTGCCTGTCTGTCTTTATGACTGTCTGTCTTTCTGCCTGCCTGCCTGCCTGTCTGTCAGTCTGTCTACATCTATGAATCTATGCCTTTCTTCAATCTCTATCTATCCATCTATCCATCGATCTATCTATCTTGCTCTCTCTCTCTCTCTCTCTCTCTCTCTCTCTCCCTCTCTCTCTTCCTCCAACTACAGAATCAATGCTCTGTAGATGATTGTGTCGTAAAATATGTTGGGATTATTTCAAAGGGAAGCCAGAAAGGAGCGCAGGAGCACCTTGCTTGTGAGCAAGATCCATATTCTCTTGAACCTCTTATCAAGTTTTGGATTCCTTGGACCTACAATCGCCAGATTTTGGCGCGCGTCGGAGAGCCGGTGTTTACCGCAGAGCCCTCGTGCCAGCCCGACCCCGACCCTTCGTTCGAGGGGCAAGCCTCCGGAAGCGAGCGAGCGATGGCTTAGTAGCGAAGCCCCGTCCCAAGTGAACGCGGCAAATTCCATTTGGGTGTTTTAGAATAGGGGACTCCAAAAGATAGTTGGTGTCCTTCTGGTTTCCATTTAAAACCGCGGAAGTGCAACAAATGTGGAAGCAAACACTCAAGCCCGAACTGCTGGAAAAATGGACTCACTCCATCTGGAGGGCGCCTTGTGCGGAGGAAACCAAAGGCCTTCAACCCCTGGAATGCTGAGTTTCAAAGAACTTCTGGGCACATCTTAAAAGGAGCCTCGTAAAAACACAGAAACACAATTGATAACTTTTCTGGTCAGGGGGTCTGATCTCTGTACGTGCTCGCTCTTGAGAGCCGCGCTCGCTCGCCACAACTTAGCTGGTACCTTAGGGCTGACCCTGAAGGAAAACCACATCCGCGCTGTATAAGCGGAGCATGCAATAGGCCTTTCAGAAAGGCCTGAAAATACACAAGGAAAACCGTCTCTACATGTGCGTGAGTTCCAGGTGAGTTCCATCACGAAGCTCCCACACGTCTGTGTTTCGAGCCTCCTGCTCACTTTTGGTTTCCTCTTTCCGGGCGAGGGAAGCTGCTCGTTCTGCCGGTTTACAAAAGTTGACTGAAGGTAGTTCACTCCTTTTTGGTAGCCAAAACCAGTTGAACCCCGCTGTTTAGGCACTGGCCTTTTGACGAGTGCACGAAATGGCACCGCCAATGTTGCGATCCGATGCCTGCCTCACGCCGTCTCTCCGGCAAGATTCGCAAGCTTCGTGGCTGTCCCTGGCACTGAGCCCGGGAGACCTCGAGCCATAGTCCCGTCGCTGCACACGCCCACTCAGGACCAGTTCCCCAGTGTGCCGAGGCAGGATGGGACTCATTTCCGTTTGCTCAAGGACGCTGGAAACAGAAACCGGTAGGCCTTCGGGAAAGTCAGTCTAGCAAAGCAGCACCTTGAGCAAATGGAAGATTCTGCACAAGCAAAATAGTGGGTAGCAAAAAATGGAGCCGCTTGCGAACGGCTGGCAAGGCCAGCCGTGCAACAAAAATGCTCTCGCAAGGAAACTCAACCCTGCTCTGCCTTCCCAGACTTGCTGGCGATCTTCGGTCTAATAACCATGGGGTTCGTTATGATTTCCACCGCAAGAGCACCCCATTCCCCAGAACATGCTGGTTTCCTTTTGGTGTGGTGGAGAAGGTCTTTTTTTGAACGGTTTGACGCCCACAAAGTCAAACAAATATCACACGAAAGGCGCTTTGAATCTATTTAATTCTATTTAGGCTGCCCATCAGATCCACTTTCCCACCCAACAGATCAAGGAATGAGGAACCTCATGTGTGGGCTGGGCCATCTGGCATTTCCCACGGAGACATGCATGTTCAATTGGGGACCCCTTGGACATATACTTTGATTATGTTTGATTCACCAAATTTCGCACCGCCGCTTCTGAGAAGGCACAGCAGGTCTTCGCAAACGTTGTGCATTGCCTCGCGTTCCATTCGAGGCGCTGAGCTTAGCTACTCGCCGGCACGAACTGCACCACCTCCTTGGTCGACTCCGCCAGCATGGGTTGAACCATGAACCAGGCCTCGGTCGAAATAAATGCAAAGTGAGCAGCCCAGTGACAGTTGGGGCCATGATGGAATCAAATCCGCATTCTATTGGGTAACGCCCAAAATCCGCACTTGCCATGGGACGCATCCAGCCGACTTGCCCAGAAAAAAAAGCATGCATTCTCTTTGGTTCATCTTACAGGCCCACTTGCAGCCAGTAAACCCGGCCACGCCCCCCTGGCCCCAAGACCCCCACCAGCTGTCGCTCGCCTCCGGTTGCAGGTTCGGATTCCATTGGGGAAAGGAAAACGCGCACCCCATAACTTGCTGGTGTTCAGTAGGGAATGAGGTTTGAAGGAACCAGAGCAGATGGTTTATACGGGTCATTCCATCATTCCCTACTGAGCACAACCAGAAAGTGCTTGTTTTTCCGTCTGGGTGAGTTTCCCGAGACAACCCGACGTCAAGGCACTGGAACCAACGGGCTTCGTCCCTTTTGTGGGCAGCAACCAGAAAAGTGTACCGCGTGAAGCCGAATAAAGTTGCCTCTGCACCAGATGGGTTGGTTTAAACATGCTATAACAATTTGATGAAACCCACCTCTTGGCTTCCCGGTTTGGAACCTAGGGGGCTGATCCAACACAATTATCTCAACCCTCGCCTGCAAATTGGTTGGCTTCATCATCTTCTTGAACCCTGAAACTGGGTGTGAACTACGGGGTCTGGATAAATTCGCAACTTACCTGGTTGGTGTCCCCTTCGCTAAATTAGGAATGGTTGCAATTTTGCACCAAGACCAATGCCGACCCCGGATGAACTAATACAATCCGGGTTGATGAACGTCACTCTTCTTCCAAATCATTCCACCCTCTCCGAGGAGCGGAGTGTGCTGCAGAGGGCGCATTCACTACGGCGATCAGCCCAGCCATGCGGTCGTAGAAGGGAGACACGAACGGCTGAATCGCCTTGATCACCTTGCGTTATCAAGCGACAAACAAGATCGAATCGGCTGTTGGTGTATATTCAGAACTCCGGGGCCCGGGTGTCTTTTCTTAAGAGCAATTGCCCTTTTTGGTTGTTTGGTTCAAACGGAAACCAAAACAAAACACACGGTTTGAGGGGTTCCCCTGAACTTTTTGGTGACACATGTCGCAAATCCTAAGTACTTGGCCTGAAACCGCCCAGTAAAGGGAACGTCACGGGACCCCTCGAAATGCATCCCCTTCAATCAGCTGCCCTCGTGGTTTGGCAGTTGGGTTGGGAGTGATTGACTTGCCTTTCAAATCTAAATCCAAACTTTCAAACAGATCCAAACCATCTACGGAAAATTCGACCTAGGGGCCGCTGGAAATGTTCCAAATTAGGGATTTGAACCCCCAGCCAAACAGCAGCAAATATACTGCTGACCCCTGATGAACTCGCCACACTTGTTCTAGGGGAACCTCCTGATTTGCGGGGGGGTGGTTGAGGGGCAAACATTGCGCTCCTGTCGAAAATGGCCCCCACCTAAGGGCCCCTTTCCAGGACAATGGTCTTCGAGGAGATTACAGGAAGAGAGTAGTCCCCGTTGAAATCGAAGGGTCCAGACGGCTTTCATCGAAAACCCACATCCGCAACTTCCTGAGGCCGGGACCCCCACGAGGCACCGTGCGCAGGGCAGCCAATTTCTCAGACTCAAGTGCTTGCAGTCGACCATCACGCCTCAACCAGAACTCCATTCTCTCTGTGTGTGTGTCTGCGTGTCCAAATAGGCGGTTCAAGGGGCCCGATTCGGGCGGCCCTTGAAAACCAATGGCCCACTGAGCTTCGAAGATTTTGCCGGCGGGTTGCTGTGGGACCCCTTACCCCACAAATTCGCGGCTGGGAACCAACAAGTTTGAGACTGAGCCAGCTGCCAAGTAGCTAGGAGGAAATGAGTCCTATGTCTGTCCATTCAATTACCTGCAAAAGACCTCGCATGCCCTAGGCTTTGATCTACATTGGTACCGGAGGCGCCATGCTTACGAGTATTTGTCCAACCTCGTGTTTGCCTCTTCCGACAGCCAAGCATTTTCAGGCAGCTGTCCATCTTACTTGTCGCGACGTAGCCGAGATACCAGTCTTTTGTCTGATGTTCAAGGGACACTGATACCCAGCTTTTTTGTGTTTCTTTGCTTTTGTTTCTGGAATGGGGTTGCATGCCCGAGTTTTGAGATAAACCAAGCCAAAGAAGGGCTGCTGGGCTCCGTCAGTTGCAGCTGTGAGAGTCCTGGTTGAAAGGCGCTACCGAATTCGCCAAAGAAACAACATGTTTGCCAATGGGCAATGGATGTTTTTTCTGAGCAAACAGGTCTAACTGTTTAACTTTTTGTCAATTAGTGGAAATGATGCCATTGTCCAACAGGTCCACGAGGTGTTTGCGGTCACACCAAAAACCAGCCATGAAGCGGAAGAAAGATCTACCCGTCATGGCCGTTCCCGCTTAGGGAAAAAGCAGGCATCGCTTGAGCTGGCCCCAGCAACACGGACTCGACAAAAGGCAACGCACGTTGGCTGAAATCTGGATCCTGAATGACTCATGGACCAATGGAACCAAGTCTTCTCTTCAAGCCTTATAACAACAATGAATGTAAGTTGTCCCCTGAACAAAGTCCTCGCCATGCATCTGGGGGAAAAATGAGAATGCCGGCCAGCGGCTCATTCTAAACATGTTCTTCTGCACTTGCGGCTTCCTGAGGCGTGCGAAGCGAAGCAAGGTGCGAGAAGCAACGCAATTACACAGCTGTTGATTCCGAGAACAATGAAAGCCATCTTTTTGGAAAACAAAGTACAACACAGATGAAGGAACACACACACACACAAACACGCGCGCACGCGCGCACAACACGCCAGGACTTTGGCGGTTTAGGTGCGGCTGGGTCCAAACAAGGACTTGTGACAAGACTGGGAATCCCCCAATGATTCTCTCGGTTTCTTGACACCATGCCACAGGTTCCCTATGGACACGTGCCCGCCTGGGACATTTTGGTCCTGCGAGAATCTATGGGAACTTGAACGACACAAATGGACAGCGAAAATGCAGTGCATGCGTTGGTCAACACATTGGACAATACGTTCATTGACACAGTCCTAGCTTGACTGTCCCGAGAACACATACCCATTGCCTGCTTTGTTGCCAAGCGAAGCTGCTGGATGACTGACTGACTGGCTGGCTGGCTGGATGACTGACTGACTGACTGACTGACTGACTGACTGGCTGGCTGGCTGGCTGGCTGGCTGACTGACTGGGAAAGCACCAGAGGCCATGTCATGGCGGGTCTTGAATTGGGTTTGTCTCAAACTAAAATTAAGGGAGCTTTCAGGGTGGGTTCCTTTTGGTTTCCCTCTTAAATAACCAAACAAAGGTACCGTCAAAAAAACAACTGGACATCCACTGGAGTCACAAGGGGTCGGGTTCCCCAGTGCTGAGCCACGTCCAGCCGATAGACTTCGCAACGCTGTTCAGGCCACAAAGCCTCGGACTGAGAAAATGGTCGAGCCGAGACTTTTACTGGGAAGAGCCTCCAACAATCGGAGGCTTTCTCCAACATGTGGCTTTCACGGGATGGTCGTGACGGACAAATCCTGCAAGTAGGTGTTTAATCACAGTAGGATTGATAATACCCAACTGGTGCAGGGTTGCGTCGATCCATATGGCTACCAAATTCCAACTTTGCATCTGGCAACGATTGCTGAGCAAGTAGTTGGGCATCTCGAGATGTCATATGCCTCAGATGGTCGAAAGTCGATTGAGACTGAATCTCTGTCAACTTCTCTCAGAAAAGCCACTGCGGAATTCGCCCTTCAGTGCTTAAGAAGGAAGCTACTTTGGACCCCTCCAGTGCACACACCCCAAAAACCCTTCTATTTTCAACCCTAAGGGGAGTTGAAAACGCGTCAAAAGCTCAGTGGAGTGGCCAAACAAAGTCTAAACTCCTTGTTTACTCCCCAACTTATGGAACCTGAAGAAGGGCGCCCTTCTTCAAAGGAGTTTGCTCCAATGATGTTATGAGCTGTATGCACCCAATCTTTTTTGGGGCCTTCCAGGTGACTCCAAAGACGCGAGCGAGGGACATGGTCGTTGGGCACCTGGTCAAGCCCAAACAGGAAGTACACCAAGTCAGAAAGGCGGTGAACCAAAAAGGGTCCCGTTTCATCCACTGAAAGGAAACTCGCATAAACTTGCCCGGGTGATGTTTAGAACCAAAGAGTTGCAAGCACGGGTGTCGTTAAGGGACCCCCCCAAATTGTGTGTTTCCAATGGGGTACACTCAAAACAGGACAACACCATGTCAATGTAGAACCCCTCTCGAACATGGGGTCAAAAGGCAGTCGCCGTCAGTGCTCAGCAAGCCGAGACTCTCATCGCCAATCCTCACGAAGAGAACCTCACGGGCATCCTCGTCTTGTCCTACCTGAAGCCGGGCCAAGGGACCCGTTCCCCATGCGAAAATCAAAGACTCCCTTGAACGTAAACTTAGGGCAAGGATTGAAGCCATAAGACAAACCCAGGGGCTTCCGGAGGTACAAAAAAGGAATTCCGCAGAAAGGATGTACTAGGGACCAAGCGACTAAACTGACAATACCAATTGCTGAGGATGTACCCACTTTCTATCAATGGAAGTGGACATGCTGAGGTTCCCCAAAAGGAAAGTAGTATTCCCACACCTTTCTGTCAGCCTCCATAACATGGAGTGTACAGCTACACATTCTTCCAAATTCGGGCCAGAGTTTTTGGCGGGATTTGCCTGTTTGCGCAGCTCACACGACAAGTTATGGGAAACCGCCCCTCTGTCTTGGGCCCCCAAAGGAGTATCTTTGCCATTAGGTTTCCGTTTGGGCTCCTTGATGCGTGAACATGCAATGAAACAAACAAACCTGGCAGGGGTGGAACCACTCCGAGCATTTGGCAAGGTTCCTGAAGCGGATCCCCACTTGGTTTCCCCTCACTGCACATTCCCAAGGCCCAAAAAAAGGCGGGGGCCCTCCTGAAGGAGGTTTCTCAGACTGCTTTTTCGCGATGTGAGTAAACGCCATCCCTGCCCCTCATTCACAACCTCGTGCCCCAAGATCCACTTGGCCATTTTCCCCCAACGAGCTGAAGGGTTGACTTGGTTGGTCTTCCTGGACATGAGCCACGGTGGTCAATATCAATATGAATTGTGTGCCCCCAATGGATCTTGATGAACCTCTATTTCTTGGTAGAGGCTTGGTGGTTTTGCCCGATGGCATTCCCTTTACTACAAATGACACTAAATATTGACTGGTGTTCCATCGTTTACACAAGTCATTGCCCAAAAACCATGCTTGAAACTGAGAAGGGCAGTCACTTAGCATTGACCCGCGGATGTTGCATCTCGAGGCAGGAGCAGTTGGGCACGACTCGAATCAAATCCCTGAGCCACGATCAATATTCTTTGTATTCCCAACTAACTTGGTATTTTGGTGAGCTCCTGTTCCCAATTCTAATTTGGTGAGCCTGCCCAACGGCATCCTGTCTACAGTTTATTATGGCACATGTTGAATTCTCCAAATCTCAGTCCCGGCCAAGGACTTGGAACAGCCCGTGTGAGCCCGGCACGCTCAACACTCTTTGGCTGCTTCACTTCTGGCCCCTCAACGAAAACCAAAGCGGTTTGTTGTCATGAAAACATAATTCATCACAGCCACATAGAGGGGCTATCAAACACGTGGCCCCTGGTTGTACCTTGGTGCCGGCTTGTGCCACCTTTTCAAGGGGATACCAAAAAGGACCCTTAATTCTGACAACCCACACGTTACTCTGTGGCTGTGCCAACAGTTGAGTGGGATTCACAAATTCCCAAACAGTTCAACGCCACATATTTATTTAATCAACTAGCAGACAGTTTTAGTGACAAAAGACCGCGCAGTCCCATTTCAGGAGGGCCCAGTCCCATTCTGCCGGAGGGTACGGAACAAACAATCACCTGTTTTAATCTGGCTAGCACCCACACCTCCTTACTCGGGAGTAGAACCATCTAAGCCACGGTCTCAATACGTATTTCGCGAGCACATGGGAAATTTGAAGTAGAGGTCCCTGATGTCCAGTCTTTCAAATGAACAATTTACAAATCTTGAAACTTTGACCCAACCTCACCTAACACTGGCCAAAACATCAGGGTTTTGGGCACTCTCATCAAGACCCGACAGCTCCACGTCTGCGGCCGGCCGGCGTGACGGATCAGGTCCTTGATCTCCTGCGGTATCCTTGGATATCGGCGAGATCCGACATGGGTAACCTGGTACGCTGACCAAGCTACCCCGAAAACGAACCTGGAACCTTCAGCCTCCCTCAAATCGGTTCGGATCCTATGGCGCAACTTTGGAAAGGGAAATCTTCGCTGCACCTCTTTTCCTGAGTTCGGAGCCCTGCTCCAACAAACCAAACATCATAAGCAACTTCTACTTGTCACTTCCAGATGGTTGGGGGAGTGCCCTGAGCTGAACCAATGGCATACCATGGCAAATCTGAGTTATTGCTCTCAGGACTTTAAACGAGATCCCAGTATTCCGGCCCGTGATCCAGGTCCACTGATTTCTCCCAAATGCTCTTTTGCATCCTGTGATACCAATGGGGGCATTTCCATTGACTTCCCCGTCACTTTAAAGAGGGCTCCCTTGAACATGATCCTGGAAATTCGCAACCTAAATCCCAATTTCCCACATGGGGGGGGGTGTTCAACATCGTGCTCCCCTAAAATAGTGGGTGGCCATGTTTCATTTTGGCCTCGTTTTTCCTAATCCATTTTGAGAAACACTCTAAAGAAGGACTCAGCCGGCTGAGTGCAGCGCTGACTGCATGCGGCATCCTCAGTGACATGAGCAAAGGACAGTTTTTGCCAGACTTCCAGTGGCTTCTCCATGAGATAAAGGGCTTGGTTAGGTTTTAAAGGGGTTTACCCCTCGAAAGGAGAAAAGCATTGGCACTGAAAGTCTGCAGTTAGCTGCCCACTGTTTGTCAACGGGCCACTTGTGCACGCCTTAACGGGCTCACCCTTGCTACCCCTTCTAAGCCAGGAAACATGGGGGCCTAAGAAAGAAGACACACACTCAACTTAGAACTAAGCATCCAACTCTGGTTCCATCATGTTCCATCCAACTAGAAGGGAGAAAGCCGCAATCCGGAGTTGTGTTTGGGTCTTGTCTTATTTGAGAAGAAACACGCATCCGTTGCCTGACATTGTTTCGAATGAAGCGGGCCCGAGTGCATGGTTCTTCCCTCTCGGTTTGCTTCTCAGTATATAGGTGTGATGTTTTGAGGGTACCCCGCGCTTGTGGTTTTCAAGAGGAAAACCACCAAACCATTTATCTTTTTTTCTTTCTCGGGGGGACACACCCATATAGGTTGCAGCAAACCGCAAGGTGGAGAAGCAAAACCAACAAACCGCCACCAGGACACCGCATAGCGATATAGCGATCTCGGGCATCCCCAGAGCTGACTTCTTGTCCGGTTCCATCCAAGTGGGTGTCCTTTTCATTGTGTTCAACCCCTAAATTAGAAGCCTTCAGGCCTTGGCGTCACAGCTTCAAGCTGCAACATGCAAACCTTCGATACTGCTCGTTGATGGGCGACTGTATTGATATGGCCTTTGTACGGTTTTACACGCACCGGGCACGGTATAGGTTTCCATCGAGAAGATGCCAGCAGTTGTGGGAAACCCAATGCTTTGGGCGCCCCTCCTTTCGAGCCACTAAACGCTAAACATATCGTATCAAGTTCGCAAGTCGCACACTCTATCAGAGTCCATGTTGTAAAATGTAAATTAGCTTTGGAGGAGACAGGGGTCACTGGATTGCCCCTGAAGTTGAGTGGTTGCCGGCTTGAACGATAGCCTTTGGAGGTTCCCTCAAAAAATGCCTCAACCTGAGAGATTTCAGTTTGGCTCGGATTCAATCCGAGAGGCGAACTGTGGCTCCCAGGGGTAGGTCAGCCACGTGGCCGCGCCAGGGAACTCGTCCAGGCCTGGTCGTTCCTGCGCGAGAGCTGTCCATTCCATTCGCAGACATCCTTCCGAAAACATGGGCCAGTCCCCTGGAATGATGGGCCAACCCCCCTGGTAGACAAACTGATGGATGAAAGAGAGTGGGTTGACTCCATATTTAAATCTTCTCTCAAACAAATGGACGCCAGAAATCGCGCAAGCCGCGCTTGAAATCCGTCCTCCACCGGTTCCATGCGCTGGGGTGTCTGGAGCAGGTTGTGCAGGGGCCAGTGGGCTAGCAGGGCACCTCGGGGGAATTTCCGGGAGGGAAAATGATCGACCAGAAACATGTAAAGATTTCAAAAGGCGGCTGCAGCAATTTACAGTTGGGACTATCCCCTACTAAAACCTTCATTTACCTCGGTTTCATTGTGGCTCAGCTGGTATTTGGGCTTTTATTGGGCTCCTTTGAACCTCTTTTCAACCCGGGGTGTTTTGCAGTGAAACCCTGGCTTGAAAGGCTCTTTCAGGTCGCCGCTTTGTCATGCGCCGAGGTACGTGATCTCAATGACTGGTAAGAGAGAGCTGCACAGGGGGGGTCGATAGTTCTTTCTTTTGATCCATAGTTGTTTGAAAACACCGGTGACCTTCCCTGGGTTGGCTTTCAAATGTGGGTGCCTCCTGGTCTCAGCCAGGTCAAAACCGCCAGATTCATAGACTGGCAAAGTCCAAGCGGAACCGTGGAGCCGAACGTCGTCCCTTGTCGCATTTGAGATCCGGGCCGACTCCAAACAGGAGTGACAACTCTCGCGTGATCGTCCACTGACGCCCCATGGCTCAAATATCTGTTGCTACTGAAGCAACTTGGAACGTGGGTCGGATCTATGAGTTTCGCTCTGCGACTTGGTGCTTGCCGTTCTGCCCGGGCGCTTGCCTTCCGGTGGAGCCGAGAGCGGCTGCAAGGAGCAACTACATTCAACAGGCCATGCAAGTAAGCAAACAAAGAAAGAAACGACCAATCAAGCACACGAACAACCAACTAACCAATCAACCAACCGACCAAACAAACAAACAAACAAACAAACAAACATGCAAGCAATAAAGCAAGCAAGCAAAGCAACAAGCTAAGACGCAACCAACACACGCAAGCAAGCAAGGAATCAATCATGCGGACAACAATGCAAACAAGCAATCACGCAAACAATAATGCAAACAAGCAAACGAGCAAACACGCAAGCAAGTCAACAAAAAACAAACAAACAACTAAGCAACTGAGAGCAAATCCAAAAGGATCCGAAGTTCAACACGAAGCATTAGGCTACCTCATTGGCCTGCGAGCTCCCACCAAACATATGGTTGGCTTCCTTTTGGCTTCCCTTTAAACACATCAAACAAGGGGGACCCTCAAGAGAGAGAGAGAGAGAGAGACACCCATTTACTTTCCCTTCAAACACAAGCCAAACAAAGGTACACTCAAAGAACGGGGATTCGGATCACCTGCTTGGGCGGATAAAACCCAAGGTTTGCGCACCAGATTAACATGGAACCCAAGCAACCACCCATGCTCAAACAAATTTCCTCTTGAGGGACCATTTTTTCTTAGCCCACTGCACTTCGAAAATCATGGTCTCTGATTCTGCTTCATAATCCCTGATTCTGCTTCATAACATTGGACATTCTTTTGGAGAAGACCCAGTTTTGAGCTCCCTGGAACACATGGAGTATGACTCCACCCAAACAGTGTGCCCCTCTGAGGCTCCGACAGTTCGCCTTCTTTGGCGCTGCCAGGGTGTTGATGGCACTGAGGCACATGTGCCGATACCTGGATTCGTCGCTTCCGTTTGGGCATGCGGCCTCTGAGGCTCGGTACCCTTTTCAGGTTGGCTTGAGGGAAGCCAAAAGGAAAACCAACATAGATATTCTTAGGTTCAGCTTGACACATACCCAGTTGCTTCCCCTGGAAACTTGAAGAATCTGCATGAGAAGAACCCCAAAGTCAGACGTCAGATTTAACAATTATTAGGGGTCATACACGTTGCCAACCACCATGAAAAATCATGGGCGTTGCCAACCACCATGAAAAGTCATGGGTGTTGCCAACCACCATGAAATATCATGGGCGTTGCCAACCGCCATGAAATATCATGGGCGTTGCCAACCACCATGAAATATCATGGGCGTTGCCAACCACCATGAAAAATCATGGGCGTCGCCAACCACCATGAAATATCATGGGCATTGCCAACCACCATCAAATATCATGGGCATTGTCAACCAGCATCAAATATCATGGGCGTTGCCAGCCGCCATGAAACATCATGGGTGTTGCCAACCACCATGAAAAATCATGGGCGTTGCCAATCATCATGAAATATCATGGGCATTGCCAACCATCATAGGCGTTGCCAACCACCATGAAAAATCATGGGCGTTGCCAACCACCATGAACAATCATGGGCGTTGCCAACCACCATGAAATATCATGGGCGTTGCCAACCCCCATGAAAATCATGACGGTTGTCAACCGCCATGAAAATCATGACGGTTGTCAACCGCCGTGACAGATCATGACGGTTGTCAACCCCCATGAAAATCATGACGGTTGTCAACCGCCATGAAAATCATGACGGTTGTCAACCCCCATGAAAATCATGAGCGTTGCCAACCACCATGAAATATCATGAGCGTTATCAACAACCATGAAATATGATGGGCGTTGCCAACCACCATCAAATATCATGGGCGTTGCCAACTGTCATTAAAAAAATCATAGGCGTTGCCAACCGCCATGAAAAGTCATGGGCGTTGCCAACCATCATGAAAAATCATAGGCGTTGCCAACCACCAATCATGGGCGTTGCCAACCACCATGAAATATCATGGGCGTTGCCAACCAGCATGAAATATCATGGGCGTTGCCAACCCCCATGAAAAATCATGGGCGTCGCCAACCACCATGAAATATCATGGGCATTGCCAACCACCATCAAATATTATGGGCATTGTCAACCAGCATCAAATATCATGGACGTTGCCAGCCGCCATGAAACATCATGGGTGTTGCCAACCACCATGAAAAATCATCGTCGTTGCCAACCACCATGAAAAATCATGGGCGTTGCCAACCACCATGAAAAATCATGGGCGTCGCCAACCACCGTGAAAAATCATGGGCGTTGCCAACCACCATGAAACATCATGGGCGTTGACAACCACCATGAAAAATCATGGGCGTTGCCAACCACCATGAAACTCATGGGCGTTGCCAACCCCCATGAAAATCACGAGCGTTGCCAACCGCCATAAAAAATCATGACGGTTGTCAACCCCCATGAAAATCATGCCGGTTGTCAACCGCCATGAAAACCATGACGGTTGTCAACCCCCATGAAAATCATGACGGTTGTCAACCGCCATTAAAATCATGGGCGTTGCCAACCACCATGAAATATCATGGGCATTGTCAACCACCATGAAATATCATGGGCGTTGCCAACCACCATGAGATATCAGGGGCGTTGCCAACCGTCATGAAAAATCATAGGCGTTGCCAACCACCAAGAAAAATGATGGGCGTTGCCAACCACCATGAAATATCATGGGCGTTGCCAACCACCATGAAAAATCATGGGCGTCGCCAACCACCATGAAATATCATGGGCATTGCCAACCACCATCAAATATCATGGGCATTGTCAACCATCATCAAAAATCATGGGCGTTGCAAACCCACCGCCATGAAAGATCATGGCGGTTGCCAACCGCCATGAAAAATCATGGGCGTTGCCAACCACCATGAAATATCATGGGCGTTGCCAACCACCATGAAAAATCATGGGCGTCGCCAACCACCATGAAATATCATGGGCATTGCCAACCACCATCAAATATCATGGGCATTGTCAACCAGCATGAAATATCATGGGCGTTGCCAGCCGCCATGCAATATCAGGGGTGTTGCCAACCACCATGAAAAATCATGGGTGTTGCCAATCATCATGAAATATCATGGGCATTGCCAACCATCATAGGCGTTGCTAACCACCATGAAAAAATTATGGGCGTTGCCAACCACCATGAACAATCATGGGCGTTGCCAACCACCATGAAATATCATGGGCGTTGCCAACCCCCATGAAAATCATGACGGTTGTCAACCGCCATGAAAATCATGACGGTTGTCAACCCCCATGAAAATCATGAGCGTTGCCAACCACCATGAAATATCATGAGCGTTATCAACCACCATGAAATATCATGGGCGTTGCCAACCACCATCAAATATCATGGGCGTTGCCAACTGTCATGAAAAAAATCATAGGCGTTGCCAACCGCCATGAAAAGTCATGGGCGTTGCCAACCATCATGAAAAATCATAGGCGTTGCCAACCACCAACCATGGGCGTTGCCAACCACCGTGAAATATCATGGGCGTTGCCAACCATCATGGGCGTTGCCAACCACCATGAAAAATCATGGGCATTGCCAACCACCATGAAATATCATGGGCGTTGCCAACCACCATGAAATATCATGGGCGTTGCCAACCCCCATGAAAATCATGACGGTTGTCAACCGCCATGAAAATCATGACGGTTGTCAACCCCAATGAAAATCATGCCGGTTGTCAACCGCCATGAAAATCATGAATCATGACGGTTGTCAACCGCCATGAAAATCATGGGCGTTGCCAACCGCCATGAAAAATTATGGGCATTGCCAACCGCCATGAAAACTCATCGTCGTTGCCAACCACCATGAAAAATCATGGGCGTTGCCAACCACCATGAAAAATCATGGGCATCGCTGAAAAATCATGGGCGTTGCCAACCACCATGAAAAATCATGGGCGTTGCCAACCGCCATGAAAAATCATGGGCGTTGCCAACCACCATGAAAACTCATGGGCGTTGCCAACCCCCATGAAAATCATGAGCGTTGCCAACCGCCATGAAAATCATGACGGTTGTCAACCCCATGAAAATCATGCCGGTTGTCAACCGCCATGAAAACCATGACGGTTGTCAACCCCCATGAAAATCATGACGGTTGTCAACCGCCATGAAAATCATGGGCGTTGCCAACCACCATGAAATATCATGGGCATTGTCAACCACCATGAAATATCATGGGCGTTGCCAACCACCATGAAATATCAGGGGCGTTGCCAACCGTCATGAAAAATCATAGGCGTTGCCAACCACCAAGAAAAATGATGGGCCTTGCCAACCATCATGAAAAATCATGGGCGTTGCAAACCAACCGCCGTGACAGATCATGGCGGTTGCCAACCACCATGAAAAATCATGGGCGTTGCCAACCACCATGAAATATCATGGGCGTTGCCAACCACCATGAAAAATCATGGGCGTCGCCAACCACCATGAAATATCATGGGCATTGCCAACCACCATGAAATATCATGGGCATTGTCAACCAGCATGAAATACCATGGGCGTTGCCAGCCGCCATGAAATATCATGGGTGTTGCCAACCACCATGAAAAATCATGGGCGTTGCCAATCATCATGAAATATCATGGGCATTGCCAACCACCATAGGCGTTGCCAACCACCATGAAAAATCATGGGCGTTGCCAAACACCATGAACAATCATGGGCGTTGCCAACCCCCATGAAACTCATGACGGTTGTCAACCGCCATGAAAATCATGACGGTTGTCAACCGCCATGAAAATCATGACGGTTGTCAACCCCCATGAAAATCATGACGGTTGTCAACCGCCGTGAAAATCATGACGGTTGTCAGACTCCATGAAAATCATGAGCGTTGCCAACCACCATGAAATATCATGAGCGTTATCAACCACCATGAAATATCATGGGCGTTGCCAACCAGCATCAAATATCATGGGCGTTGCCAACTGTCATGAATAAAATCATAGGCGTTGCCAACCGCCAAGAAAAGTCATGGGCGTTGCCCACCATCATGAAAAATCATAGGCGTTGCCAACCACCAATCATGGGCGTTGCCAACCACCGTGAAATATCATGGGCGTTGCCAACCAGCATGAAATATCATGGGCGTTGCCAACCACCATCAAATATCATGGGCGTTGCCAACCCCCATGAAAGACGATGACGGTTGTCAACCGCCATGAAAATCATGAGCGTTGCCAACCGCCATGAAAATCATGGGCGTTGCCAACCGCCATGAAAAATCATGGGCATTGCCAACCGCCATGAAAAATCATCGCCGTTGCCAAACACCATGAAAAATCATGGGCGTTGCCAACCACCATGAAAAATCATGGGCGTCGCCAGCCACCGTGAAAAATCATGGGCGTTGCCAACCACCAAGAAAAATCATGGGCGTTGCCAACCACCATGAAAAACCATGGGCGTTGCCAACCACCATGAAAACTCATGGGCGTTGCCAACCCCCATGAAAATCATGAGCGTTGCCAACCGCCATGAAAATCATGACGGTTGTCATGCCGGTTGTCAACCACCATGAAAATCATGACGGTTGTCAACCCCCATGAAAATCATGACGGTTGTCAACCACCATGAAAATCATGGGCGTTGCCAACCACCATGAAATATCATGGCATTGTCAACCAGCAAGAAATATCATGGGCGTTGCCAACCACCATGAGATATCAGGGGCGTTGCCAACCGTCATGAAAAATCATAGGCGTTGCCAACCACCAAGAAAAATCATGGGCGTTGCCAATCATCATGAAATATCATGGGCGTTGCAAACCAACCGCCATGAAAGATCATGGCCGTTGCCAACCGCCATGAAAAATCATGGGCGTTGCCAACCGCCATGAAAGATCATGGGCGTTGCCAACCACCATGAAAAATCATGGGCGTTGCAAAGCATTATGAAAAATCACAGGCGTTGCCAACCACCATGAAAAATGAACGGCCGCACAAGTGGTGCTTCTCTGCCGCAAAACCCCTTGTGCGGCCATATTTAGCAAAAGGGCCTTTGTGCGGCCATTTTCTGCGCCTTATGCGTTGCCAACCACCATGAAAAATCATGGGCGTTGCCAACCACCATGAAAAATCATGGGCGTTGCCAACCACCCTGCAAAATCATGGGCGTTGCCAGCCACCATGAAATGATATGCGTTGCCAAGCACCAAGAAAAATCATAGGCGTTGCCAACCACCATGAAAAATCATGGGCGTTGCCAACCACCATGAAAACTCATGGGCGTTGCCAACCACCATGAAAATCATGACGGTTGTCAACCCCCATGAAAAGCATGACGGTTGTTAACCGCCATGAAAACCATGAGCGTTGCCAACCACCATGAAATATCATGGGCGTTGTCAACCACCATGAAATATCATGGGCGTCGCCAACCACCATGAAAGATCATGGGCGTTTCCAACCATCATCAAAAATCATAGGCGTTGCCCACCACCATGAAAAGTCATGGGCGTTGCCAACCACCATGAAAGATCATGACGGTTGTCAACCGCCATGAAAATCATGAGCGTTGCCAACCGCCATGAAAATCATGACGGTTGTCAACCCCCATGAAAATCATGCCGGTTGTCAACCGCCATGAAATTCATGGGCGTTGCCAACCACCATGAAATATCGTGGGCGTTGCCAACCGCCATGAAAACTCATGGTCGTTGCCAACCACCATGAAAAATCATGGGCGTTGCCAACCACCATGAAAAATCATTCGCATCGCCAACCGCAGTGAAAAGTCATGGGCGTTGCCAACCACCATGAAAAATCATGGGCGTTGCCAACCACCATGAAAATCATGGGCGTTGCCAACCGTCAAGAAAAATCATTGGCGTTGCCAACCACCATGAAAAATCATGGGCGTTGCCAACCACCATGAAATAGCATGGGCGTTGCCAGCCCCCATGAAAATCATGACGGTTGTCAACCGCCATGAAAATCATGAGCGTTGCCAACCCCCATGAAAATCATGACGGTTGTCAACCCCCATGAAAAGCATGACGGTTGTTAACCGCCATGAAAATCATGAGCGTTGCCAACCACCATGAAATATCATGGGCGTTGCCAACCACCATGAAATATCATGGGCGTCGCCAAGCACCATGAAAGATCATGGGCGTTTCCGACCATCATCAAAAATCATAGGCGTTGCCAACCGCCACGAACAATCTTGGGCGTTGCCAACCACCATGAAAAGTCATGAGCGTTGCCAACCGCCATGAAAATCATGACGGTTGTCAACCCCCATGAAAATCATGCCGGTTGTCAACCGCCATGAAATTCATGGGCGTTGCCAACCACCATGAAAAATCATGGGCGTTGCCAACCGCCATGAAAACTCATGGTCGTTGCCAACCACCATGAAAAATCATGGGCGTTGCCAACCACCATGAAAAATCATTCGCATCGCCAACCGCCGTGAAAACTCATGGGCGTTGCCAACCACCATGAAAAATCATGGGCGTTGCCAACCACCATGAAAAATCATGGGCGTTGCCAACCGTCATGAAAAATCATTGGCGTTGCCAACCACCATGAAAAATCATGGGCGTTGCCAACCACCATGAAATAGCATGGGCGTTGCCAACCACCATGAAAATCATGGGCGTTGCCAACCGCCATGAAAAATCATGGGCGTTGCCAACCGCCAAGAAAAATCATGGGCGTTGCCAACCACCATGAAAAAATCGCAGGCGTTGCCAACCACCATGAAATATCATGAACGTTGCCAACCACCATGAAACATAATGGGCGTTGCAAACCACCATGAAAAATCATAGGCGTTGCCAACCACCATGAAAATTCATAGGCGTTGCCAACCATTATGAAAAATCACAGGCGTTGCCAACCACCATGAAAAATGAACGGCCGCACAAGTGGTGCTTCTCTGCCGCAAAACCCCTTGTGCGGCCATTTTTAGCAAAAGGGTCTTTGTGCGGCCATTATAAGTTGCCAACCACCGTGCAAAATCATAGGCGTTACTAACCACCATGAAAAATCATGGGCGTTGCCAACCACCATGAAAAATCATGGGCGTTGCCAACCACCATGAAAAACCACCATGAACAATCATGGGTGTTGCCAACCACCGTGACAAATCATGGGCGTTGCCAACCACCATGAAAGAATCGTAGGCGTTGCCAACCACCATGAAAATTCATCGGCGTTGCCAACCATCATGAAATATCATGGGCGTCGCCAACCACCGTGAAAAATCATGGGCGTTGCCAACCACCATGAAAAATCATGGGCGTTGCCAACCGCCGAGAAAAATCATGGGCGTTGCAAACCAACCGCCATGAAAAATCATGGGCGTTGCCAACCACCATGAAACATCATGGGCGTTGCCAACCACCATGAAAAATCATAGGCGTTGCCAACCATTATGAAAAATCACAGGCGTTGCCAACCACCATGAAAATTGAACGGCCGCACAAGTGGTGCTTCTCTGCCGCAAAACCCCTGTGCGGCCATTTTTAGCAAAAGGGCCTTTGTGCGGCCATTTTCTGTGCCTTATGCGTTGCCAACAACCCTGCAAAATCATAGGCGTTGCCAGCCACCATGAAAAATCATGGGCGTTGCCAACCACCAAAAAAAAATCATGAGCGTTGCAACCGCCATGAAAATCATGAGCGTCATGGACGCTGCGGCCGCCACGGACGTAAACCCGAAAAAAGATGCGTTGCCAATCGCCATGAAAATCATGACGGTTGCAAACCGCCATGAAAATCATGACGGATGACGGTTGAAAACCGCCATGAAAATCATGAGCGTCATGGACGCTGCGGCCGCCAAGGACGTAAACCCCGAAAATCATACGCGTTTCCAACCGCCATGAAAATCATGAGCGTCATGGACGCTGCGGCCGCCAAGGACGTAAACCCGGAAAATCATACGCGTTGCCAACCGCCATGAAAATCATGACGGTTGCCAACCGCCATGAAAATCATGACGGTTGTGAACCCCATGAAAATCATGACGGTTGTCAACCCCCATGAAAATCATGACGGTTGTCAACCGCCATGAAAATCATGAGCGTCATGGACGCTGCGGCCGCCAAGGACGTAAACCCCGAAAATCATATGCGTTGCCAACCGCCATGAAAATCATGACGGTTGTCAGCCGCCATGAAAATCATGACGGTTGTCAACCCCCGTGAAAATCGTGACGGTTGTCAACCCCCATGAAAATCATGAGCGTTGCAAACTTCTATGACCCCTAAAGATTTGTTTGTCGTTGCAAAGTCAGGGTCATGAGTTGAGAACATCGCTCGTTTATCCCCAAATCGGTGAGCTCATAGTGGAAAGAATCCGGAACGCAATCTGCCAAGTAAATGTCCGCCACTAAACTGCGAACAGCATGGAACAGCCGAGGTACGCGGTACGCGTCAAAAAACTACAGGGTACCGCATGTGGGGTACAACAAACCCATCTGAGCGGCGGTCAAAACCAGGGTTCCGCAATGCTACATTCCATGTCTGCCTTCGCAAACCCTTTCGCGGCCCTTTCGCGAACATGATTCCTGGCGCCCCTTTCGCGAAGCTTTCGCGGTGCTGTGATGCCCTGTGATTTCCCTTGTGCGCAGCAACTCGCAGGGCAACACCTTTAATAACTTTTTTCATCGTGTTTGGACCGCTGCTCATCTAGCGCCATGAGGATTCGTGTTTTTTTGGCAGGGTGAGACCTCATGTTGGCTTCCCTCCTAGGATGGCTTCCAACCGTTGTTTAAGGCGTTTTTGGCCAAACCATTTCGGAGCTTTTTCACGTGGAGGGATTGGTTGTCGATTCGGGGCAGGTGAGCAGAACAGGCGGCCCCCAGCCTCATCTCGAGCTGCTCTTGCTTCGGTGCCACAGGGGCTCGGCCCTTGTCCTGAGGTCAGACTCCAACCCCCTCACCCTTCCCTCCTGATTTACTGGGCGGGTCCGGGGTGCAGGCAAGAGGGAGGGTTGCTCCAACAACCTTAGATTTAGGTCGCAAAGGGGAAAAGAAGAAGTGCCATCCAATGTTCGCGCAAAGGTTGGCCATTTTGCGGTTTGGAGCAATGCAGAATGTCTGTCGAAATCCTACCAGCACAGACGAAACCTTGTCTTGGCTTCCTATTTCGTGGCCACAAATCGGAATGGGCCCCCGAAACTTGATGTCTCTTTGATGTTCTCTTGCACAACAATTAGGACACCCCCCAATTTGAGGTGTCTTAGCGTGGCACCATCTCCAACAAACCCGTGCGAATTCGTGAGAATAATTCCACCCTCTCCCCCGCCCCCGTGGAAGACAATGTCTGCCGGCTTGGACATTTTTGCTTCCCTGTGCGAGATGCCGCCACTGGCCGCAGGCTTGGGATCCCGCTGCCCCACGTGCACTTGAAAGGTCGCAAATTACTTGTGAGGCTTCCATGTGCTTCCCCTCTAAACTTGCCTTTTGGAGGCAATTTGAGGACGTCGCTGTGGAAGATCCGGGACGAATTACCATGGACCGATAGAGCCTTCTTTTTCCGGCAAGCGGGCAGGGTTGTCAGCCTGACCAGTGCCCGCAAGCAAATTAACATGGAACTTGGAGCCCAAAAGGTCCAACAAAGAACTGCACGATTTTGAGATTCCATCCGATCTAACCCACACCTTCCGACATTCCCACTTCACATCACTTAAAGGACGCTCACTTTCAATTGGCAACCACAAGGTGATTTTCAAAACCAGCCAGAGTCGCTACCAGGTGATTTTCAAAACCCCGCCCATACCCATTGTTCGTCTTCTCCTCGGCGGCTTTCATGTGGAGGTTGTGAATGCGACACAAGAGCTCCACAGCGCCAGGGTCCTCCTCAACACATCTGCGCTCCGCGCGCGGCATGCGCGGCCGCGCGATATGTTTGGTCTCAAAGAAACGCCAACCCCAGCCTGGTGACGTTTGGCCAACAAATCAGCGCAAACAAGGCTCTCGTGATCAAAAGAAACGAGGCGTCAGAAGCGGGTTTAGGCTGCAGGCACACCTGGCACGGTTTCAAACATTCCCCCCAGTTGGAGGCCAATTCCCCCGGTTGGAGGCCAACTCCAAGACGACCCCATGGCCCTCACAGTTTTTGACCCAAAGCAAAAGGAAGCCGAGCAGCATGTTGGGGGATTCAAGTCCGTTACAAACCTCCCCCATTTCCAACAAGGGACCAGCCTGGTTTTGGACTCATGAAAACCACGACTCAAACAAGTGTCAAACAAAGGAAACATGGGGGTACCCGGACGAATCCCTTAAGGGTAGTTCGAGGGTCCACGTACCCTTTTCCAACACTCGAACAGTTTCCTCGACCTAAATCAACTTTCAATTTCGAGCATCCTCAAATGTGGTCAAGAAAGAGATTTGGCCCCCCACTTTTCTCAAAAAAGGAACCCCCTGAGGGTTTCTCTCCTGCTGGTTCTTGAAAGGGAGAAGAAAAGGGAAGCGTTGCCATTGGGACCCGATCGCTCTTTGAAAGCACTAAGAAAAGAAGAAGTCCAGTGACCTCGCGTGGATTTCATGAAAAAAAAACTTGGCACCCCATTTGGTAGCTGTATGTTCAATTGGGGTTTTCTCTCGCTGGAGGTCTGGGCTACAGATGGGCGTATCACTTAAAAACAGCGAACCAACCTGAAAAGGGCTGTGTTTTTGCAGGTGTCCCTGAAAAAACAAAAAACTACTGATAAGCACCCCCACTCATCGGGCAAGAGCTCGTGGTCTGGTTGCGCCTCCATCCAGCGGTTGTGGCGTACCAGGTCCAGCAGCTGGGGGTGCCGCGTCAAGTTGGTCTCGTTCTCCTCGAAGTGGCTCAGCACCATGAGCATGCTCAGCGCCTCAGCCGGAAAAAAAACAGATTTCCTGGAAAACGACTTACCCCCAATTTCCCCAACGAGAGCAAGGAGAAAAGTCCGAACCCGAAAAGAAGGCCGGGCAACAAATGGGGCGACGGGGGGGGGGGGAAGGGTGGTTGGCAAAAAACGAGGGGGAAGTTTCCCTCCAAAACATCCCAAGTACCCAAAGGGGCTTCAGCGCAGAGTTTGCAGGAATTTCCCTTGGGATTTTTTAGGATTTAAACCACGGCTTAAACAACCTCCTGCTCAGTTGCCCAGCTCGGACTCAGGGAGGAAACTGTGTCGGATGCGGCCGATTCGCTTTGCAAGTGAGCCTTCTGGGGGAAAGCTCTTTGGATTTTCTAGTGGAGGCACTCCACATCCCCGAGAGGCCAAGGTGCTCGCAGATCCTCGCGACTGGCCTTCCTGAAGGGCTGTTGGCTGTTCCTGAAGCGAGGGAACAGGGGATGGTTGGGGCCTTTGGGGCGGGGGGGGGGGGGGCCTCTGTTTGGGTTTGGTAAGACTTGATTGATTGACCCGCCAACAGGGTTCTAACACATGGGCACCTTCACTGTGAAGTCCAGCATTAACCGTATGCAAAAAGCTACTTGAAGGAAGCTATTCAACAAATGGGGTCAGCAACCGGATGCGATGGCCCTGTGCAAGCGATAATGCTACCCAAGAGAGGGACACCCTCCAGATTTATGAACAGGGGGCTGGGGGGAATGAGTCTGAGGGTTACCCTCCTTTGCACCAACGTTGCGGCTGACAGCGGGTCCTTCGCAAAGTCTGACGGATTCAACGCAAACTTTCGATGAGTATCCCAAGGTAGACGTAAAGTTCTCGAAGGTGCCGGTTTCAGGACACCAATCATTTTGAGATTTAGGTCTACCCTGTGATAACTACCCCCAGGTTCACCCCGAAACTAGATCGACACATTTCCCGACTCCTGATGAGCTCTGGCGGGGCGAGGGGGTCTTTGCCCTTCTGCTCGGCCTCGCTTCGCTGAAGCTGTGACCTCGGCTCGGTTTGGGGAAGTGTTCGGCGGCTGGCCGGGTGTCGGGTGTGGTGGTTGCCCGACTGGGCACTTCCTCGTTTTATGAATCCCCTAAAGTGCTCCAACTGATGGTGCTCTAACTGATCTTTGACGTCTTGAGCATAAAGCAGGGCTCCCCTCTTAAAGCTGGCAAAAGGTAATAGTAAAACCACCCGAAGAAGCAACATGAACGCCCTTTACCCTCCCTCCAACCATCATGGAAGCTCACAGGAGGCTTTTGGAAGACTACTTTTCGTTCGGAAGCCCCTGTTCACGTCCAGAATTGTTGGGAATGAGGGTAAGAAAAAAACCTCAACAAGGGCTTCTGACTTTTGAGCGTCCAACTTCATTTTCAGCCATTAAAACGAGATTCAAAGCAACTCCCGGCTTGCAAGTGCTGCTTGGCCGTGGTCGAATTGGGGGCTCTGGAAAAAGAAACGCATCTGCGGACATGAGATTAATTTCAATTTGGGACCCTTTGGTGGACATCCCTTAGGTGGAGATTCATGTCCAGAACCACATTTCAGGTGGTTCCCCTATCAACATTCGTATCCAAAGAAATTACGAGTTGTTTGGCTTCCAGGTTCTCGCAAGTGTCTTAAGGAGAGTGAGCCTGGCGCAATGCAGCTGGGCAACATGTCACAGGTCACCAACCAGTACCAAAACCTCATAGATCCCCATAGCCCCAAAGGGTCACAAGTTGCAATTCATAGCTCTGAACTGCGAAACTGATTTGTCCCTAAGCCCAACTGAGGTTGGACACTAGCTGGGAAGGCATGTCACAGCCAATTCTTTGTCACGGGCATGATTGTGAACAGTTGGGTTTTAGGGTCGCTGTCCCTGATACCAAGGACATGTCCCTGCAAAAGGGATACAATACTCATGGGGATGACCCGTACTGTTGTCCAAGGCTGATTTTCCACCACCATCATGGTTGCAAACGCGTTGGTGAGGTCGCTTTAGCTTGCCCCAAACGTGCTTGATCGCATATCAAAGGAATTGCATGCCCGTTCAGCCACTGGAAGTCTGGCTACTGAGACAGAACAACAACCCACTGGAATTTGGTATGTCTCAAACAAGGGTTACCCAAGAAATGCCTGTCTCTTGGATTCCCATCTTATGCAACCTGAAACAGGTACATACCCTGAAAGTCCCAGACCCTCGGTGGCCATGGGACAACTTCGCATCTCTCTCTCTCTCTCTCTCTCTCTCTCTCTCTCTCTCTCTCTCTCTCTCTCTCTTTTGGTGTGTTTTGAAGGGAAACAGGCAGAAGCAAGGGGCATCTGCATGCGGCATTGGTCTGGGAACAACATGCCCAAACGGCGTCAAAGGCACATGTTCCGCCTCAGCCACTGCTCCACCGCCTCCTGCTCCTCCCGGCAGGCCTCGACTATGGAACCAACCCTTTCGCTTATTCCCCTTCCACCACCAACCATGCGGTTGGACCTGCAGTATTGTATAACAATAGAGACGGGTCAAATGGATCTTCTTGGACCTAGGACCAATAGCAGCGACAAGGACAGGTCAAATGAAGTTAGGAGGAAAGGCCAAGCGTCAAGTGGCTTATGCACCCAACAGTTTCAAGGCAAAGTACAACAGGAACAGGATGGGGATTGGACAAGAATGGGCACTAAATCCACAAGGTGAGTAATAATTAGCAGCGAAGTGGTCTACCCTAAACACATGCCAAATAATCAATCGGCGGCCACCTGCACCCAGTTCTGCTTGGGGACTCCCTTCGTCTACCTGGCTTGGATTACGGCTCAAGGGGAAGCCCCACAACGTAGCGTTTAATCGGTCTCTCCCAGTTCCTCGGCTTCAAGCTTTGTGAAAGACCACTTCCGATGGGGTCATGTGCCGAAAGAACATCTTGCAGCTTCGGGACGATCAAATCATACCTTGCAAATGGTTGTGCCTTCAAAGCCGAGTCTGTTTCGGCATGTGTTGCTGATTGAAGCTGCCAAGTGATCCAGGAAGATTTAGAGAACATGTCTCCTTTGCCACGGAGTTGGGCCACACCTGACACGAGAAAAGATGGGAGTACCCATGCTCAGCTTGGTGACTCCCATGAATCTCCTGTACTGGGATCCGGATCGAACCTCCCATGCGAAGTGACCGGGTAGAATCAACTTCTAGGAGGTGTCTATGTTCAATTTCCCGTGAAAGTGGTCCAAAAAAAGAAGCAGTTTTCTTGTTCGTCCCCTTTAGGTTTCGTTTCAAGGTGTCCCAGCGATCGTAAAGTGCATCCTTTGTTGGTTTCTTGGACATCGAACCGGTCAGTGAAATCCCCCCCCCCGCATTTCCCAGATGCGACAAAACGGACCGCAGAAAGGCCCGAAATGCCAAGCGCCTCTTGGTATTCCGCCCGGGTTTTGGCTGCTGCATCCAAGTCGTCTTCGTCCTCGTCCGTCAGCTTCTCCTTGATGGATGCGGAGGATGGAGGAGGGGTTTGGGGTGGGAAAAGTATTCATCAAATAAAAAAAACAATATGGACCAATTCTGCGGGTCCGCAGGGTTGGTTCACCTCGTGCGGCAAACCATTGACCTCGAAAAATAATAACCCAACTCCCTCCCCCAGCCCCGCCCCCTCTGATCGCAGGGCGGAACTTGGGTCAATTAATTTGGGTGAGCTCCCATGAAGGGCCAGTCCTGTTACCAAAACTGCGCGAGCGCGGGGGGCTGCGTTGAACATGCCACGAGTCTCAGTGAATTGTCTGATGAGGGGACCTTTATGAGGCTGAACACGCCCTGAGGTTGCGATAATTTGCCAAAGCTACCAAGAAATCGAGGCGGGTCCTTAATCTTGACACACAGCCAAATCTCAGCAAACAAATAGGCTTGGTCTGGCTCGGAAACTTGCATCAGTACCCTCCCAACAAACACGGAACTGCGCTAACCCTTGTTGAAAGACTTCTTTCAGCCTGCACAAAGGTCTGGTGCGCTTCCATGTTGGCGGAAGGGCAGCTGCAAGCATAGCGATGCATGACCAGTCTGGGATCGTCAGCTCAGTTCGGGGCCCACTTGCTGTAGTCCGCCATTCGCCTAGCATCCGACCGCCTTTACATCCCAATAAGGTCATGGAGACTCGAGGGAAACATGATCACCACCCATAAGCCTCTTTCATGGCATTTGGATGTTTCAATTGCATTTGGTAGTTTCAATTTTGAGTGGGGGGGGGGGGGCGGGGCGGTACATCAAATCATGTTTAATTGCATGTAACGGGCGCATGCTGCAGAAGCAAGCCCAAAGTGGCTGAACAAGCCAAAGGCCATCAAAGACCGATCCCTCAAACATGCTGCAGAAGCCGGGGTGGGGCTGAACAAGCCCGTGAAGCAAGCCCAAAGTGGCTGAACAAGCCAAAGACCGATCCCTAAAACATGCTGCAGAAGCAGGGGTGGGGCTGCTCAAGCCCAGCACCAAGGGCAGTGAAAAAACCTTGCCGGAGAAGCCAGTGAGGGGAGACGCAAGCCTAGAAGCACAGAGCTCAGCTTCCTCGGGCCGGTTGGAAGCCAAAACAGCATGCCATATGGCAGCATGTACCCACATCACACATGTTGGTTGGCTTCAGGATGGTCAAGCCAAAGCACACACATATATACATACATACACAAACATGCATACACACATGCGTTACATTACATTACATTACATCACATTACATCACATCACATCATATTGCAGTACATTCCATATATTGCAGTACATACATACATACATACATACATACATACATACATACATACATACATACATACATACATACATACATACATACATACATACATACATACATACATACATACATACATACATACATACATACATACATACATACATACATACATACATACATACATACATACATACATACATACATACATACATACATACATACATACATACATACATACATACATACATTCACACATACATACATGCATACACACATACCATGCATGCATTATTGCATGCATGCAAACAAACATACATGCATACACACACATACATGCATACACGCAAGCAAGTACTCGCATACACACATACACACATACACACATGCATGCACGCAAGCATACATGCATACATACATTACACACATACATAATACTCATACACTGACTTGACTTGACTTACTTACTTACTTACTTACTTACTTACTTACTCCCTGGCCGCAGCATGACTGGAAGAAACAGACCTTTCTCGGGGTGAAACTGTAGTTGCGCCAGGGCGGACTCGAACCACCATCTTTGCTCTAGCCAGGTGGGGTTCAGACATTTGCCAAGTGACACTTAAGTGGACCCTGACCCTGAGAAGCTGCCCTTGTGGGCCATGGTGGTTGTTCGCAAATGGCCCTCACGAGTGTAGCGCTCCCACCTCAGTCCCCAAACATTATGCTAGTGCACCCCGTCACCTGGCACATAGCCGTGCTGCAAGCAATGGGCCCGTGCTGCAGAAGCAAGCCCAGAGTGCCGAAGCAAGCGTTCTGCAGAAGCAGAAATAGGGCTGAACAAGCCCAATGGAAACAAAACAGCCCCCCGGCATCGGGAACGTCTTGTGTTACAGTTTGGAACCCAAACATGTTGCAAGCAGTGGGAAGCAGGAATAAAGCTGCGCACAAGCCTAACAAAACAGGCTAAGTTTGGCTAAGATCAAGCAATGAACATCTTAAGCGTTCGGAGTCCTATGTACCTTTCAGCATCATGTCGCTGCGGCTGTGCAGCGCGTAGGATTGCAAACTTTGGCTTTTTCAAGCTTCTCATGTCCGTGTTTGTTGGCACTCGCCAGGTCCATGAAGGCAAGCAAGTCTAAAGCAACTCTTGGCATCCCAACACTCAAGAAAGTAGCACGTCACCCCCTGCCAGAACACAAAAGCACGCCTCTAATTCGTAGGTGGCATGTGGTAAAGACATGCCTTCAGCAAAACATCACATGCGATCACATGACACAATTCTGGCAATGTTCACATGTTCACAACTTGCTCTTGAGCTGCAACAGGATAACTGGTTAGCAACCCAATGACACATGGAAGCTTCCGCTGCACCATCGTCCACATGGCCATTCACGAGAGGGTCAAGGAAGCCATGCGAATGCAGCCAGGCCTGGGCAGCATCTTTAGTCAGGGCGATAAACAACACATTGATGTCACACACGCTCTCAAGGTTTTTGTTGCGTTAGCTCAGCCTTTGCTTTGAACTGCAAGGGTCAGGCCTCAGCCTTTGCTCTCAAGGTCGCTGGCTTTACCATATGCTAGCTCAGCCTTTGGTAAGCCAACCATTACAAGCGTGGAAGGCTAGCTTAGGACAAACAAGTGTGGGCTAGAAGCCAGCTTCAATCTGTGTCATTGAGGAGTGGGCTTAAGCTTGCAATGGCAAGTGGGTGCAGGGCAGACCCATGTAAAGCGACTTGAAAACAGGCGTGTGATTCCAAACCCCCCGTCACAAATCTGCAATGGCAAATCCAGCCCAATTTTAGCCCAACTCTAGCAACCCCAACAACTGGTGTGGACACTTGCACGCATGCACGCATGTGCACATGTTTTTTGAAGGTGCCCTTTTTGTGATGTTTCAAAGGGAGACCAAATGCCACCGTGCACGCATGCATGGGCTCCTCATCTTTTGAGGGTACCAAAAGGGCGAAAGTTTCAAGGGAGCAAAGTCAAGCCACAATGCATGTGTCTTTTTTTGGGGTAGCCTGTTTGGGATGGTTTAAAGGGATCCCAAAACCCCATGCGTGCATGCGTGGGTGCGTCGTTTTTCAAGGGGAACTCTTTTGGATCTTTGCTTTCTCCTCCTCCTTTGCTTTCTCCTCCTTTGCTTTCTCCTCCTTGGATTTCTCTTCCTCTGCTTTCTCCTCCTTTGCTTTCTCCTCCTTTGCTTTCTTCTCCTTTGCTTTCTCCTCCTTGGATTTCTCCTCCTTTGCTTTCTTCTCCTTGGATTTCTCCTTCTTTGCTTTCTCCTGCTTGGCTTTCTTCTCCTTTGCTTTCTCCTGCTTGGCTTTCTCCTCTTTCTTTTTTCCCTGCTTGTTCTTTTCTTTCTGATCCTTCGCCTGCTTTGTCGGCTTTTCTGCAGGGCTTGTGGGTGACTCCACGTCTGTGCCAGCAAGGGCTTCCACCGCTTGCGCTGCTGCTGCTGCTGCTGCTGCTGCCGGGCCACCTGCTTTGCTGCTCGCAGGCAGACCCATGAGCGCCTCTTCTCGCTCTTTCTCCCGGGTGTCTACCTCCCTTTGGAGCACGCGTTGCCACATTTGCTGGTGTTTTGCCAAGTTTTTTCGATGCCAGGACCTTTCTCTTTTGAACGCTGCGATTTGTTGGGTCTGCCGCGCGCGCTCAGCTTCCAGCTCGGCTTGTGCTTTGGCCGTCAACGTGGTGCACTTCGTCATAGCGAAGGTGGCCAGGCGGCTCAAGTACCTGTTCTGCCTTGACCTGCCAGCTGGGCGGTACAGATGCACCCGGTGAGGGGGTAGGCCTTTCGGGCCCACTGGGCCTTTCGCGGACGGGCCCGCTGGGCGTTTTGGGGCTGGGCTGGTATGTATGCGTGCATGCATGTATGGTTGTTTGCATGTATGCATGTATGTGTATATGTATGGATGTACGTATGTATGTATGTATGTATGCATGCATGCATGCATGTATGTATGTTTGTGTGTGCCTTGGCTTTACCATCCTGAAGCCAACAAACATGTGCGATGTGGGCATGTGCTGGCACATGGCATGCTGTTTTGGCTTCCAACCGGCCCGAGCAAGCTCAGCTCTGTGCTTCCAGGCTTGCGTAGCCCCCCGCTGGCTTCTCCGGCAAGGTCTGTTCACTGCCCTTGGCACTGGGCTTGTTCAGCCCCACCCCTGCTTCTGCAGCATGTTTGAGGGATCGGTCTTTGATGGTCTTTGGCTTGTTCAGCCACTTTGGGCTTGCTTCTGCAGCATGTGCACGTTACATGCAATTAAACATGATTTGATGTACCGCCCCGCCCCCCCCACTCAAATTTGAAACTACTAAATGTAATTGAAACATCCAAATGCCATGAAAGAGGCTTCCTTATGAAGGGGAGTTCCCTCTTGCGGGGAACGACTGTGAGGTACCACGTTGCTTGGCCCCAAATCTGGGGTACACCAGACGCATTTCTTCAGATTCTGGCCATATGTTTACTTGACCAAACCTAGACGAAAAAGTAAGCTACGCCTGGCAGTGCTTGATCTCTACAACATCTTCTTGGAGGGGACCCCGAAGTGGGAGGGAGGGTAGTTGCCGCAATTTGTTGCCGCACCCTCAGGCCACAAGGCCTTTGGTAGAAATCTCGTTGGCAGCAGGATTCGGCAGTTTCCTTCTACTTTCCAAGAACGGGGCAGTGGAAAACGGCCAACTTCTCATGGCTTGCCACGTTTCTGCTTGGTTTTCCCGGAGCAAGGACCCTTTCTTTGACAACAATCAAATTATGACTTGGGCACATGGCAGCCGACAAGGCAAGTGCGCTGAGAAAGATGCTGCGGGAACAATGACTAGGCAAAAGACTGATTACTTGACCGCCAACGATCATCCCTAAACAAGCCCTAAACCCACTTGAACTCAATCCTAGACCAACCCTAAACCCACATTCAACCAGCACTTAAGCATCCCGGTAAGCCTACCATACCCCACCCCAACCCACCCCAAAGCGGCACTAAACAAACACTAAGCAAACCCTTTCCCAACCCTAGGCCCACCCTAAACTCACACTAAACCAGCCCTAAACTATTCGTAAACCACCCTAAGCCAATTCCACTAAACCCCGCTTAAACCGCAAATAAATCCGCACCCTAAACCTGCACTAAAGCAACCCTACAGAAGCCTTCCACCCATCCTAAACCAACCCGAATCCATCCCGAGCCTAAACAAACCCTGGACCACCCTTCTTCAACCCCAACCAACCCTAAACCACCCTAAACAAACCCTGATGCGAAACCCAGCCTAAACCAACCCTACACCCACACTGAGCCAGCTTTAAGCCACCTCAAAATCAACCCCTGCACATAACCTAAGCAACCCCTAAACCAACCCTAAGCTTTAGACCAGCACTAAAGCACCCTAAACCAGCCTAAACCTATCCAACGACCCTAAGCCAATCCTAAACCCCACTAAGCCCAGCCAAAACCACAACTAAATTCACCTTAACCCACACCTATACCAACCCCAAACAAGCTCTACCCAAGACCTTTTTGTGTCCCACCCTAAACCAGCGCTAAGCAATCCCTTCTCCGCTTTAACCAGCACGCGTAAACTTGGGTTGAAGCGGCTAAGAGTCAACGTCGAGTCCTCATCTGTTTCTAAACTGGGCTGTTCCAAATGGGGGGATGCACTGAAAGTACTGATTCTGATCCCAGGCAACTGCAACAGTTCTTCCAGAAGCGCACCGTCTTTTTCGCCATCAAGTGGCAATCCACGAGCGTCAACAGCATCCGTTGGCCATTTGGGGTGGCTCAGCTGTTTCGTCCCTGGCATGCCAAACGACAGGCTGTACACACAAAAAAGCACTTGGATGATCAAACAGCCTTCCATGCACCCTGTTTCCAACAATCATGGAGGTGGAGAAGGGGCCATTTCAGAGGATGGCTGTCTTCCGGATCCCCGATCCCAAAATCAGGCAAAGCGAGCCCTCAAAACACCCGCTTTTGACCCAACAACATCCCAAAGAACCCGCAACCGACAGGAAACTCCCAGCCTTCAGCTTCTCGCCGGATTTGCTCCGCCGAATCGCGCAAACACGCCGGTGGAAAGCGTGATGCGGATCCTTTTGTTCATACTACTTTTAAGTGGAAAACCCTGCATTTGCGACTCAACATGATGTTTTGGTTGCACATGTTGCACATGTTGCACCCTGTGGGCTTCACACATACCAGCTGGGGGGTTATGTTGATGCTTGCAACCGTCTTTTCTGGGAGACGTTTGGCGTGCCTCAAGGCATGGGGAGCCAGTTTTAGAGGGCAATGCAATTGTTGTTTGCAACTTCAAACTTGACAGCCCTGTTCTCCAGAACACTCCTCTGTTCGACGAGATGCGGCTTGCTGCAAAGAAGGGCAGAACATGGCAGAACTGTTGGGCGATTGCTCCATGTTCATTGACTTGTGCCCCACACAATGCTGCTGCATGCGATTCGTTGAACGTCTCAGCCAAAAACCAAGCGCGGCGAAGGGTCGAAAGCAGAATCAGTGAGATAGGTTGAGACTGAACACGAGCATGACTCCTCACTGGGACATCGTGGTGGGGATAAAAGGGTCCAACACCTTTGACGTGGTGCTAACTCAGTTTGCAGCTAAACACGACCAAGAACTCAGCTCTGCCTGTCAGACTCCGACGCAAAAGGCTCTTTGTCTGGATCCTTCGTGCATGTTCTTCAAACGGCCCTGTCAACTCCCGAAGCCTTTCAGGCGCAGTCCTTGCTCATTTGTCTGATGGGCTCCTCATGTTGAACCATGTCATTGTGGCTGAAGTGGTTTTATTCAGAAGGAATCTGCAGTCCTTCAAGTGTCACTCGCCCACACATCAACTAATTTTCCAGAAACATCCTGAATAGTACGCTCTAGACTGATCCGAATTTGACATTGGGAACCTTTGTGGAGACAGCAACCTTTTTCGCTTTCATCTTGCTCGCGACGATGCGGGCTCCATGGCAATGCCAAGTGCACTGCGGCACTCAAAGCCATGACTTAGAGTGCTGCACCGGGCAGTTGAAAAAAGACTCACCACTTGTCCGCCTTGTTGTAGACGTAATTCGCCACATCCTGCAAGCAGTTCTCTCCAAGAGCTGTTTGCCATTGAAACCTTCCATTTGGACATGGGTTTGTGCGGACCCCCAAAAAGGTGGCGTTGCCCTCAACAAAAGACACACCCAAATGTGTATTTGTCGAAGGAAGTATTTGACACCGCATCACATCAGTCAATTCCTTGCAACGATTGGCTCGCCCGTGATCCAGAAGCTCAGACGAGTCAACATGCTCACTTCCAAACATGAGGTTCCTCAAGACATCCTCAACCTTCCGTCAGATTCCTTGTCCCGGTTGGTCTCTTCAGTTCCGTTGAGAGTGGATCACTTTGGAGTCCAGGGGCTCCCTTCCGGGCTGAGTCGGTACGAGACCTGTGCTTTCCGAGCGAAAGAATCGGCAACTCTGGAGTGTTGCTCCAAAGTGAACACGGGCTCTCAGAACTACTCTGGTTGCTTCCTAAGCCATCTAAAGGGTGGTAATGGGTAATTGCCTGTCACTTTGTAACTGGCATCTTGAGCAAACTTTGGTCAATGGTCAAGTGCGACCCTGTTCAAATCTTTCCTAACATGTCACAATGTGAGATATCCCCTTTCAAAATGGAAATGGAGGAGTTGGGTGACCTCTGAGCATCCGCTTATGATTTCATTCTTCCTTTTGTGGGGACTGAAGAAACGGAATATGTGGACACCTCATCCCCCTCTGCCTTGGGGCGGATTCTAGGATATCACCAAGCTGAGGTCTTCCAGGTCAGAACCGAACGTCGAAGTGGTTGGTCATGGCTTGTCCATGCTGATTTTGTCCAAAAATCGGGACCCTAATGCGCGGGTTCCTTTGGCTTTTCCGGTTACCGTCCAACAAAAGGTCCTCTTTGTGAAAGATCCACTCGCTTTTCCAACCCAACATCGCATCATTTGCCGAGCAGTTCTGCTGCACAAGGGATGACCACATCCAGCAATTGTTCAACCTAAGCACCTACGGTACTGAGCGAAATCCAGACACATCTCTGCGATCAAACAGTCGACTTCTTTCGATGGGTTATGCAACATGGGGAGGGACGCGTAGTCCGAAGTTCCTCTCAGTGGGACACCACTGCAACAAAGGAAGCCACTACTATGCAAACTGAGTTTAAACAACACGGAAAACTATGAATCGCAAAGCCACCGTCCAAACTGTCTCCGGCCTCGATGTCATCAGGGCCGAGCTTGTCACCGAAGGCAGGCATGGAGCCGTTGCCGTTGGTGACCTGGGTGATGATGGCGCTCACGTCGTACTTGCCGTAGGTGACCAGGGCATCCTTCTTCAGCTTCTTCTCAGCCACGATGCTGTTGTTGCCACCCGCATGGCAGGCCGTGCAGTTGCCCTGGAACACGGCCTCGCCGTTCTCCAGGTCCGCCGCCAGGGCAGGCCGGGTGGTGGCCACTGCAGCCAGCAGTCCCAGGGCAGCGCCGATGGCGAGAGGGCTCCAAGATCCAGCGGACTCCTGAGTGGCGGCAGCACTTGGCTGCTGCGCAACCGCGCCGGCACCCTGCTGCGGCGCACCACGTGGCGTGCTGGCCGGCAGGATGAAGCAGCTGGCGCCGTAGAGCGCCAGGGAAACAGCGCACACCACGCTGGCGACGCGGGACATGGCAGGCGAAAGTGTCTAGGTGATCACAGAACCTGACAGCCAAGTGCTCTGGCGCCCTGATAGCTCTCTGAAAGTGCAAAATCAATTCATCTGTCCCAACGGCTCAGCAATGAATGTTCATGCTTTGAGAATGACGGTGTTGCACGGGAGGCCAGCAAATGCATGCCGCTTCTTTCGTTCAACCATACTGGCAACTGCGTGAACGTCCTCTAGCTCACACTTGCCGCGATCCGACTGAACACCGAGCAGTGTACAGCGCCACGTGGCGATGCACAAACTGCACCGGGAAACTACATACAGGTAAAATTGAGCCTAGAGCAGCAACCAAACAGTTCAAAGGGCCCTCCAGGCTTACCACTTGTCCGCCTTGTTGTAGACGTAGTTCGCCACATCCTACGATCTCCGGCAGTCATCAGCACACAACCGTCATGCATATCCATGCCATCTCGTATCCATTTGAACATAGCTTTTCACAACCTCATATCAATGCGGTCCGTGCAGTGCAGTAATGTGCACGCTTCAAGTGCAGCTCATTGATGGCTTGCAGCACAACCAGTGAACAAACAAGGCAATTACAACACATCAAGAACAAAGCCTGTCCTCGATGTCATCAGGGCCCAGCTTGTCACCAAAGGCAGGCATGGAGCCGTTGCCGTTGGTGACCTGGGTGATGATGGCGCTCACATCGTACTTGCCGTAGGTGACCAGGGCATCCTTCTTGAGCTTCTTCTCAGCCACGATGCTGTTGTTGCCACCCGCATGGCAGGCCGTGCAGTTGCCCTGGAACACGGCCTCGCCGTTCTCCAGGTCCGCCGCCAGGGCAGGCCGGGTGGTGGCCACTGCGGCCAGCAGTCCCAGGGCAGCGCCGATGGCGAGAGGGCTCCAAGATCCAGCGGACTCCTGAGTGGCGGCAGCACTTGGCTGCTGCGCAACCGCGCCGGCACCCTGCTGCGGCGCACCACGTGGCGTGCTGGCCGGCAGGATGAAGCAGCTGGCGCCGTAGAGCACCAGGGAAACAGCGCACACCACGCTGGCGACGCGGGACATGGCAGGCGAAAGTGTGAAGGAGATCACAGAACCTGACAGCCAAGTGCTCTGGCGCCCTGACAGCTCTCAAGATGTGCAAAAACAATTAACTTGTCCCAACACGGCTCAGCTGTTACTGTGCATTCTTTGCACATGACTGCGTTTGATGAATCATGGGCCTCCCGCCAGCCAATGCATACCGCTTCTCTTGTCAAACCATACCGGCAACTGCATGAACGTCCTCTAGCTCACACTTGCTGCGATCCGACTGAACACCGAGCAGTGTACAGCGCCACGTGGCGATGTACAAACTGCACCGGGAAACTACATACAGGTAAAATTGAGCCTAGAGCAGCAACCAAACAGTTCAAAGGGCCCTCCAGGCTTACCACTTGTCCGCCTTGTTGTAGACGTAGTTGGCCACATCCTGCGCTCTGAAGCAGTCATCAGCACAAACTGTCATGCATATCCATGTCATCTCGTATCCATTTGAACATAGCTTCTCACAACCTCATGCCACTGCGGTCCATGCAGTGCAGTAATGTGCACGCTTCAAGTGCAGCTCATTGATGGCTTGCAGCACAACCAGTGAACAAACAAGGCAATTACAACACATCAAGAACAAAGCCTGTCCTCGATGTCATCAGGGCCCAGCTTGTCACCGAAGGCAGGCATGGAGCCGTTGCCGTTGGTGACCTGGGTGATGATGGCGCTCACATCGTACTTGCCGTAGGTGACCAGGGCATCCTTCTTCAGCTTCTTCTCAGCCACGATGCTGTTGTTGCCACCCGCATGGCAGGCCGTGCAGTTGCCCTGGAACACGGCCTCGCCGTTCTCCAGGTCCGCCGCCAGGGCAGGCCGGGTGGTGGCCACTGCGGCCAGCAGTCCCAGGGCAGCGCCGATGGCGAGAGGGCTCCAAGATCCAGCGGACTCCTGAGTGGCGGCAGCACTTGGCTGCTGCGCAACCGCGCCGGCACCCTGCTGCGGCGCACCACGTGGCGTGCTGGCCGGCAGGATGAAGCAGCTGGCGCCGTAGAGCACCAGGGAAACAGCGCACACCACGCTGGCGACGCGGGACATGGCAGGCGAAAGTGTGAAGGAGATCACAGAACCTGACAGCCAAGTGCTCTGGCGCCCTGACAGCTCTCAAGATGTGCAAAAACAATTAACTTGTCCCAACACGGCTCAGCTGTTAATGTGCATTCTTTGCACATGACTGCGTTTGATGAATCATGGGCCTCCCGCCAGCCAATGCATACCGCTTCTCTTGTCAAACCATACCGGCAACTGCATGAACGTCCTCTAGCTCACACTTGCTGCGATCCGACTGAACACCGAGCAGTGTACAGCGCCACGTGGCGATGTACAAACTGCACCGGGACACTACATACAGGTAAAATTGAACCTAGAGCAGCAACCAAACAGTTCAAAGGGCCCTCCAGGCTTACCACTTGTCCGCCTTGTTGTAGACGTAGTTTGCCACATCCTGCGCTCTGAAGCAGTCATCAGCATAAACTGTCATGCATACACATGTCATCTCGTATCTCAACAGAGCTTCTCAGCGTGAATTGAATTGAGTACCATGTTTCAAGTGCAGCACATTGATGGCTTGCAGCACAACCAGTGAACAAACAAGGCAATTGCCTGTCCTCGATGTCATCAGGGCCCAGCTTGTCACCGAAGGCAGGCATGGAGCCGTTGCCGTTGGTGACCTGGGTGATGATGGCGCTCACGTCGTACTTGCCGTAGGTGACCAGGGCATCCTTCTTCAGCTTCTTCTCAGCCACGATGCTGTTGTTGCCACCCGCATGGCAGGCCGTGCAGTTGCCCTGGAACACGGCCTCGCCGTTCTCCAGGTCCGCCGCCAGGGCAGGCCGGGTGGTGGCCACTGCGGCCAGCAGTCCCAGGGCAGCGCCGATGGCGAGAGGGCTCCAAGATCCAGCGGACTCCTGAGTGGCGGCAGCACTTGGCTGCTGCGCAACCGCGCCGGCTCCCTGCTGCGGCGCGCCACGTGGCGTGCTGGCCGGCAGGATGAAGCAGCTGGCGCCGTAGAGCGCCAGGGAAACAGCGCACACCACGCTGGCGACGCGGGACATGGCAGGCGAAAGTGTCTAGGTGATCACAAAACCTGACAGCCAAGTGCTCCAGCGCACGAAACACACCTCTGCTCGTGCAAAGCACGTGCCTTTCCCTGACACATCTCATCAAAGCATGTTCATGTTTGAAACTGACTACAATTGACACGGGAGAAAGGATGAAGGAGTGCAAACCAACAAGGGAACTACCAAAAAGCGGTATAGTGGGCCTGATTCCGGCCAATGAAAACCATTCATCCCTCAAGACGTAAGGAACCGTTACAAAGCAAGATCATGCAGATTATTTTGTCAAACCATGCTGGCAACTGCGTGAACCTCTTCTAGCTCACACTTGCCGCGATCCGACTGAACACCGAGCAGTGTACAGCGCCACGTGGCGATGTACAAACTGCACCGGGAAACTACATATAGGTAAAATTGAGCCTAGAGCAGCAACCAAACAGTTCAAAGGGTTTCCAGGCTTACCACTTGTCCGCCTTGTTGTAGACGTAGTTCGCCACATCCTACGATCTCCGGCAGTCATCAGCACACAACCGTCATGCATATCCATGCCATCTCGTATCCATTTGAACATAGCTTTTCACAACCTCATGTCAATGCGGTCCGTGCAGTGCAGCAGTTATCGGCGTGTGTCAAGTGCGCTTGTAGCACAACCAGTTCAGTGACAATTGCAACATATCAAACACGAAAGCCAGTCCTCGATGTCATCAGGGCCCAGCTTGTCACCGAAGGCAGGCATGGAGCCGTTGCCGTTGGTGACCTGGGTGATGATGGCGCTCACATCGTACTTGCCGTAGGTGACCAGAGCATCCTTCTTGAGCTTCTTCTCAGCAACGATGCTGTTGTTGCCACCCGCATGGCAGGCAGTGCAGTTGCCCTGGAACACGGCCTCGCCGTTCTCCAGGTCCGCCGCCAGGGCAGGCCGGGTGGTGGCCACTGCGGCCAGCAGTCCCAGGGCAGCGCCGATGGCCAGAGGGCTCCAAGATCCAGCGGACTCCTGAGTGGCGGCAGCACTTGGCTGCTGCGCAACCGCGCCGGCACCCTGCTGCGGCGCACCACGTGGCGTGCTGGCCGGCAGGATGAAGCAGCTGGCGCCGTAGAGCGCCAGGGAAACAGCACACACCACGCTGGCGACGCGGGACATGGCAGGCGAAAGTGTCTAGGTGATCACAAAACCTGACAGCCAAGTGCTCCAGCGCACGAAACACACCTCTGCTCGTGCAAAGCACGTGCCTTTCCCTGACACATCTCATCAAAGCATGTTCATGTTTGAAACTGACTACAATTGACACGGGAGAAAGGATGAAGGAGTGCAAACCAGCAAGGGAACTACCAAAAAGCGGTATAGTGGGCCTGATTCCGGCCAATGAAAACCATTCATCCCTCAAGACGTAAGGAACCGTTACAAAGCAAGATCATGCAGAGTACTTTGTCAAACCATGCTGGCAACTGCGTGAACCTCTTCTAGCTCACACTTGCCGCGATCCGACTGAACACCGAGCAGTGTACAGCGCCACGTGGCGATGTACAAACTGCACCGGGAAACTACATATAGGTAAAATTGAGCCTAGAGCAGCAACCAAACAGTTCAAAGGGCCCTCCAGGCTTACCACTTGTCCGCCTTGTTGTAGACGTAGTTCGCAACATCCTACGATCTCCGGCAGTCATCAGCACACAACCGTCATGCATATCCATGCCATCTCGTATCCATTTGAACATAGCTTTTCACAACCTCATGTCAATGCGGTCCGTGCAGTGCAGCAGTTATCGGCGTGTGTCAAGTGCGCTTGTAGCACAACCAGTTCAGTGACAATTGCAACATATCAAACACGAAAGCCAGTCCTCGATGTCATCGGGGCCCAGCTTGTCACCGAAGGCAGGCATGGAGCCGTTGCCGTTGGTGACCTGGGTGATGATGGCGCTCACATCGTACTTGCCGTAGGTGACCAGAGCATCCTTCTTGAGCTTCTTCTCAGCAACGATGCTGTTGTTGCCACCAGCATGGCAGGCAGTGCAGTTGCCCTGGAACACGGCCTCGCCGTTCTCCAGGTCCGCCGCCAGGGCAGGCCGGGTGGTGGCCACTGCGGCCAGCAGTCCCAGGGCAGCGCCGATGGCGAGAGGGCTCCAAGATCCAGCGGACTCCTGAGTGGCGGCAGCACTTGGCTGCTGCGCAACCGCGCCGGCACCCTGCTGCGGCGCACCACGTGGCGTGCTGGCCGGCAGGATGAAGCAGCTGGCGCCGTAGAGCGCCAGGGAAACAGCGCACACCACGCTGGCGACGCGGGACATGGCAGGCGAAAGTGTCTAGGTGATCACAAAACCTGACAGCCAAGTGCTCCAGCGCACGAACCACACCTCTGCTAGGTCAAAGCAAGCACAAATCTCGGCACAGCATGCTTGAAACTGACTGCATGGCGAAGATGAATGCCGGACTACCACACCGAAAAGGGATAGGGAACTACCGGACGAGTGCTACCGAACAGCTTGATACACCGAATCCCCAGTAACTTTGGTGGCTGCTTGTATACGGACCTCATGCCAGCCAACTCATGCCATTCATCCGTCAAAATAAGAAACACATGGCAGAAGACGGTCAAGTACGTAGTTGTTGACGAAGTTGGCAAGCTGCTGTGTGAACGTCCTCCAGGGTCACACTTGGCGCGATCCGACAGAACACCGGAGAGTGCACAGCGCCACGTGGCGATGTACAACTGCACCGGAACACTGTGTAAAATTGAAGCTGGGAAATCGTATGATAGCTGAGTGCCCTGGCCAAACGGGGGCACGCCTGCAAGGAGGGCATGTCACTTGTTTCCAATACCAAATCAGCAACAACCATCGCTATACTTGACAGCCTGATCCTTCCACGTAATCTAGCCACTTCCCATATGGCACAGACTACAGCATGATCATTGCAGACCAATTCAGAGAGCTTCATTGGACAAAAACCGCTGTACGGGGCATCTTGCTTTTGCCAAACCGCAAATCGCATGAACGTGGAGCTCGTGCAACTACCGTCTGACATTGTCTGACTGGAGACTGGACAGCGCGCAGCGCCACGTGGCGACGCACAAGCTGCACCGAAACCGTTGATTCAGAAAATATAAAAAGCAACGCTTCTTACCACTTGTCCGCCTTGTTGTACACGTAGTTCGCCACATCCTGTGCTCACAACAGAACAAACTCAATCAGGTGCGCGTGCTGTAGACTCGTGCGTTCTTATCAACTGTTCAACTGTTGAAGCGCAAAGTATATTTAATGGCACTTCAGTGAATGGCTGCTCACCGGGCTTCAGCATTTGTCGCGAAGATGGCACAAGCGCCAGATATCCTGTTTTTAGCTCTATGTCCTGCTCCGAATTTGTGGGGTTACCTTAAAAATTGGGGAACTCCATTATAGCCGTCTTCCTGTTGGTTTCCCCTTAAACTAACCTAAAGGGGTTACCCTCCAACAAGACACACCCACGTCGAAAAATACGAGCATTGTCCTTTGGAATGTCTGTGGGTTCGACGGTTTGCTTGAAACAAGTTCAACTTGCTAGCAGCTCCTTTCGTAGTCCAACAGAGCAGCACCCAAACTCAACTGTTGGTTTCACCAGCAAATTTACAACACGTGGGCGTGTCCTTCCGAGGGTACCGGTTTTGGCGTGGTGTTCAAGGCAAACAAATGGGAAACCAACCACTCTTTAAGGGTCTCTCATTTGGAGACACGCCCATTTATGTAGTCTTTTCCAAAACTTTCGGAAACTGATATGAGCCAACGGGAATTGGCAGTGTCCTTGTGTTCTTGTGTTCGTGGCCTCGGTTTCTCAAACGGCAAGCTCAATGCTGTTACCGCCACCCATTTGGGGGGAAACCTCGCCCCACTCTCTACATCATTTCTCTACCCAAATTGACCGACCATATGGAGAAGAGTCCCTGTATTAAATGTAGGCCGCTCCTTTCCATGTCATAAAAGGCAAAGGGGATCAACATTGGGTGCATCACTCTCGTTCACTGTGGCCAGTCGCATGCCGCTTTCTGAAGCAAAAGTTGGAGACATACTGTAGGCCTCTTTCCGCGGGCTGAGTAGAAATGGTGGATGCATGGAGGGACGTTTCCCCAAGAGCTTTGTAATGGACCAGGAGTTGATTCATGTTAAATTCGGATTCAGTACAACCAGCTTAGTACAGAAACAAACCATTTAGAGGTTCCTTTGGCTATAGGGGCCTGCGGAATCTGGACTCATATGCAACACACTCCCGTATAGAACAACCGTCAGGCGAAAAAATACTACGGGACATGCAACCGTCCTGGATATAATAGCAGTCCAGCACGCACACAAGTTGGAACCTTTATGTAATATATTTGGATCAAACAAAGACCATAAGCCCAGGTGGTGTCTACAACAGCAACCCCGGACCCCCTCAAACCTCAGCCCGAAGTCACTCCGTTCCACATCAGGGGCCTATCTGGGCAGAGTTCTGGCAAGGCAGGTTCCCATCACTAGGAATCCTAGCTCACACAGTTGCAGTACGTATGTGTATTCTTGCATTACATGGTCTGCATGCATACACTAACCGTTTGAGTGCCAGAACCAAATGGCTTGATAAATTGTGCCACTGATGTGGACCGCCTGCCCTTGCTCGCGTCCTCGATGTCATCAGGGCCCAGCTTGTCACCGAAGGCAGGCATGGAGCCGTTGCCGTTGGTGACCTGGGTGATGATGGCGCTCACATCGTACTTGCCGTAGGTGACCAGAGCATCCTTCTTCAGCTTCTTCTCAGCCACGATGCTGTTGTTGCCACCAGCATGGCAGGCCGTGCAGTTGCCCTGAAACACGGCCTCGCCGTTCTCCAGGTCCGCCGCCAGGGCAGGCCGGGTGGTGGCCACTGCGGCCAGCAGTCCCAGGGCAGCGCCGATGGCGAGAGGGCTCCAAGATCCAGCGGACTCCTGAGTGGCGGCAGCACTTGGCTGCTGCGCAACCGCGCCGGCACCCTGCTGCGGCGCGCCACGTGGCGTGCTGGCCGGCAGGATGAAGCAGCTGGCGCCGTAGAGCGCCAGGGAAACAGCGCACACCACGCTGGCGACGCGGGACATGGCAGGCGAAAGTGTCTAGGTGATCACAAAACCTGACAGCCAAGTGCTCCAGCGCACGAAACACACCTCTGCTCGTGCAAAGCATGTGCCTTTCCCTGACACATCTCATCAAAGCATGTTCATGTTGGAAACTGACTACAATTGACACGGGAGAAAGGATGAAGGAGTGACCAACAAGGGAACTACCAAAAAGCGGTATAGTGGGCCTGATTCCGGCCGATGAAAACCATTCATCCCTCAAGCCAAGTGCTCTGGCCGAATGGTGGCACGCGAGGAGTTTGCTCAAGCTTGTGTCCAATGCGCTGACAGCAGATTAGCAACAACCAAACCCGGCATACTTGACAGCCTCATCCTTTCACATACAAGTATATCTAGTCAACGCTTCCATAAAACAAAGGGCGTGCCGCATGCCTGGATCAGATTGCAGCATGATCATTCCTTCATTGGACAATCTGCAAAGCTGCAGGAGAAGTCTTGCCTTTGTCAAACCGCAATTCGCATGAACGTCGAGCTCGTGCAACTGCTGTCTGACATTGTCTGACTGGAGACTGGACAGCGCGCAGCGCCACGTGGCGATGCACAAGCTGCACCGAAACCGTTGATTCAGAAAAGGAAAACCACCGCTTCTTACCACTTGTCCGCCTTGTTGTACACGTAGTTCGCCACGTCCTGCGCTAAAGGCCACACGGTGTGACCGCATACCGAAGAAAGCTTTCGTCAATTGGCTTCAATTTAAAACGCTCACTCTGATGAGCAAGCAACACGGTACTAGAAAACATGCACCTGAACCAAGGGAACCTAAAAATGAAACCTTTATTGTCGTGAGCTCGCCATACTTTGCCCAAAATATAATGTCACGCAGCAGTGTCTGCACTCAAGCTAGTCACTTGGCAAAAAATATACATTGCCCCATCCAGACTGCATGCAACATGTATGTTGCTCCTGCTGCAAAGCAAACATGTCCAATCAGATCGAGACACTACACGATTCTTCTTCCACAGTCCTCGATGTCATCAGGGCCCAGCTTGTCACCGAATGCAGGCATGGAGCCGTTGCCGTTGGTGACCTGGGTGATGATGGCGCTCACATCGTACTTGCCGTAGGTGACCAGGGCATCCTTCTTGAGCTTCTTCTCAGCCACGATGCTGTTGTTGCCACCCGCATGGCAGGCCGTGCAGTTGCCCTGGAACACCGCCTCGCCGTTCTCCAGGTCCGCCGCCAGGGCAGGCCGGGTGGTGGCCACTGCTGCCAGCAGTCCCAGGGCAGCGCCGATGGCGAGAGGGCTCCAAGATCCAGCGGACTCCTGAGTGGCGGCAGCACTTGGCTGCTGCACAACCGCGCCGGCACCCTGCTGCGGCGCGCCACGTGGCGTGCTGGCCGGCAGGATGAAGCAGCTGGCGCCGTAGAGCGCCAGGGAAACAGCGCACACCACGCTGGCGACGCGGGACATGGCAGGCGAAAGTGTCTAGGTAATATAGGTAATCGCAAAACCCGACCGCCAAGTGCTCTGGCCCAATCGCGGCACGCGAGGAGTTTGCTCAAGCTTGTTTCCAATGCGCAGACAGCAGATTTGCAACAACCAAAACAGGTATACTTCACAGCCTCGTCCTTGCACGTAATTCTAGTCAACGCTTCCATACAACAAGCGATCCCACATAACAGGATCAGATTACGGCATGATCATTCCTTCATTGGACAATCTGCAGAGCCGCAGGAGAAGTCTTGCCTTTGTCAAACCGCAATTCGCATAAACGTCGAGCTCGTGCAACTGCTGTCTGACATTGTCTGACTGGAGAATGGACAGCGCGCAGCGCCACGTGGCGATGCACAAGCTGCACTGAAATCGTTGATTCAGAAAATGCAAAAATAACGCTTCTTACCACTTGTCCGCCTTGTTGTAGACGTAGTTCGCCACGTCCTGCGCTAAGTGCCACGCAGTGTGAACAGCTGCCGAAGCAACATTTTCATAGTATGCTCGAGCTGCATTCTACACCTGCCGGATACCGAACAAAGCTTTCGTCAATTGGCTTCAATTTAAAACGCTCACTCTGATGAGCAAGCAACACGGTACTAGAAAACATGCACCTGAACCAAGGGAACCTAAAAATGAAACCTTTATTGTCGTGAGCTCGCCATACTTTGCCCAAAATATAATGTCACGCAGCAGTGTCTGCACTCAAGCTAGTCACTTGGCAAAAAATATACATTGCCCCATCCAGACTGCATGCAACATGTATGTTGCTCCTGCTGCAAAGCAAACATGTCCAATCAGATCGAGACACTACACGATTCTTCTTCCACAGTCCTCGATGTCATCAGGGCCCAGCTTGTCACCGAATGCAGGCATGGAGCCGTTGCCGTTGGTGACCTGGGTGATGATGGCGCTCACATCGTACTTGCCGTAGGTGACCAGGGCATCCTTCTTGAGCTTCTTCTCAGCCACGATGCTGTTGTTGCCACCCGCATGGCAGGCCGTGCAGTTGCCCTGGAACACCGCCTCGCCGTTCTCCAGGTCCGCCGCCAGGGCAGGCCGGGTGGTGGCCACTGCTGCCAGCAGTCCCAGGGCAGCGCCGATGGCGAGAGGGCTCCAAGATCCAGCAGACTCCTGAGTGGCGGCAGCACTTGGCTGCTGCGCAACCGCGCCGGCACCCTGCTGCGGCGCGCCACGTGGCGTGCTGGCCGGCAGGATGAAGCAGCTGGCGCCGTAGAGCGCCAGGGAAACAGCGCACACCACGCTGGCGACGCGGGACATGGCAGGCGAAAGGGTCTAGGTAATATAGGTAATCGCAAAACCCGACCGCCAAGTGCTCTGGCCCAATGGCGGCACGCGAGGAGTTTGCTCAAGCTTGTTTCCAATGCGCTAACAGCAGATTAGCAACAACCAAACCAGGTATACTTGACAGCCTCGTCCTTGCACGTAATTCTAGTCAACGCTTCCATACAACAAGCGATCCCACATGACAGGATCAGATTACGGCATGATCATTCCTTCATTGGACAATCTGCAGAGCTGCCGGAGAACGTCTTGCCTTTGTCAAACCGCAAATCGCATGAACGTGGAGCTCGTGCAACTGCTGTCTCACATTGTCTGACTGGAGACTGGACAGCGCGCAGCGCCACGTGGCGATGCACAAGCTGCACCGAAACCGTTGATTCAGAAAATACAAAAACAACGCTTCTTACCACTTGTCCGCCTTGTTGTAGACGTAGTTCGCCACGTCCTGCGCTAAGTGCCACGCAGTGTGAACAGCTGCCGAAGCAACATTTTCATAGTATGCTCGAGCTGCATTCTACACCTGCCGAATACCGAACAAAGCTTTCTTCAATTGGCTTCAATTTAAAACGCTCACTCTGATGAGCAAGCAACACGGTACTAGAAAACATGCACCTGAACCAAGGGAACCTAAAAATGAAACCTTTATTGTCGTGAGCTCGCCATACTTTGCTCAAAATATAATGTCACGCAGCAGTGTCTGCACTCCTGCTGCAAAGCAAACATGTCCAATCAGATCGAGACACTACACGATTCTTCTTCCACAGTCCTCGATGTCATCAGGGCCCAGCTTGTCACCAAATGCAGGCATGGAGCCGTTGCCGTTGGTGACCTGGGTGATGATGGCGCTCACATCGTACTTGCCGTAGGTGACCAGGGCATCCTTCTTCAGCTTCTTCTCAGCCACGATGCTGTTGTTGCCACCCGCATGGCAGGCCGTGCAGTTGCCCTGGAACACGGCCTCGCCGTTCTCCAGGTCCGCCGCCAGGGCAGGCCGGGTGGTGGCCACTGCTGCCAGCAGTCCCAGGGCAGCGCCGATGGCGAGAGGGCTCCAAGATCCAGCGGACTCCTGAGTGGCGGCAGCACTTGGCTGCTGCGCAACCGCGCCGGCACCCTGCTGCGGCGCGCCACGTGGCGTGCTGGCCGGCAGGATGAAGCAGCTGGCGCCGTAGAGCGCCAGGGAAACAGCGCACACCATGCTGGCGACGCGGGACATGGCAGGCGAAAGTGTCTAGGTAATATAGGTAATCGCAAAACCCGACCGCCAAGTGCTCTGGCCCAATGGCGGCACGCGAGGAGTTTGCTCAAGCTTGTTTCCAATGCGCAGACAGCAGATTAGCAACAACCAAAACAGGTATATTTGACAGCCTCGTCCTTGCACGTAATTCTAGTCAACGCTTCCATACAACAAGCGATCCCACATGACAGGATCAGATTACGGCATGATCATTCCTTCATTGGACAATCTGCAGAGCTGCCGGAGAACGTCTTGCCTTTGTCAAACCGCAAATCGCATGAACGTGGAGCTCGTGCAACTGCTGTCTGACATTGTCTGACTGGAGACTGGACAGCGCGCAGCGCCACGTGGCGATGCACAAGCTGCACCGAAACCGTTGATTCAGAAAATGCAAAAAACAACGCTTCTTACCACTTGTCCGCCTTGTTGTAGACGTAGTTCGCCACGTCCTGCGCTAAGTGCCACGCAGTGTGAACAGCTGCCGAAGCAACATTTTCATAGCATGCTCCAGCTGCATTCTACACCTGCCGGATACCGAACAAAGCTTTCTTCAATTGGCTTGAGTTGAGAGGCTCCCTCTGATGCAATAGTGATATGTAAACTAGAATCATGCAGCTGAAGCAAGGGAACCTCTAAAAATGAAACCTTTATTGTCGTGAGCTCGCCATACTTTGCCCCAAATATAATGTCACGCAGCAGTGTCTGCACTCAAGCTGGACATTTGGCAAAAAAGTATGCATTGCCCCATCCAGACTGCATGCAGCATGTATGTTGCTCCTGCTGCAAAGCAAACATGTCCAATCAGATCGAGATGCTACACGATTCTTCTTCCACAGTCCTCGATGTCATCAGGGCCCAGCTTGTCACCGAATGCAGGCATGGAGCCGTTGCCGTTGGTGACCTGGGTGATGATGGCGCTCACATCGTACTTGCCGTAGGTGACCAGAGCATCCTTCTTCAGCTTCTTCTCAGCCACGATGCTGTTGTTGCCACCAGCATGGCAGGCCGTGCAGTTGCCCTGGAACACGGCCTCGCCGTTCTCCAGGTCCGCCGCCAGGGCAGGCCGGGTGGTGGCCACTGCGGCCAGCAGTCCCAGGGCAGCGCCGATGGCGAGAGGGCTCCAAGATCCAGCGGACTCCTGAGTGGCGGCAGCACTTGGCTGCTGCGCAACCGCGCCGGCACCCTGCTGCGGCGCGCCACGTGGCGTGCTGGCCGGCAGGATGAAGCAGCTGGCGCCGTAGAGCGCCAGGGAGACGGCGCACACCACGCTGGCGACGCGGGACATGGCAGGCGAAAGTGTCTAGGTGATCACAAAACCTGACAGCCAAGTGCTCCAGCGCACGAAATAGTCCTCTGCACGTGTAGAGCAAGTGCCTTGCCACAGCGCATTTTGGCACATCATGTTTGGTTGACGCTTGCTGTATGGCAAAACGTCAATATAGAAACAACATTGTTGCAAGAAACATGATCGGGGACCACCTCGACCGATACCTCGTCTACCTGCAACACCGACAAAGGTGCATATCATAAATGTGCTGCATACACAAAAAGCGTGGCATTTGTTGTCAAATCATACTGGCAACTGCGTGAACGTCCTCTAGCTCACACTTGCCGCGATCCGACTGAACACCGAACGGTGTACAGCGCCACGTGGCGATGTACAAACCGCACCGGAACACTACATACAGGTAAAATTGAGCCTAGAGCAGCGACCAAACCGTTCAAAGGGCCCTCCAGGCTTACCACTTGTCCGCCTTGTTGTAGACGTAGTTCGCCACATCCTACGGTCATCAGCATACAACTGTCATGCATATTCCCATGCCATCGCATCCAAACGCAGCTTCTTACAAACTTATGTTCACGCTTCAAGGGCAGCACTTTGATGACTTGCAGCACAACCAGTGAACAAACAAGAAAAATGCAACGCATCAAAAACAAAGACAGTCCTCGATGTCATCAGGGCCCAGCTTGTCACCGAATGCAGGCATGGAGCCGTTGCCGTTGGTGACCTGGGTGATGATGGCGCTCACATCGTACTTGCCGTAGGTGACCAGAGCATCCTTCTTCAGCTTCTTCTCAGCCACGATGCTGTTGTTGCCACCCGCATGGCAGGCCGTGCAGTTGCCCTGGAACACGGCCTCGCCGTTCTCCAGGTCCGCCGCCAGGGCAGGCCGGGTGGTGGCCACTGCGGCCAGCAGTCCCAGGGCAGCGCCGATGGCGAGAGGGCTCCAAGATCCAGCGGACTCCTGAGTGGCGGCAGCACTTGGCTGCTGCGCAACCGCGCCGGCACCCTGCTGCGGCGCGCCACGTGGCGTGCTGGCCGGCAGGATGAAGCAGCTGGCGCCGTAGAGCGCCAGGGAGACGGCGCACACCACGCTGGCAACGCGGGACATGGCAGGCGAAAGTGTCTAGGTGATCACAAAACCTGACAGCCAAGTGCTCCAGCGCACGAAACAGTCCTCTGCACGTGTAGAGCAAGTGCCTTGCCACAGCGCATTTTGGCACATCATGTTTGGTTGACGCTTGCTGTATGGCAAAACGCTAATATAGAAACAACATTGTTGCAAGAAACATGATCGGGGACCACCTCGACCGATACCTCGTCTACCTGCAACACCGACAAAGGTGCATATCATAAATGTGCTGCATACACACAAAAGCGTGGCATTTGTTGTCAAATCATACTGGCAACTGCGTGAACGTCCTCTAGCTCACACTTGCCGCGATCCGACTGAACACCGAACGGTGTACAGCGCCACGTGGCGATGTACAAACCGCACCGGAACACTACATATACAGGTAAAATTGAGCCTAGAGCAGCGACCAAACCGTTCAAACGGCCTTCCAGGCTTACCACTTGTCCGCCTTGTTGTAGACGTAGTTCGCCACATCCTACGGTCATCAGCATACAACTGTCATGCATATTCCCATGCCATCTCGCATCCAAACGCAGCTTCTTACAAACTTATGTTCACGCTTCAAGGGCAGCACTTTGATGGCTTGCAGCACAACCAGTGAACAAACAAGGCAATTGCAACGCATCAAAAACAAAGACAGTCCTCGATGTCATCAGGGCCCAGCTTGTCACCGAATGCAGGCATGGAGCCGTTGCCGTTGGTGACCTGGGTGATGATGGCGCTCACGTCGTACTTGCCGTAGGTGACCAGAGCATCCTTCTTCAGCTTCTTCTCAGCCACGATGCTGTTGTTGCCACCCGCATGGCAGGCCGTGCAGTTGCCCTGGAACACGGCCTCGCCGTTCTCCAGGTCCGCCGCCAGGGCAGGCCGGGTGGTGGCCACTGCGGCCAGCAGTCCCAGGGCAGCGCCGATGGCGAGAGGGCTCCAAGATCCAGCGGACTCCTGAGTGGCGGCAGCGCTTGGCTGCTGCGCAACCGCGCCGGCACCCTGCTGCGGCGCGCCACGTGGCGTGCTGGCCGGCAGGATGAAGCAGCTGGCGCCGTAGAGCGCCAGGGAGACGGCGCACACCACGCTGGCGACGCGGGACATGGCAGGCGAAAGTGTCTAGGTGATCACAAAACCTGACAGCCAAATGCTGTGCCAATGATGTACAAGTAATTTTCTTCAGCAACCCACCCAGCAAGCAGTCAGAGCTCAAGAAAGCCGCCCATGTCAATGAAAGCCGAAGTCTTTCAAGGCCATTGTGGGCTCCAACTTTGGGGCCGCAAAAACCTTCATTTGTTCAGTGAGTTCTTGCGAGGTCGCCTCAGGGCTTCTGCCTTTGATCCGCCCTGCTTTCCTTTGCTCGGAAACATCTCCAGCGCGCTTGCTGAACTCATTGAGGTTGCAACTCCCCCAGGGCTTTTGTCTCTTCTAATTCGGTTTTTAATTTGTCGGATGAATTCTGCGAGTCCTCAACAAAGTGTCCCGTTCATGAAATGGTCAAGCGGTTCAAACAGCCTTCCCCGAAATATCTGCAACCTGGTCGCTTTCCCTTTGTGTGCAAGTAGTCCACCTTTCTTTTGCTTACGGAAGCTAGTGCCTGCATTTCTCCTTTGAAAACTGCTCAGTTGCTCAGTGGCCCGGTTAGAAAACTCATTGGAACTCTTTTGGTCGTGGGGAAGCCTTCAAACAGTGAAATGCGACTGAACAACTTGGATTGTGTGTGGCCGGGGGGCATAGAAAGCTGCATGAGAATCAATACAGTGGATATATACCGAGAAAGCAGGTACCCTTTCTTGGTGGCTGATTTTGTCGGGAAGCCCCCTTCAGAAAGAAAAAAGGGCACTGCGGGAAGTTGAGGATACTGCAATCGTATATCACATGCTCCCCCACTCCCGCATAATGTGCAATCAAGCAAAAGCAACTTCGGATGCAGTCTCACACATGGCACTCATGCGGGCAGGTGAGTTCACACATCATACAAGTCTGATGTTCAGCGTACGACTTCAGGCAACTCCGCTCTTTTTTTCTAACCTCTGACTGCACGAACGTTCTCAGTTCGTGCGTTCTGCAATCGGCAAGCAGAGCAGTATGCAGCGCTACATGGCGATGTACAAACTGCACCGGCACCAGGAATTGGTAAAATTGAGCCTAAAAGGCGGCGACCAAACAATTGAAACCACTTGCCACGCTCACCACTTGTCCGCCTTGTTGTAGACGTAGTTCGCCACATCCTTCGGCTCACACAAGGACCATTCTAAGAATACTTCAGAGCTCCTAGCCCAAACAAGTCTAAACCTTGGGTTTGCCACTGGCATGGTCTTCCATGTCCTTTCAAACACCATGCTCTTGTGCGCCACCCACCAGTGCGCATGTACCCCCCTGGCCTCGATGTCATCAGGGCCCAGCTTGTCACCGAAGGCAGGCATGGAGCCGTTGCCGTTGGTGACCTGGGTGATGATGGCGCTCACATCGTACTTGCCGTAGGTGACCAGGGCATCCTTCTTCAGCTTCTTCTCAGCCACGATGCTGTTGTTGCCACCCGCATGGCAGGCCGTGCAGTTGCCCTGGAACACGGCCTCGCCGTTCTCCAGGTCCGCCGCCAGGGCAGGCCGGGTGGTGGCCACTGCGGCCAGCAGTCCCAGGGCAGCGCCGATGGCGAGAGGGCTCCAAGATCCAGCGGACTCCTGAGTGGCGGCAGCACTTGGCTGCTGCGCAACCGCGCCGGCACCCTGCTGCGGCGCGCCACGTGGCGTGCTGGCCGGCAGGATGAAGCAGCTGGCGCCGTAGAGCGCCAGGGAAACAGCGCACACCACGCTGGCGACGCGGGACATGGCAGGCTGGATCGGCCCTCCCAAGAGCTGGCAAGACTTGTTTGTGCCGAATGAGGCTGCAAAGCCGCGGAAGTTGAAGGGCAGACTTCCTGCAACTGCAACCATCTGTGCTGGGGCGTCACAGAAAAACACCCGTGTCCAACTCTTTTGTTGCTTGCAAATTTGCCCCTGCATTTCACGCGGAACCTGAAAGGGGCTCCCCCCAAACAAGTTCCCTCTAGAAAGCATGACGTTCATCTGCAGGAGACTACGTGTGCAAGACGCCGAAACCATCCACATGTGCAATACCCAATTCATTCGGCGACCTCAAGCTCCACAGGCACCTTGTTGGCTGAAAGAGTTCAGATGGATTTGGCTCTGGGGAGAGATACCCCCCCACAAACGACTTTCTGGTTTCCCTTTCGTCTCCCTTTAACGTATCCCCAAAACGGGGACCCCAGAACAAGACACGGCCACATGCTCTCCTTCGATTGTGGCGTCATGCGATTCATGACCAGGTTCCTCTCCGAGTAGACTCACTCTGGGTCTTCCATTTGCTTAAGTTAAGAGGAAAACAGTACACATATTCCCAACAGCGATAGATTCCCTGCAAAGACCAGCAGGGCAAACAACAAAACAACTGGAAGGGGTGACTCAAACCAATGCATCATCTAAAGTGAGCGACTCCCAAATCGCTTCAGGGTGTAAGGGGGTTCCAAAGACCAGTCAAGGAATGCAGGAATCAACCTCTTGAGGTCGCAACAAACCTGAGCTGATAAAACCCGGACCCGATAAAGAACCCGAACATCGAAAGCCTTAGGAAATTCGATGTTTGTCCCCAATAGGAACCCAGTTCTCAGTGCACAGAATTGGCTATGCCATGCACTTAAGGCCCGTCCCGAAGCCCGAAAACAATTGGCCCAGCTCTGCTTTACCAGATCGGCAGCCGCTTTTCCGCGCACTCAGATGCCTGGATCGGCACAGAGTCCCAAGGGACATGCCCTTTTGTGTGAGTTGAAGCATCCGCAGCCCAACTGTTCGGAGCAACATGGGACGTTTGGCTAGCATAATCATATGGACTTCCAAGAAATTACAAGTATATTAATAAGGCCACGGGTTAAGCTGCGTTGTTGAAGGTATGCCCCGTCCATATATAGGGGGTGGTGATGTTGAAGCATGTTAAATGGTACTCCAAGCTCGATCAGCAGAAGTCTTAAACCCATCGTTCCTCGCCTTGTGGCGCGAACATACACGCCCGCGCCTTTAGTAGGTTTCAACTTCATGGGACATTCAATAGAACCAAAGGATGCCACTGGGCAAATCACAAGGAGCATGGCATCGGCTTGAGATTTTTCGAACAAGAGAAACACGAGTCACACGTGACAGGCCAATGTTCGGATCAGACATCACGCCCTCCACTAGGGCCCGCCCTAGTGGGGCTTGCTTCGTTTTCTTGACTCAACCATGTGTATATATATATATATATACACATACACACCACAAGTTTGCCAAACCACACACCTGGGAAAATACCTGTGATAGGGACTTGCATCACGGTGCCGGAGACTGCAGATCAAAATCCTTAAGGTCGCCACAGCGCCATAACTTGCCCAAATGCCAAATATATGACCAATGATTCTATGTCTTTGCTCAGCAACCAAGTCAAGGACATGTCAGGTTGGTTGTTCAGAGGTGCGGAGGGTATATTTTGAGGTTGTTGCCTCTTCAAATTCATGGCGTATAACAATAAATGTTCACAGGGAACACCCAGGAGAATGGATGTTGGACATTGAACATCCCCTCTTAATGATGTTCACCAAAGGGTCCGCAACCCAAATGAATTTCCACCCATGCTTGAAATTTGTCTGCCCGATTGAAACCTCGCCTGTCGGTGAGGAACTGGAGTAGCGTGATGCACTGCGATGTAAGCCTTGCCGAAGCGGCGACATGTGACCCACAAATTGGGCCAAAAGACACCTGCGGCGCACGTGATCCAAGGGATGGAGTTCGCCTCTTTTAGGGGCCCCGCTCGACCTGTGGCGGTCCACGGGGTACCCTTTTTGGGATTGTTTGAAAGGGAAACCGAAAGGAACACCACAGGGGTTCACCAAAAAGACACGCCCATGCTCGAGCCCCTTTGCTTCAACGCAATCATCTTGTGCCTTGCAAAGGATGCATCCACCGTTGGCCAGTGAAACAGACTTGGAAAGCTTGGATTCCAGAACCTACGGGTGCCACTGAACTGGGTGAGGGCAACTTATCCAAAGGAACAGGATAATGTTCTGATCAAAGAAGGATGTATTTTTGTTGTGTTCCGAAACCCAAGAACAATAGCGTTACTTTTGGATTCCCACCCTCACAAAAGACACACCCAAAAGATGTGCGACCGCGAGAGTGGTCGCGAGCCTGGGCCTCCCGGCAATGGCGGGCAGTTCAAGCGCACGGGCTGCGCCCCAAAGTCGCTGACGAGCCTGCCCGTTAGCTTTTTCGCACCACGGGTGCGTCAAGAGAGGAAACCCACAATGGATAGTTTTCCTTTCGGCTTCCCCTCAACCCAAAGCCCAAAAGGGTACCCTTAAAAGAAGACAAACCCCAATGCGCTCAGTGGGCAAGATTATCCGGTCAGCAGAAAAAGCTGCGCTGGCGGCCGAGTATGTGGATCGCAAGAAGGGGGTTGTAGCCCAACTCAAGAGTGCTTCTTCTCAGGTCCCGTGTGTTGACCCCACAAGACGCAGGCTAGAAGTCGCCAGAGAAACCACAAGAAATCCGAAACAAGTGTCGACCTTTGACCGAAAAGACACAGGCCAACATGTGGTGCCGAAAGGGATACACAAAGCATTTGTTCATATTAGCTCTATCCGCCTGTTTGTCTGATCAACTACTCTGATCACTGTATATGTTAACGTGTTCTGATCATCGTTCAGCGGCTCGGAGCAAATGCATGGTTAAAAACAAGAGTTGGTTCCATCCTGGGGCCCAGGGACGCCCTCCAAACCACGATTGCCAACAAACAACTCTCCGATGTATTGAACTACAATGTTGTTCAATACATCGGGACATGTCAAAGCCACGATGGTTTAAACCAACTCCTGTAGGTTTCCAGGCTCCCTTCCTGAGTGGATTATCAAAATAATCCTCACTGTCTGACTTTCTATAAAAATGGTCTTCCCAAAAAGCGACTAAAGTCCGGCAACTCAGGGAGTAGTAGGGGAACCAGGAAGAAACAAATGCGCCGCAGCTAGGGCAGCTGCCCCGGTCTCCAGCCGAGACCGTTTCGCCTGCCATGTGCCACTGGCCGCATGCCGATGTGGTCCCCCACGATGAAGGTCAGCTGCTCAACCTCCTGCGGTCAACGTGGATATGGATGGCTCGTCTTTTCAAGGTTTGACACGAAAAATGACCTTTGCTTTCCTTTGGTTCCCCTTCAAACCAGATCCCACCCAAACTATCACTTGGAGAGGCACCCGATTTTGGGCTTGAACAAAGAAAACCAAGGGAAAGCAACCGATTTTGACCGACAATATGGATATGGAGTACCCAAATTCTCCAAAGATTGGACTCTCAAGACTTAGACACTACAGGAGATGCTTGGAGACAACAGAAAAATATGGTCTGATGGATATGTGGCGGTGTGTTCTCGTGGTATGGGAGATTCAGTGAGCTCATGCCTTGCAATCGGTTGATTGCCGGAGTCTTGCTGCTAGTAAATCAACCACCAATTGTACTGTTTACTTTGGATTAATCCGGAGAATCGTACTAATCGGGGGCCAAACTGGTTGGCAAATATTCCAAATACACATCGCCGCAACCAAGGGCATATTTTTTGGCATCGGCCAACCTGCAATCATCGGGGTTAATGGATTCCTCAAATGGTTGTGGATCAACATCCTACCACCAAAAAACCGCAGGCTTTAGTCCATGTGTCCATGTACCAGGGTTCCATTTTGGGTACCAATTTTTGACCCACAGCCGCATGTGATTCACTCTTCCAGGCCGCGGGGCCTCAAGTTGCGTAAAGCAAACCAAATCCGTGATTTCCCGCAACTGACCAACTTGAGTTGGTCGAGGCTACCAAAGACATTCGGAACAGGTCCACAAGCAACCTGGACATATGTCCAAATGAGGCACGTATCAGCGCGTCTGAGAATCATGGCTTGGAGCTATCCATACGAATACGGGTTCACGACGACACCTTGAATCTGCCTGCATATGTTGATCGGATTGAACGCGTACTCATGCCAAAAAGGTGTGGCAAGCGGCAGGTGTAATTTGACGCATGGCAACATTGGTTCAAATCCATGAATCATGACCTGCTTTGTACGCGGTCGAAGCTGCACAATTAGCGCCATGTCAAGTGCAAGTGTAAGCAATTTGTGCACAGACTGCTCACAAAGACTTTAAGCCGCGGCCCGCTGCCAGGTGGAGCTCAGGGGGCTTGGCATCATCAAGCTTGGGTTCGTGGGGTTGTGGTTTGTTTTTGTTTTTTTCCCTGATGCTTACGCGAGAGCATTGAGTCTTCGAATTTGCCTGCACATCCTTTAGTCACACACGACAGAGCATCTTTGAGACTTGCCATCGCAAAGTTCGAAAAAGTCTTCCGGATCATGCTGACTTTAGAGTCTAGAGCAGGAGGGTCACCCACGACCTTGACTGGTGAATCAGGGTCCGTGCTGACATGAAGAAGGGACGCCTTCTTCACGTACCTGCAAAATTTGAGTTGATTTTGTGTTGCCCTAGAAGGCGGACTTGAGAGAAAACATGACAGAACATGAGAAGTTATCCTACTCTCTCGGAGAGCACACGCAGTGTACACGTTTCTTCGTGTGTCTGTTTCTGTGTGTCCGTGTCTGTCTGTGTGTGTGTGGCGCTCTCTCTCTCTCTCTCTCTCTCTGTGGTTTTGGTCGCTTGCTTGGTGGATGGATGGATGGATGGATGGATGGATGGATGGATGGATGGATGGATGGATGGATGGATGGATGGATGCATGGATGGATGGATGGATGGATGGATGGATGGATGGATGGATGGATGGAATGTTTGTTTGTTTGCTTGTTGGTTTGTTTGTTTGCTTGTTTGATCGTCTTTTTGCTTGTTTGTTTGTTTGATTGATTGTTTGTGTGTGGTGTGCGCACGCGCGCGCGCGTGTTTGTGCTTGTGCTTGTGTTTGTGCTTGTGCTTGTGCTTGTGTTTGTGTTTGTGTTTGTGTTTGTGTTTGTGCTTGTGTGTGTGTGGGTGTGGGTGGGTGTGGGTGGGTGTGGGTGGGTGTGGGTGTGTGTGTGTGCGTGTGCGCGGGTGCGGGTGTGGGTGCGGGTGCGTGTGCGTGCGTGTGTGTGGGTGTGATTGGCCAAGTATCTGGGGCCTAAAAAGGGAACCAGGCTGCGCGAGCGAGCAAGGAAATGTACAGGGCAGGCAGGGTGTTTCTTGCCGATATGATGGGTTAAACATTCCTTGAGTTGGATCCAACTTGCTCTGATCAATTCCATCTAGCAGTGAGCACGCAAGCACAGCCGTGTTACAACCCCCTCTGAACACCCCAAAACCCAAAAAGGCCTTGATTGTGGACCTCCAATCAGCCTGTCCAAGGTAGTGACTTACAGACCTCTCTTTATTTAGGGTCGTTGGTCAAACAGACCATCATTGTGAACTTTTGCGGAATGTCGATCCCGGATAACAATCCATCAATAGACTGTTCTTTCCGACCCTTGGTATGATAGCAAACAACTTGTGATTTTGCAGCCACCTACAAAAAATGAACAAAACAAAAAGATCTACAAACCTAAACACATGATCTAACAACAGTGAAGTGTTACATCAATTCGAAGTTTCCACGACAAATTGCGATCGGATCATCCCTTGAATGGGACCCTTCATGGGTTGACTAGCAATCCCATGGGGATGGAACTATTGTCCAAATAGTTGCCAAGTCCAGCGACCCCGGTAGAAAAAGGGCTCGCCCTCTGTTTGAGGTTGACCATGTTCAGTGGGCAACTCGCCACACAGCAAAAAAAGAGCAAGGGTAACAACACTGAGCTAAGTGTGGTCAAAAGTTCCTTCGGTCGAACCAAATAGGTTTTGGGTGCGTGCACCAAAACTCCCACTCGAACCGGCAACAAGAAGCACCGCTCCGGCGGCAGTTGCATCAAAGCCTGGCCGAGTTCCCGAAAGCTGGGGCTCCAAGCTTTGTGTACGCGAATCTGTGGATGTCGGAAACGATCTCCATGGGACAAGGGGCACACTCTCTTGTTGGGGGTAGTTGATTTGAAAGGGGAACCTCCGCCAAAACAAGGAAGAAAGGAGTCCGTCCGGGCAAACGCAACCAGGTAAACCAGGACCATCTAATTAATTCGACCAAAACAACCAAACAGATCCCGTGAGGATGATCAAAAACGCAAAGTAAACAGCCTCTTGCAGGCCAGGGCCCAACTCTGCAAGCAACTTAACCCTGCATCCAGTGTCGCATGCTTACGGCCAAATGGCTTAGGCTGTGAAGCACAGATCACAAGATCAAGCGGACATGTTGTGTTCCAAAATTAGAGACCCTCCAAGTTGGTTTGCGCTATCTGGAGGGTACCCTTTGTGTTGAAGGGACACCACCAGGAAAATCACCATGGTTGGCGTCCCCAATTTTGAAGCATAGCCAAACTACCCCTACAATTACAAGTTGTTCGTGTTTTCCTGTGGCCATTCCTTGAAATGGTTGCTTCCAAACTAGGAGTTGACCAACTTGGCGGGCGCAACACGCTAAACACCTTTTGTTGGTTGATGGAATTGGGTGACGATCCAGCCACATCGCAGGCAGACTCTGCGGAAGTACTCCAGCCTCTTCCACATCAAGCTTGGCATCCTCGCAGTGTGACTGAACTGCGGCACGCAAAGCCACAAATATTCAGGTGTGCCATGGTGTGCCATACTGGAAGGATCTCCTTCAACCATGACTTGGTCAGTATGACCTATGCCGGGCCTTACCACAAAACCACAAATGGCAAAACCAAAGGGATTGCAGAAATCAACGGCCTCCCAACAAACCTGCAGTCCTCCTCCAGCAGGAAAAGCCTTCGCCCTTCCGCCTTGGAAGCCACCAGCGGCCGGAAGGAATCTGACGCTTTTGAGAGCTGTGACCACTTTTGCCGCGCACCATATAAATCTGATGTTTAAAAGAAAGCGAATGGGTTGTTTTGGAGGGGGTGGTTTTTGAAGGGGATGGATTCAGCGCAACTATTAATTTCCTTGCAGTGCCCGGCCATGGCAGGCTTTGGGGTCGACTGACAGGTTCATCCAGATAGTCCGAGCTCTTGAGGATCTTTGCCGAAGGGGAATCCTTGGACCTGTGCTGAAGGAATCCAAGCGGATGGGGATCATGCAGGACAAAGGAGTGCAATGGGCAACTTGTGCTGTTTGGCGACATTCGGCTAAAATCTCAGGGACATCTTCACTGGCGACTCAAAGGATCAGAGTCCAAAGGATCCGCCAAGGCCAAGAGGTCCCTCCCTTCATTCCACGGCAAACAACGACAAAGGCAACACAACATACAATTCGATACATATATCAAGACCAGCATCTCCTTCCTGAGTGGATTGACCCATATGCCTGAACTTGTTGTTTCCCACTAGAATGAGTGCCTTTTAAAGAGGAAACCAGACTTCCAAAACCAAAGGGCAACGACCCAGTTGTGCCCTTGCAAGAAATGGATTGAACCCAGACCAGAAGAAACAGAGGGGACACAATTCCTTCCCATAAACAGCCTGAAATTGGCTGCGCTCCCCTTGAAACTAGCAACAGACTTCTTCCAATATCAGAAAGGGGAGAACCAAACAGGTCTTCCTTTTGGCGTCCCTTTGAAGCCAAGTGTTCAACAGGGTCTACAAACGCTAGGGGCTACCAAGCCTCTAATAGACCAGGAGCCACGCTGACAAAGCCAAGGCTCGCCGGAGGGATGAAGCTTCAGCAAAAGCCTCAAGGGCCAACCCTTACAAAAAATAAAAGAGAAAAAACAAGTCCCTAGATATCCAACCCAGGAAAACAACAGCTAAGCTTGATTTAAGACATGTGTCCCTGGAAAAAAAGGAAAAGGACAGCTATGTTTGTAAGAAGTCGACTAAAATGGACCAACATAGAAAAGGATCCAAAGGTGGGCTTTGGACAACAAATACAAATGGGGTTGCTCCTCGACCTCTAACGAGATGGTTTTAGACCAACCACCACCACCACCACAATGGTCTTCCAAAAGGGGGGGACTGTGAAGCAGAAAAAAACAGACTGAACGCCCGGCTTTGACCACAGTTGACTTGGGCTTGTCTCCAGGACACGGAACCTCGTTAATGCATGGGTGTCCCTTTTAATTGGCGACAAAACGCTGATATTTTGAGGATTCTCCAACACACCCAGAGCATACCCCTCGATTCCTGGTTCAGTCGGCTTTGACCAAGAAAATCCGCTTTTTGGTAGATCTGAAGTTTCGCTCCTACATGCTCCTACCCACGGCCAATTCCCTATCCTAGCTTCTGCCACTGTCGAATAACAGCCAAAAGCGGCACCCTCAAAAAAGATGGCTCAAACGAGTCCCTGAGCACCTCAAGTTGCTTCGAATTGTTCAAATTTGTGCATTGCTGATTGGCTCGACATCAAGCGGCGACTCAGGCCCAGGTGGTTGTTCACCACAGTTGCTACATTGCCATGGGCCACCGACTGTGAAACTCTGAAACTAGGGCTTCGTGGTGGAACTATGTGAAATTGTCAGATCAGTTTCGTTTGGCCCACGCCAACCCGGACTCTTTAAGGTTCCGCCTTAAGTACTCTCGTGCTTAATTCTGTCAGGTTACATTCCACATCTAGTGAGCCATATCCAGTGAATTTCAATGTAAAGATGTGTCGAAGCAGATCCCAATCCACAGCATTCCCTTGCACCAAATGAATTTCTGAGTCCAGCATGAAGTGTCCGGAATCATCTTGTCGTGCACGAGGCTTCGGCTGCATGTTCCCAAGCCGAAAAAGAAGACTTGGAACACACGCCTTCTTCAAGTCGAGTTTGCTTGAGAAAAGACTGTCCGCATGCCGGTTTGTCTTTTTTGAGGTTACCCATTCTTGGGGGTTCCTCAACGGAGAACCAAAGGGGAAAACAACATTTTTGTTGGTCCCTTCAAGATGTACCGCTGTCCGAGCTCAGCCCTTCGACTGCCCGAGGCCCTGAGGCGCCGGCGATTTCATCGAGGCCTGGAATGGCCAACCCACGTGGTGTGTGAAAACTGGTTGCACCTCACTGCTGTTCAACCCCAAAGTTGATGCTAAAACCCACCAAGGGTTAGATTCCTGGTGAACCGGGCACGTTTGCCCCGCCCCCCTGCCCAGGGGAAGAGGCTTGGGCTTGGGTGAGAAACCTATGAAGCGCTCACTGCCTTTCTTCTGCCATTCAGTGCACATCTTGTTTGGAGTGCCCTTTCTGGGTTGGTTCAAAAGGAACAACAACACCCAGCGCACAGGGACACCCGAAAAAAGAACACACCTTGTAGCAAAACTGGGCTAAACACAAACAACTACAAAATATGTTTCTATTTGCCCCTCAACATATATATATGTATGTATGTATGTATGTATGTATGTATGTATGTATGTATGTATGTATGTATGTATGTATGTATGTATGTATGTATGTATGTATGTATGTATGTATGTATGTATGTATGTATGTATGTATGTATGTATGTATGTATGTATGTATGTATGTATGTATGTATGTATGTATGTATGTATGTATGTATGTATGTATGTATGTATGTATGTATGTATGTATGTATGTATGTATGTATGTATGTATGTATGTATGTATGTATGTATGTATGTATGTATGTATGTATGTATGTATGTATGTATGTATGTATGTATGTATGTATGTATATGTGTATGTGTATGTGTATGTGTATGTGTATGTATATGTATATGTATGTATATGTAAACATATATATATATGTATAGCATCGTATTGCCACTCTCAGATCATCCGCCTCCTGCCAGCGCTGCCAGCCCTGGACCTCCTCTCCCGCCAGCAGGGCTTGCAGCTGACCCGCCACCTGGCGCCTTGAAATGCGACGGAGGCGTCCAAGCCAAGGCCCGGCGTCACCCGAAAGGTTGCATCACTCGACAATACTCCGGGCAACAAAGGCAAGAACATGGAACGACTTGATAATACGCCCAGGTGGTATACCCCGTGGAAACCTTCCCAAAAGCCTTCAGCGGTTGGGGATACTTGGACTAGATGCAACATGCCGACTGGGCACCATGTGATACTTCAGCAGGGAACTTAAACAGGGATCCTCGTCGAACCCGTTGCACGCCCTCTCACGTGGGGTCTGGAAATCAAAGCGCAACCTCTGAGACCCCTCAAAATAGGCAAAAAGAGACAAACATTGATAGATCAAAGCCAAAGTTGGGGAAAAGTGCCCAGTGCCCTTTGACTAGTTGGGTTACACCCCCTTTTGGAAGAAAAGGTCAAAAGCTTAGGCTGATGCCCAACGCCATCTGCTCAGATATATATATATATATATATATATATATTCAGCTGGAGGTGTTTTTGGACATAGCTCAGCTCGCGGCTCCTCAGGCGACAGCGGTGAGACCTCAGCGCCTGTCACCTGCGCGAGCGGCCGCACCCGCGAGGTTTTGCAGTCGATCTGCATTTTCCTTTGAGCACAACCACCGGATAAAAGCTTGCCAAAAACAGGGGGATCATGTTCATTCTAAATTCCAAAGGAAACCAACTGAACACATACCAGTCCACTAGGTGACGATTAAAGCAATGTTTCATGGTCAAACAACCATTCAAGCCGGAACATGTGCGGAACCCTCTTTTGGCGAGACCTTTGTGGCTTGGGTTTGTCGGTGTCATCCGCGAAACTCTGTCAAGTGTTGTTCATTTCCCAGTACATGTCTGACTAGAAGAGTGAGCCAGTGTCTATTCAGGTGATTCAGCATCTGAATGTTCCTTTGAGAATGTGTCGAAACAAGAAATGGAGGAAACCTACGATTCTTTTCGCTTGTCGACCCCGCGTGCCTTCACAACTCCAACTGGGTCTGCGCCTGAATAGCACCCGTGGGTTGTGGCTCGGGGGTGCGTGGGGTTCCTAGCCTTCCTTACCCAAACGAGAGGTTTAGGGGGTCTTGGAATTCCGGTTCCTATGGGCTCAGGCCTCGGGATGCGCGGATGTGGGGTGCAGATCTTGAGAAACATTTCAGTCAACCACTCTTGTCAGCTTGGATTTTGAGGCCAGCTTATAATCCAAAGTATGCAAGGTTCAATGGGATGTGTGGATGAACTTCGCAACGGCTGTCTCAAACCGTGGGTCGCTTCTTGGGGTTGGCACAATGAATCAGGATCCCGGTGCTGCATGCGACTCCACGTTGGGAAGCCGGATATCCTGCAAACTCACTGGTAGCATGGCTGCGTCCGATGTGTCAAGTTACTCCACAGGAGTGTCATCTCATCCCATCGCAATGATTGCTGCAGTGGTCATGTGCACTACCTATCACTATCAAGCCATCGTTGTGCTTTCTGGCTTCCTGCCATGAAAGCTGATTTGATCATTGTTGGCTGTGAGAATTCGAGTGCCTGCTTCAATATCCTGACGGTCATGCTGGTGATGATGCTGTGGATCCTAGTCAATAGCTTTGCCATATTATGCATCTCAGCAACTCCGATCTAGACATTGCAAATGCCCATCACTTGGGCTCCGGACACTCAGAGCCCCAAGGGCGAGGTGTTTGCAATGTCTAGATGGAAGTTTCTGAGATGCGTAACACTCGCCCTGACTATCTGCAAATATCATCAGCACCACACAGTCGGAGCAGCTGCCCTCGCGCCTACCACACCTGGATCAACAACGGCCTGAATACCAACTGCATCTTTTGTTCTGTACAGTGAAGTGAAACCTGAAAAAACAATCATTAACTAGAACACAAACAAACAAACAAACAACGAAATCACAACAATGGACCAGAAACCACTTCCCCCTGAAAGGGGTTGGCAAAGACGTTGCTTGCATAGACGATCCCACTTTCCTGATCAAAGCCATCCTGTCCGAGTTCATGCGACTGTGGACGCCTCATGCGGTTCTGTAGCGTGACGGAAGTGATATCTGCAAATATTTGCTTTGCATGAAGTCAGAGGCGTGAGGAAACACTGCCAGTCTCACCTTGCCGTACCAGTTGAACCACGCCAGGGCAACCTCTTCAAGCACGACTGGCCATCTACCTTGTGCTCAATAATTACAAATGTGACTGCTCTGCTGTAAGTGGACATTCATAGCCTGCAAGCCACGCCAGCAGCTCCTTCGAACAATGCGGTTTCATGGACGTGAGCTATAAATTTGTGGTAAAGTGCACGGACCGCGTGGTATCTTGAGTCATGCTCCGCAGAGTTGCATTCGGATTCAAGCCGCTTGAGTCGGTCGTGACAGTCTGCAGGCGAGGTATCTACCCTGGCAGTGAAGCAGGAAAATACTCCCTGGTGAAGCAGTCAGGAAGTTGTTGAATCTCGTATCGTGGTTGACGGATGCCTTCAGTGACCCCGGCCCCGCCTGGACATTAGTGTGTGACGCAAGGCCACGCATTCAACAGGTACCAGGCTGCTGTCCAGGCATTCATCATGATTTGAGACACAGCTGCCTGCAGCACCTCGAGCTGTACGAGATCCTGTAGATCCATGTTTTCGTTGTCTCATGCGCTGACTTACTAAGGAACCGCAAAGACCTTCGCATGGAGCTTGTTTGACCCCCAAAACTCGCCGGAAATTGCCCAGGCCCCATTGAGACTTGGGCGGCGTCCCAAAGATTTCTATCCCCTAATTATCTTAGCAACAGCAACAAGCCGGCAGCCCAGTATCCCAAGCCCCGGAACCTGGGCCGGCACATCTCACAATTTGCCAGCCCACGCCTGGCGGTGGTCGGCCGTCCAAGCTCTCCAGCAAGCCCCAGCCGATGCGAGACCTCGTGAGGCTTCTTCGACGCTCCGGCTTTGGTTGGGAACGTCAACGGGTTGGACGTCTGAGAATAAAGGGACCTGGAAAGGAGTCAACCTCTGGGTTGCTCTTCGCCCCTGAGCCGAAAGGTCGATAGCCTTTTGTAGGTGTATATAATGGGCAAACCATTTGCTTCCGAAAGGTCCTTTTGGGCGATTTGGTCACACCAAACGCCAGCCATCATATAATCAATATAGTGGAGTTGTCGCTTTCCATGGTTCGGATCCGAAATCAAAGTTAATCCATGCAAAGTGTCTAGTCATGAATAGTTCGTGACCAGTGATCAAGGAAAAGTCACCACGGATCGATTGGTTTTGATGGGATGGGCACAGGCACCTCCAGAGAAACATGTATTGTGGAATCATCATTTTCCAACAAACCACATCCTTCCTTGGAAACAGAAGGGAAGCGGACATAGATTGAATTCAAGGGTCTCAAAACCGAGAAGGGGATCTCTCTTCATGCATAATGTGTATAGAGAGAGAGAGAGTGAGAGTGAGAAAGCACCGCCGGATCCGAGCTGCAAACGTCCAAGAAGGTCGAGCAAACGCCGCCATGAAGGAAGTGTCTCTGCGCGGCCTCGTGCAAGAGCGCTCCACAGACGCGAGGCGAGCATGTGGATCGGGTTTGCAAGGTACCCAGTATGGTACTGGGTCCACTAGAGCGACATCCTCACAATTCTCCTCTACTGCAAAAGTCAACTTCAGAAGCCAACATGTTCACCTTCAGGGACCCAGCGGCATCCCTTGGCAATACCGGAACACGTCGTAGTTTTGCCCTTGGATAGCAACTCCTGGCGACAGGTTTAACAGGCACTGGGCAACTGGGCAGCTCGGGCTTGTTCAGGGTAAGCTGACCCCAAACACCACGAAGGCAAATGCCGGGAAGCTAAATACTGTAGATCAAGGTGTCCAATCTTGATGTATCTTGATGTCAAACATGCAGAACAACAAATGACGGGTGGCGGAGACCCTTCTTGAAACCTGATAGTCATCATGGCTCATCATGGTGCCCTCAGCACAAGTACTCGCACCTAAGGCAAGCACACACACGCACAAGTGCGCATGACTGGTATCCAGGAATTCAATGCGCATGACTGGTGGCTTCCTACGGAATCCATTCGTTCATTCCCCACCCCAACCGTTCCCTAGCCAACAAGCTACGCGACTGCGAGAGTGGCCGGCTGAAGCGCCAGCTGGCCTTTTGGGTACCCGGAGGGGTCCCTGGAGAAAATCTAAACGGCATTGGCCGCAATGAACTGAAAAATGGTCCACGCCCGCAGACTTGTGAATGGAGGATCAAGACTGTCAAACTTAGGTACCCCGTCGGTTGGTACTCGAAAATGGCGAACCAATTAACAAACAATAGTTGCTCCTCAGGCACCCCAAAGAATGCTTTCCCCGACCCCCAACAAAGGGATCTGTTCGCAACGGGACTGCAGCGCTGTTGCGGCTTTTCAATTTTGCTTTTGGACAAGTTTTGAACGTACAACTCTCGGATGCTTTGTCACTTAAGTCTTCTCTATCCGCCATGTTTGCTTGGACAGCTACTGAGCAATGATCCAAAACAAACACAATGCTTCTTGTTGATTGATTGATTTGCGGAGAACAGCTCAAACGGGAAAACAATGAAAAAGGCTGACACCAACAGGGCAACCCCAAATATTTCCCTAAGCATCATCCCAAAAGGACACCCACCTTTGTTTCGGCCCAAGAAGTGATGTTTAACATGGCAAGGGGTCGCTGGATGCTCTTTAGGTGGATCAATTTACTTGGAATCCATTGAAACGATCGCCACGAAAGTGGAGGTTCGAAAGGAAATGCCTCGGAACCCCCCGACGACCCAGCGCAGCGGCTCAGCGCCTGCGACTCAGCAGGGCAGCAGCCACGCAGCGGCAAAGCGTATCGAGGCCTTGCCGAAGTTCGAGGCGACACCAGCCGTCGTTTGACCCAGGTTTGGCCTGAACATAAGATACATGACATGTGCCTGCATCGAAGAAGGAGATTACACATGATATGTTGGGTCCTGCCATGTTCGGAACCATGTGAAAAAGGTTCGCGGCGCATTTTTAAGCCTGACCAATCAGCAAGTAGCTGGACAGGGTGGAGGACCACTACATACTGAAGAATTGCCCGTGCGCCGAAAAGAGCAGACTAAAGTGCCAAGGGTGAACCTCAAATTTCTCATTGAACAAAGGTGTCAATCTTTGGTTTTAGCACATCTCGAATGCGAAAAAGACAATTTAACACGCAAGCCAACACCACCACGACCAACTAAACAAACATCAACCGCCGAAAAGAACACCAAAACAACACCGACCACCCCGCCAAATCAAACTGGTTGACCCGAGCCACGTCGATCATCACCGCCAATCAAACAAACAAGAGGAGCCCGGGAACCCAAAAGCAAACTAGCCTCACTTATCATGGCATGTGGATCCCGTTGTTTTCCGGCTCAAGGGTCCGAAGGCAAACCAAGATTTAAGTTGTTCACAGTTGGGAAATCAACCCCAAAACAGATGAAGAAGGGGAGCAACCGCGACTCAAGCCGGATTGGCAGCCAGCAGCCTGTGCTCTGACCAAGCACAGAGAAAAAGGCAAAGGCACGGGTGAAACATGACAGGCCCCGCACTACATGGAAGGCACGAAGTCATCCGATTCATCATGAAGAACCAATCGCAGAAATCCGAAAATGGATCCGCACAAACTACCACTCCCAAATTGGAAGCAAGGCATAAGCTCGCTCTACACCCATCTGAAACAAGTCTGAGACACAGTGTTACAACACGATCTGAGTAGACCGGGGTCAGCTGTTCGGATGTTCATGCGCCCTTTTGTTTGGGCCGAGTGTGCTCAGCATATTCATGTCAACGTGCTTCCAGGCTGCTTCAAAATAAGTAGGGCGAACCCCAAGAGACTACAGCTTCTGAAGAGAGGGTTCGTCCTAGAAACACATTGGCACCGTTTGTTCGGGTCAGGTGTGCGGCAAAAAGGACAATCTTGGCGCACCTGGAACGCCGGGCTGTTCACATGGAGCCGTGCACGTGGCCTTCACAAACTTGCTTCGTAAGCTTGCTTGGATTCGTTTCTTTCTCCACCTATTTTCCCATTCGCAACCAATTGCAACTGGTGACTTTGTGGAAAGGGCCGCGCACGTTGTCAATTGGATGCGTGTGGGTGGCAAGTTGGGTGGATTCGCCGCAGGTGTGTGGAGACGGGGCCGGCGCTGCGCTTTTGCGGGGGGCTCGGTGTGGACAAGCCTCGGTCACTTGGTGGGTCTGACGCCTGTCCGAAACAAGTCTGAGACACAGTGTTACCACGATCTGCGTAGACCGGGGTCCCACTGCAGAGCACGCCGAGGCAAAGTGCTGGCGGATGCGGAGGGTGGTGGGGCGCTGCGCAGAGGTGTCGCGGATTGCCATCAATCCAGGCTGCAGCGGGCTGCGATGGAACTGCATGGGAGGGTCGTCCACACTGAAAACTGCAGGCACCCTAGCCATTGCTAATGGTGGCACTCAAAACTGACCTAAGCCGAGATCTCGCTGGGAACGCGTGTGTAGCAACAAGCTTTGGGCACAAGACTCAACCAATTCAATGCCCCTGCCCTGTCAGCATCTGCTCGATGCGCTCTTTGTGTCTTAGCCTCGCCCGGTCTGGATTCTTTCTGAATCACAGCGCTCCCTACAGCAGCATCATGTTGCGCTGCACCCTGAGCCAACCTCAAAGCAACTTGACTTGTCCTCTAGGCAGCCAACTCAATGTTCTTCAGACCATTCGAAACAATTTTAATTTTGTGGTCACCTTGAAGTGCTTTAAATAGCAGGCTGCCAGAGCACTGTGTGCAAGTCGCTTGTCCCCATCCAGACAAACAATCCAGTCAAATGACAACATTGCGTGTTGAATCTCATGTTACCGTTACCGCGCACTGCCCTAAGTCTCAAAAATGGCACAAGTGACTGTGCCAGATCTATTTCACAGCTGCTGCTGCAGCGCTTTGCCTTGGGCCTGGGCCTACACAATTCGCTTGCACTCGTCCTTTCCAAGGCTGAGGCCAGCAGGAAGAAACCAAAGAGGCTTGGCTGCCGCAATGGTCTTGTCAGAGTTGTAGACGCGAATCCTCCAAACCTTTGCTGCAGTGCCAAGCTCAGCCTGGATTGAAGACGAGACAAGGAGCAAGCTTCAGCACCTTCTCCAGCTTCGCTTTGGTGAACGTGGAGGCCACGTTGTGGCTCTTGAGGCTCTTGATGGCCACATTGTTTGCTTTCCACAAAATGTCATTGGTTGCCACAATGGTGAACTTGTCATCTGCGTGGCCCTGGGCCACCTCTGGCGGGCGCGTCACTGAATGCCCTCCAAGAGTGAAGTCCACCAGGCCGCCCTTCTCCACAGTTTACCCGCCCCATCCACCTCCAAAACCACCAAATCCTCATCACTGTTCCACTTGCACTCCCAGCCTTTCTCAGGGTGTTTGGCCTTGAGCTTGGTCGCCTTTTCCCCCAACAGCCACGTGCCTGCCCCGTGTGCCAGAAAGGCCATGCTGGAGTCTATGGAGACGGCTTCCTGGGCGCAGACAAAGAGCGTGGTCTTCTAGCAGCATCAATGTGCAGCCTGGCGTTCCTGTCACAGTCATCTCGGCCAAGGCCTTACCGCGCTTCTCCTGCGCAGCTGCCACTGTCTTGGCCTCATCGCTGAAGACTGCAGCCCAGTCAAAGCTGCCCGCAGCTGCGGCAGCTGGCCCTGCTGTAGCAGCAGCAGCTACTGGCTCAGCATTGACGCTCCATGCCTTGTCGAAGTCCTGCAGCACATCCCTCCACTCTGGGCCCCACAGTGGGCACTGCAAAAAATGCGGGGCAGCAGCAAAGTTCCCTGCTGGTGCTGGCAGATTTCCAGAGTCGGCCTCTCTGTTGGACATGCCGCGTAGACGAGCTTTAAAATTTGGCAACAAGTCAATGCCAGGGAGCGAGTTGGCCTTGACCCCATCTTGCCCACTGGTTGGAACACCCTTGACTGCTCTGTGGGCGGTTCCCTTCATCGGAAGCGCGTGGTCCTGCACGCCCAGGAAGCACAGGTAGGCTGCCGGCAACTCCCTGTTCCGATGCAGCTCACTCAAGTCCAAGTTCAGAGTGAACTGTCGGAGCTCCACCTTGTTGGCAGCCATCTTGTCTTCAATCCGGCGCCAGTCCTGCCGGAGCGAGCCGCCAGAAGTACTGCCGCGCAACAAAGGTGGCAGGATCACAGCGATGCCACCTGCCATCATCATCAGAATCAATTGAATCAATTAGCGCCCATCTAGCAGCGTCAACAAACAAATTCAATCCAAATCCACCTGCGCCGTAATTCAAACGCTTCTCCACTGTATCTGCCACGTCGTTGACTTCCTTCTGGGTCATGACCCCGAACTTGGTGCAGTCGACGTAGAGGATGAGGCGCACATCCAAAGGGCGTACCTGCCGGAAAAACAACAATTCAATCACAATGATGGCAGCCACTGTCACCACATGCCACGTGCGTGGCACTCGCGCTGCCTTGCCTTGTTGCGAAAAGCCACGGCCTTGAGGAAAGCCTCCGGTGACTTTGGCCCAATGCCAGGGGGCTTCCAACGTAAAGTCTTCCAACGACTGCTGCTAAGAACTTTTAAGCATCTACTACTCAATGAGACAAGCAGCTTCTTGCCGGTCTCAACCTGGCTCTTCTCGTGCAAGACGCTGATCACGTGTGCCCGTTTCCTGTTTTCTTCCTGCCGTGCGTTCCACTGCGCCATTGAGCTGTTCGGATGTTCATGCGCCCTTTTGTTTGGGCCGAGTGTGCTCAGCATATTCATGTCAACGTGCTTCCAGGCTGCTTCAAAATAAATAGGGCGAACCCCAAGAGACTACAGCTTCTGAAGAGAGGGTTCGTCCTAGAAACACATTGGCACCGTTTGTTCGGGTCAGGTGTGCGGCAAAAAGCACAATTATGGCGTACCTGGAGCGCCAGGCTGTTCACATGGAGCCGCGCACGTGGCGGTTGCCGCATGTCATGAGCGTCCACTGCGCCAGTCTCGCTCGCCGGCTTGTCACGGGCGTCCACCGCGCCAGTCTCGCTCGCGGGCGGTTTCCGCATGTCACGAGCGTCCACCGCGCCAGTCTCGCTCGCGGGCGGTTTCCGCATGTCACGAGCGTCCACCGCGCCAGTCTCGCTCGCGGGCGTCGCACCGCGCCAGTCTCGCTCGCGGGCGGTTTCCGCATGTGTCCACCGCGCCACGAGCGTCCACGCCAGTCTCGCTCGCGGGCGGTGTCACGAGCGTCCACCGCGCCAGTCTCGCTCGCGGGCGGTTTCCGCATGTCACGAGCGTCCACCGCGCCAGTCTCGCTCGCGGGCGGTTTCCCCATGTCACGAGCGTCCACCGCGCCAGTCTCGCTCGCGAGCAGTTTCCGCATGTCACGAGCTCCGCCTGTCACAAGCGTCCACTGCGCCAGTCTCGCTCGCGGGCGGTTTCCGCATGTCACGAGCGTCCACCGCGCCAGTCTCGCTCGCGGCGGTTTCCGCATGTCACGAGCGTCCACCGCGCCAGTCTCGCTCGCGGGCGGTTTCCGCATGTCACGAGCGTCCACCGCGCCAGTCTCGCTCGCGGGCGGTTTGCCGGCATGTCACGAGCGTCCACCGCGCCAGTCTCGCTCGCGAACGGTTAACGAGCGTCCACCGCGCCAGTCTCGCTCGCGGGCGGTTTCCGCATGTCACGAGCGTCCACCGCGCCAGTCTCGCTCGCGTGCGGTTTCCGCGTGTCACGAGCGTCCACCGCGCCAGTCTCGGTCGCGGGCGGTTTCCGCCTGTCACGAGCGTCCACCGCGCCAGTCTCGCTCGCGGGCGGTTTCCGCATGTCACGAGCGTCCTCGCTCGCGGGCGGTTTCCGCATGTCACGAGCGTCCACCGCGCCAGTCTCGCTCGGGGGGCGGTTTCCGCATGTCACGAGCGTCCACCGCGCCAGTCTCGCTCGCGGGCGGTTTCCGCATGTCACGAGCGTCCACCGCGCCAGTCTCGCTCGCGGGCGGTTTCCGCATGTCACGAGCGTCCACCGCGCCAGTCTCGCTCGCGGGCGGTTTCCGCATGTCACGAGCGTCCACCGCGCCAGTCTCGCTCGCGGGCGGTTTCCGCTGTCACGAGCGTCCACCGCGCCAGTCTCGCTCGCGGGCGTTTCCGCATGTTCCGCGTGTCACGAGCGTCACACCGCGCCAGTCTCGCTCGGGGGCGGTTTCCGCATGTCACGAGCGTCCACCGCGCCAGTCTCGCTCGCGGGCGGTTTCCGCGTGTCACGAGCGTCCACCGCGCCAGTCTCGCTCGCGGGCGGTTTCCGCATGTCACGAGCGTCCACCGCGCCAGTCTCGCTCGCGGGCGGTTTCCACCTGTCACGAAGGTGGACGCGCCAGTCTCGCTCGCGGGCGGTTTCCGCCTGTCACGAGCGTCCACCGCGCCAGTCTCGCTCGCGGGCGGTTTCCGCATGTCACGAGCGTCCACCGCGCTAGTCTCGCTCGCGGGCGGTTTCCGCCTGTCACGAGCGTCCACCGCGCCAGTCTCGCTCGCGGGCGGTTTCCGCATGTCACGAGCGTCCATTGCGCCAGTCTCGCTCGCGGGCGGTTTCCCCATGTCCACCGCGCCAGTCTCGCTCGCGGGCGGTTTCCGCATGTCACGAGCGTCCACCGCGCCAGTCTCGCTCGCGGGCGGTTTCCGCATGTCACGAGCGTCCACCGCGCCAGTCTCACTCGCGGGCGGTTTCCGCCTGTCACGAGCGTCCACCGCGCAAGTCTCGCTTGCGGGCGGCTCCGCATGTCACGAGCGTCCACCGCGCCAGTCTCGCTCGCGGGCGGTTTCCGACTGTCACGAGCGTCCACCGCGCCAGTCTCGCTCGCGGGCGGTTTCCGCATGTCACGAGCGTCCACCACGCCAGTGTCGCTCGCGGGCGGTTTCCGAATGTCGCCGCGCCAGTCTCGCTCGCGGGCGGTTTCCCCATGTCACGAGCGTCCACAACGCCAGTCTCGCTCGCGGGCGGTTTCCGCATGTCACGAGCGTCCACCGCGCCAGTCTCGCTCGCGGGCGGTTTCCGCATGTCACGAGCGTCTACCGCGCCAGTTTTGTTCGCGGGCGGTTTCCGCATGTCACGAGCGTCCACCGCGCTAGTCTCGCTCGCGGGCGGCGTCCGCATGTCACGAGCGTCCGCCGCGCCAGTCTCGCTCGCGGGCGGTTTCCGCATGTCACGAGCGTCCACCGCGCCAGTCTCGCTCGCGGGCGGTTTCCGCATGTCACGAGCGTCCACCGCGCCAGTTTCGCTCGCGGGCGGTTTCCGCATGTCACGAGCGTCCACCGCGCCAGTGTCGCTCGCGGGCGGTTTCCGCATGTCACGAGCGTCCACCGCGCCAGTCTCGCTCGCGGGCCGCTTTTTGCATGTCACGAGCGTCCACCGCCAGTCTCGCTCGCGGGCGGTTTCCAGCCAGCCTCGCGCGCCCAGTCTGCACCACACCGCCGTCCCCCCAGCCAGCCAGTCTCGCTCGCGGGCGGTTTCCAGCCACGCCCAGTCTGCGTCCCCCCAGCCAGCCAGTCTTGCTCGCGGGCAGTTTCCAGCCAGCCTCGCGCACCCAGTCTGCACCACACCGCCGTCCCCCCAGCCTGGCATCGCACGCCCGGTCTGCAGCACAACGAAATGGAAATCCCTTCTTATCTCCGTCGTCACAGCTTGTATCGCTCCCAGGCACCTTAAGAGAAAACCTAAAGCAGAACCCAAGCATCAGAGATGCTTTTGGGAAAAACAACAAGAGCGCTAAGCACAACAAAGCACAGCCAACTGGAGGCTGGCAAAAAGGTGTCATGTCGTAGCCAAGCAAACATCAACCACCAAACAGAAACACAATGAGTAGTTGGTGTGTTGTGTTTCTTTCATATTCACAACACACCACAATACACAACCTGCCGCAAACCCAACATACCTGCCTGGCATTCTGAATTGTTTGGCAACAACTAATCCAAATAAATTGCAGGACATTCGAATGGTCTTCTCTCATAAGGTGGTGGTTGTGAATAAACATGGGTTTGTGTCAAAATAGGAGGACCCTGCCCCAGATCAAAGAGACATCTGGCCTTTTGGCGTCCCTTTAGACCAACCTTAACTCAACAAACAACAACCCAGCTGCCTATGACGCTGGTGAAAATGAAAATAGAATTGGAACCCTTTTGGGGGTTGACCATGTTTAGCGGGAAAGGCACCAAACAAAAAGGGACTGCAAGGGTGGACGTCGTTGAACAACTGAGTTTTGCTTGTGAACAGGGGCAAATTATTGCTGGCATGTAGCAACAAACAACCAACAGCACAATCAAAAAGCCCGTTCAACCCAACAACCAACAACCTCGATTTGGTCAAAGCAACCACAACAGCGTGTTTTGAAACAACGAAACCAACAACACCCACGCAAGTCGACAACAACTAACACACAACAGGTCTTGTTAAATACAACCCGCCAAAACCAGGAAATCGAGGCTCTGCCCGTCTTATTTGCGCATTTCTCGGCGTCCAGGCGGTGGCTGCCCGCCAATCTCTCAGGGTCAACCTTCGGCCAGCAGGGCACCGCGCCAAAGGGCACCTGCGAGACATTTGGGCCCCGGGCCCCGAGGAAGACGCAACCACAAAAGTTGAATCATGATCAAAATCCGGTGCGGCCCGATACTCAACTTGTCTGCCCAGAGCCATGTAAAGAATTCAAGAATGGCAACACCCATTTGTGGCTGGGATTGTTTCTGACTCCAGTTACCAAGGTTTTGATTGTGACTCATTTTAGTGTTTCTCAAATGAATCGACTTGCTGAAATGGCCAAAGGTTTCGGGCGCGCGAGTCAAAGGGGTTTGGATCCCCCCAAAATGGATCCAATGACCTTTGATTTCCATCCACAAGATACTAAGGGCAGAGACCTGGCATCTCCAACCCACTTTGTGGGTAGCCATGGTTTTGCACTAGTTCCCAAATGGTTTTGGCCTACTTGGCTTGGCGCACATCTTGGGCACGTCCAAACAACGCAATACTGCATTAGGATCAGGGTGGGTTAGAAAGGCGAATGGATTCCCAAGGGACAAAGGCACTGTCGTTCTTGCTTGAAAGGAAGGTTCCTCCAAAAAGAAAGGCATTCAACGAATTCTTCATGTCAATGTGGTTTGCCGATACGGCAGGTTGAATGTTCAGGGACAGAATCCGGATCACCGCAAACAACAAGAATTGGGTCGATCAAATATCAGAGAAGAAACTGCAACAAAACAGTGGGGGATTAGGCTTGACAAGCCCCAGCTGAAACCCCGCGAGGAAACGAGGAATTGAAGAAAAACATGAGCCCCTTGTCAAGGCGAGCTTGCCCAAGAAGTATCTCCAACAGCCCGGGAACGTCCCCGGAACCGTGCGGGAACCTGCTCGAAACCACCCCCAAGCCGATTGGGTCTTTGAGATTTGAGAGGCTCCCACTTCGCCTTCCTGACCCTTCAGGCGGAAACGCACCATCTACACCATGGGCCGTTAGGTGCTCAATTTTCTCGTGGATAAAGAAGGGGGCCCAGCATCGGGCCACCCAAAAACCCAGACCACACGCTGGGCCCCGCCAGGAAGGTACGATGGAGCGCACCTGACGGGTTACATGACACCCAGAACTGAAATCCAAAAGCCCCCCCCAGTTTGCTCCTTAAATGGTGCCTGACTAAACTCAAAAACATATATCAACTGTTCGAACTCCCCGGCAGAACGGGCAGGCACCCTTTTCGGCCAATTAAACAAGGCTGGCCTAAAAGGCAGTCTGGAAAAAGAAAACATTACCATCCTGGCCATTATTGTTGGTTTGTGCGGAAAATGACAGCACATTGGCACTTTGGCACCCAGACAGGAGCAAGCTTGATTCAAAACTCCTTAAGGATTCATACCCAGCTTCGACACCAGCTGGGTTGTTCATTTGAACATGGGAATGATTGCTGTAGCAAAACTGGGGCCTCCAAAATCTGACACACACACACACACAAACACAGGGTCTATACTCTTCTGAGAAGGGGCGACAAAGGAATTCCTGTCAGTAGCCTGTCTGACAGATGCACAACAGCGATCCGCGCGGAAAGTAGTCGGTCCTGCAAGGGTATTAAAGGTTAATTTAACTTTGCCGCTGCTGTCGTCATTCTCTTGACGGTGCTGTGGCTACCTGGCAAGTAAAGCAAACAAAGCAATTGAGACATACATCTGGGCCGATTGCTATCGTTCACACGCCTAAAACAAGAACCCCCCAAGTAGCCGTCATAACTGGTGAGGTTGGAAGGACACCTCAGGTCAATGCATCCAATGGTTCTCAAAATAGTGCTCTCCTAAAATGGTTCGTATCCTGTTGGTTGTATTTAAATACCAACAACAAGGCGGTTCCACCATTCTGAGAAACATTCGCATACACAGAGCTTCCTCAGCCAGCCAAGCATCGACAACAGATCTTTTCAACCCACGACTGTCCCGCCTGCATTGAGAAGTGCAGCGGACATACTATGCAAACAGCAAGGACTTCCACCTGCTTCAGGTGCCACTGAATCAAGACATGGGGGTGGCTCGAGTCGCAGGTATTTCCCTTAAACACTGAGAAAACAACAACACACAACGAGGGACACACGACCGACTGGGGGTTCTCTCAAAATAGGGATCCCCTAACATGCTCGGTTTTCTTTTGGGTTCCCTTCAAAGCAACCAACAGGGGGTAACTTGTACTTGTTCACAAACTGCAAAGACTTCATGGGTGTTGCAACTGTTGCCCCCCCCCCTTGGAAAGTGAGAGGTCGCGAGTGGATTTGCTTACAGGCCAGCTACTTTCAGGTCTGGATATGTCTGGATTCTGGACTGAAAACCTGTAGCTCCCTAGAACAAACGCCTACCACCTCCATGCTGTCTTCAAACCTTGATCAGATTTGTCGGGGCTTGAGAGCATTCTTATCCGTGAGGGGGATGCATTGGCCTTGATAACATGTTTCTGATTCTTGCTGGCCTCTCCCAGATCACTGGATCGAAAGCCAAGCTTGGAGCCAGAGTCGGCACGGAATCGCCGTGGTTGAGCAAGGTTGCCCCTTTCTGCGAAGCCGCTGATTTCCATGACTGCTTGATCACCCAGGGCATCCCCCTGATATCCAAAGATCACCAAGGCGGTTCGGTTCTACCAAATAGCACCATCCCGTGCTTGCTTGAGCAACGCAACGCTTGAAGAAACAAACACCAACCGTCACTTGTCGGTTCGAACAATCCGTTGTTCCGGGCCGAATCGGGATCCCATCTCAGCCAACTCTCGAGAGTGCGAGGCTTGGCTTTCCCACTCGAAATTTTGGCCTAGGATGCGATGGAGCCGAGCCAACAAAGCTTTCGTAATTGTCTGGCTGTGTGTTACGGTGACCCCCAACAAATGGTTTGCCTGTTGGTTTCACTTTTAAGCTACCCCAAAGGGCACCTTCAAACGTATCCACCCATGTAGACCTCATACTCGCCAAGCCTTCTCCCCTTCAGGCTCGTCCCCATTCGACCAATGACAAGTCGGGGTAGCAAATGTTGGAAAGAATCTGCCGGAATCACTTCCAATCCTCATTTCCTGAGTTGAATAGCCCGAAAAAGTCAGACTTTCTGCGTGCCACTAGCATCGTCTTCCGAAGAAGTGGCTAAAGTCTAAAATGGAACTCAGGGAGTGAGAATCTGGGTGGCTTTTACCTTGTGCCCAAAGTCTAGCTGCTTGTGCTGTTTGATGGCAAACACAAAATTTATAGTGAAAAGTAGGGTTTGGGGGTCGGGGTTGGCCGGCTGCATCCCCACGGCCCAAAACTCACGCAACCACATCCACAAAGCCACTGCTAAACAAGCGCACACATCAGCGCCTAGCCACCCCGAACCCAAACCGATTGAAAGTCAACATAAAACCCAACAGCATGCTGGACATCAGCCTTTTGCCAAGCCTAAATGAACCAAACAACCAAACCCGAGCAACTCCCAACTGCCACCAAATCAAAGCCCGTGAGGCTGGTGATGCTGGGGATGTACCCACCAGCAAATAATGAACACCAACACCGAAGCGCCGCCAAGTAACCGGGAATGCCTGGAAGGAGTGGGATGCAGCCGCCCAACCAACCCGCAACCACGCAACCTAGCAACCAAGCAACCAACCAACCACACAGCCAACTGACCGGGGTTAAGCCCTGCCGGGGCTAGTAATCCAAAAAACACCGGTTCCCTTCTGGGCTTTGCCCTTCAAAACAAAATAGAATCCAACTGGACCGGATTTTTGGTTCCTTCCAGAGTACTTTGCTGACAGTTCATTCATACATTGAAGTTCACTGGATTCCACAAACTACCAGTTTGGCCGAACCCTGTCTACGTAGTTTTGGGAGAGGTGGCAGGCAGTGTCCTATCTCGCAACTTCCGCCCCATCGCCCGATCTCTCGTCCCAGGCGTCCAAAATTGGACATGTGGACGGCACTGGATGATTAGAACCAACATGAAACCGGACCTTCCTGTTTCACCAAAGAGTGTTTCTCAAAATTGGAGAACCCCAAAATGGGTTCTTCCTCTCTATTTCCATTTAAAACCACCCAAAACAGGGTCCAGACTTTTGAGAACACCCCAAAGTTGCCAACAAACGCCCACGTCTCTCGCGCGTTGGTTTTAGCCGCGGTCGAGATCAACAAACTTCTGGTTGCGCTGGATGGCGTCGTTCTGCAACGAGGGCGAAGACCCGAAGAGGAAGGCCTGGCGGCCCTTTGGTGAAACCATGGCCCAACAAAACTCTGAACTGTTTGCATAGCACTAAAATGGTCTGCCCAAAAGGTTAAAGCCGCTAAAATTGCGCCAAAAGCACATTGACCTACACCTCAGCGCTTCTGTTCGAGACCGCGTGATTGGAAACCCCCGCTCGGCCCACTGGCAAATCCTTCCAATGCAGCATGGTCGTGGAACGTGGTTGCCCCTTTCTGTGATTCCACACCAGGATTCGTATCAGCATGACTACTTTGTCACTCTACAGGGGATCCCCTTATTATTGTCACAGTACGTGGCCACCACAACATGTTTTTCATGACCAAGGTGGGAGGTGGGAACAGCGCCTAATTCCAACAACCCCGATCACCAGAGTTCCTCGCGGTATGAAGGAATTCATCCACAGGTTCTGCACAAAAATATGGATGGAGTGTTGGGACCATGAGGCCTGTGTGTTGTACGGCGGACCTCCCTGATTTGGGGCTATCTCCCGAGAGCTCACTCACAATCCGAATCGAGTGGTGTAAGCGCCACGTTCAAAAGCCGTAGGGTGTGGGGATCATACGACAGGATTCAAAGTTTCTGTCCAACAAGTTGTCCAAAGCTACTCACGAGCTCCACATGCTGCCGCAATCTGGGGTTCAAAAATGATATTGGCGAAAAAAGCGAGCCCCGGCGCCGGGCCCTCCACTCATCCCTGGTGCAGGCAGTGAGGGCATTGACCTGGTCCCGGCAGTCCCCGCCACCTGGCAAGTGAAGCTCCCAAACAAACCGGTGGGGTCTCATAGAAGCACCTCCCAAATGGGTGGTTTCCTGTTGGTTTCTCTTTCAAACCACAAAAGAAAAGGTTTCCCGCAAAAAACACACGCACACACACAGCCCATGTTTGTTTCGGCCCGTGTTTCAGGCCTCCAATGCAGGTCCAGTGAAAGGAATCGCCCAATGGACACAAGTTGATTTCCTGCAACAAATTCCTTTTCGCTGGCTTCTTAGTGGGAACCCCCTCTATTTTTTGCTTTAAACCAGCGGCGCGTGCAACTGCCACTGCCTGGACTCCAAATCCCAACAGTTGCCTGGAGAATGTCGCTCTCAGCTCAAACTGGAGTTCGCCGCCTTCTTTGGGGAATTTGGAGCCCTCAAAGAGGGCCTCGCTCACTTGCGATCGATTGGATTGGCCCAACATAGTCCAAACTTTTGATTTACCGCAAAAAATGTTTTCCCAAAAAGTCACTAAAGTCCGAAACTGAACTCAGGGACTGAGAGGGGTTGCTTGTCTTTCAACCAACAAGCTGACCGGATGAGTTTGGCTAGAACAAGTCTAGACCTGTTGGGCCAAGGCTAAGATGATGCAGCATCAGCCAACCCAAAAGCTTAAAGTTCGAAAACTGAACGGGTAGCTGGTGGCTAGATAGGGGTTGCTTTTCTCAAATAGCACATCCCCTGTTGGCGTTCCTTTGCGAACTCGAACAAACATGCGCTATTTTTTGCACCCGGGTAGGGGCTTCAAAAGGCAAAGGGCATGCGCGCCTCGCACGCAACTGGCCAAAGTCAGGTACTCCGCGTTGCAGGCTTCCCTGCAGAAGCAGTTTGCATCCAGGCGGCCTGGCAAGGTCCGGCTGAAACTGGATCTGTCAAACGGGGACGCTTGTTGATTTAAGCAAACACCACTGGGTCAATCCCAAAACATCAACCCAAACCAAAGGATACTCTGAGGATTCCCCTGAACAAATACATGAAGCCTTTCTTTGGACATTTCAGGGTTCCCTATAAAGGTAGCCTTCATCTGCCTGCGGCATACTGGGACCTTTGTGGCTCGGATTTTTGTTCGACACATCTCGGTGGCTTCCCTCCCTGGTTGTGCGCTTTTGGTCGTCTTCCCTTTTGAGACTGGTTTTGATGGGTTAACCGCACTCATTGGGAAGGAAGGGACCCCTTGGGGAAGTCTTTGTTGCTTCTCCCTTCTCATGTATTGCAAAAGACGGTCCGGGAAGGCGGCATTCAATCCTGTCCACAACTGTCGGTTTCGCTTTGAGTTTCGGTTTTCGGGCAAAAGGTGGAACGCTTACAGCGCAATGGCGCAACTTGTTCCCTGCCAGTTTTAGTAGGTTCTGTTACCTGGCTAAAACGGGATTTTCTCAAATCCTATTTGGGGCCATGACAGTAGAGCCAACACATGCGTCTTGGGCTCTGCTCCTACGCCTCTGGGAAACTGTCCATGAAAGGTGATGTTGTTCAACAGTTTGATAGATTCCAGATTCAAGTCCGCGGGCGACCGGACGGTTCGCAACTTCCCAACTTGGAACGCCATGGCAACAAGTGCGGTCCCAGTAGACGAGAGACCAAAAGAGTTGCAGCTCTTCCAGGAAGTCGCGCCTTGGCTGTTGCGACACCGCTGCAGCACTGCCAAGCGCCGCTTCGCCGTTGGGGTGTTGATCACCTAGCGGACTGGTCCCGAAGCGTCTCTGGCACCAAAGGACACTCCAAAGAACATGATGCCACAATAAAAAGCTCTCCAGTTGTGTCTTTCGAAGAAAGATGCTTCTCGTGGGGGGGAAGTCGTCCGGGTGCAGATGGGCTGTAACAGGTTCTTCTACGTCCACGTTCGGGCTCTCAGGCCTGGAATCCTATTCCAACCGACCCTGATACAAACAGTTCCTTGGTCACACATCTTCGGCCTTAGATCACAGCTTCTGAGTCAGATTGCTGTGGTCTGCGAACATAGAGCTATCACCATGTTGAGATTCTGCACGTAGTGTGCGTCGGGGCTCCATTGCTACCTTTGCAGGTTGTCAATCTCCTGTCCCGACGCCGGGGTACTGCAATGGAGTGGGTTTCCTTTTGGAACACGGATGGCACCGGTCCAACTGGAATTACAATCAAACTGAAACCCGTGCGGCCTGGGAACCGACATGACCCAAAAGGACACCCTTGGTAAGTGCTCCATTGAGAGAACTCTTCCATCGTTCGGAGCAACCTGAGTAATCAGCCAAGCTTCCCATGTCAAGAACGTATGAACTACCAGAGAAGCTTCACCTGGCTCATAATCCAAAACCTGGCATTCAAGGGGCCACCAAAACCAAATGGGAAGGAACCAATATCTAAGACTACATTGACTACCCCCAAACCACTACCCCTAGAAGCCAATGGATATATGTACCAGTCCCTGGGCCACGTACCCCCCCCCCCCCCAATGGTATGGTCCCCCCACTCCCCCGCATCATCCGCATCTTGGGGATGATGCTGGCAATGCTGGGGATGCTGTCCAGTACCGTGCGAGCCCTGCAGCTTCGGTCCCAGACCCCCTTTCACCCCGTGAACCAACACCCCCGCACCTCTCGCAACATCCTACCCTAAACCAAACCACCCTTTAACCCTAAGCCTACATCAACCCAAACCCCAAGCCCACCCGAAACCCACCGCAAACCAACCCTGAACCAACCCTGAACCAACCCTAAACCAACCCACCAAGCCTCAACCAACTCCGAACCACACCCCAACCACCCAACCACCCCACCACCCCACCACCCCACCACCCCACCACCCCACCACCCCACCACCCCACCACCCCACCACCCCACCACCCCACCACCCCACCACCCCACCACCCACCCCACCCCCCACAGGGGGGGGGGGTTGGCCCAACCACCCAACCACCCAACCACCACCCCACACCCCACCACCACCCCACCACCCACCCACCCCACCCCCACAGGGGGGGGGGGGTTGGGGAGGGGGGGGGGGTCCACGGCCTGGAACATATATACAGGGTATATAAAGGTTAGGAAAGGGTTATACAAGGGTTATACGAGGGCGGCTCAATTTGTGCATATTTGGCTGCTGCAGAAACCAGGTAATTCTGGAGCTGCGGCATGTGTTTCATCCGGGTTCGCTGCTATCAGTTTGACGTTGAAACTCGTGAACATCAACGCTTGGTTTGCGCCGGTATCTTTGTTTAAGGTGAACATCAAAGCTGTGCTTTCTTGGCAGCCAGTTTGGATTGCTACTTTGATCATGTCGCGTTGGAGGGACCGCCACATCCCCGGTTGTGGGGGTAGTGAGTCCCAAAACGCGCGGTTTGGGGGTAGTGGATTTGACTGGGCGATTTGGGGGCAGTCACACGTCACCTGGTATGCGCGTGAAAAAGGTGAATCACACCACTACCCCCCAGTTTGGGGGCGGTAGCGCGCGGATAGTGCGGGAGTTCCGGAGTCGGTGTGGGTGGCAACAGCCCCAAAAATGCATTTCGAATAATTACCGGGACAATCGACCACACAAGTTCACCACTTTTAGCCACGAGGTAGACGGGCACCAGGCTAAGCCATTCTGAAGAACTGTGCTGATAAAAACTCACCATTCTAGGGGCCACGCACCTGCAGGCAAGCAGTTTGAAGGGTCCGCTGGAGCACAAAATGTGGGCTTTTGGGGGTAGTGTTTTGGGGGTAGTGAGTTTGGTCTTAGACAATAGGCCAGATATCCACACCCATCTATGGCTAGGACCGTGAGCGGGTGGGGCCTCGCGAATCTGATGCTGATTTCCAAACCCTTGTGCTGGGCTTAGGGTGGTGATCCAGTCAATTTCTCAAAGCCTGGGCAAAAACATTGGCAACCGATTTTTTGGCGTTCTTGGACTTTGTAACTTACTGGCTCCTGATATGTTCCTCGTAAGGACCGACTTGGGAGGAGTTGGTTTTGCATGGGTTGCCCTTTTCCCCCCAGCGAGAAATGGGGGGCGGGGAAGCATATCCATGCTTGAATCCCACAAGGGAACCTGCTGTGTTGCACTAGGGAATTCTCTAAATCGGCTGGTACATGTCATGTTCAACATGGCCATATCTCGGCTTTTGCCCCCCCCCCCCTCCCCCCACCTCCGCCCCCCTCCCCCCCTCCCCCCCTCCAAAAGGCAAAAAACATGATATGTGCGTCTGATCCACATCCGTCAGTAAAAAAACTCAGGCATGAGAAGCAACCTCAAAAGAGGTGCCAGTGAAACCTCAAAAATGCCTGTGCCCAACCCCGCGTCTGGCTTCCTGTGGATTTGCATGGGAAATTTGGAGCACTCTGTTTTTGCTAGTTGAGTTTAAAGGATTTCCTCCCAAAAACAAGGAAAACACAAGTACACCAGAGGTCTGCGACGGGGTGTTTGCCAATTCAAACGCAGATCTTTTGCCATTTCGCACAACCCTCCAAACAACAGGAACCAGGAAGACTCCATGGGAAGCCTGCTCTTCCCCAAACCTGTTTTGCACCTCCTTTACCTTTTGGTTTGCGGGTCCCGGTCAAAAACCCCTGAATTCCCCTTTTGTCTTTAAACGTCAGCTTCCGGTTGCCAAATTGAAGCATTTGGCTCCCTTTTGGAGTGCTTAAAGGGGAAGGTGGGTGTCATGTTTTGGAGCTACCCTTTTTCACAAAGGTCAGGGAAACCAATCGGAAAACCCGGCGATTTTTTTCAGCAGCACTCCCCAACCACTTCCGGTTCTGGGTGGTCGTGGGATCTATGCGCCTGCCAGAGCTGCTCATCCGAGAACTCCGAGAGCGCTGAGCCCGGGATCATGCGCCCCACGAATTGGTGGAACTCCTGGTGAAATGGGCATCCGGGGCGTTTAGTGTTGGTCAAGGTTTACCTAAAAATGAACCCTGGTTGATTGATACTTGGATTGACCCCTTGTTTTTTGTGAAACTTCTAGTGGGAAATTTGATGAACCCCTCTAAACACGAACGAACTCAAGTCTAAGGGTATGGCTGGGAACCGCCAAGGTTTTTTATTAGGGACCCTTGGTGGACATGGTGGAGATTCATGTCCACCACTTTTGAGGTGGGCACGTCACAGGGAAGGTTGTACTTTAGGTTGCTCCTAACTTACTAGTTCGTTGATCCCTTGCACAAATGTTACACTGCAAGTGGGACATGCCGTGAACTCGAGAAAGCTAACAGTATACGGTTATGGCTGGGAACCGCAAAATTGAGGCGACATCCTCAAGTTTACCCTCTAAATGCTCACTTGGACCTGGAAAAATTGAGTGACAAACAAACTCATGAGCTTTGCTGAACATTGCTTCTGGGCAACGCAATGCGATTCACATAGCAGGAATAAGCAATCCTCTGTGCAGCGAAGGGCGTCCTTTATCTTGGGTGAACTCAGTTTCCCAGGCAAGCTTGTCAAACAGCCTGCAGGTGATTTACGCCCGTCCTGCCGCCATGCGCCCATTCTGTCAGGCTCCACGTCCCTTTTGCAGATCCAAGCCTTTCCCGGCGCTCCCTTCTTGCCCTTTGAACATCCCAGCCAAAAGGAAGTTTACTTCAGCTTGGCCAAACAAGTGATGTTTGAAGCCACCAGGGGTAATATAGGGCATGGCCGTCGCCTATGCCCAGCCCACGTCCTTGTCACCTTCCAGCAAGCCAGCTTTCCGCGGCACTTGCGACATTGGAGCTACTTGTGAAAAAGTCTCGCAAACCCAATGACATTGTGTTCTTTCCATGGCCACTTCATTTGAAGAGGTCCTCTCTATGAGTTCAGGTCAACCATCTGGACTTTCGCTGCTGTCTTCAGTCGAAAGTGTGGTGGCTTGGTTCTGCCGTGGGCCTATAACGCTGGCTGCAGAGCTTGGCTCGAGTGTTGGCAGGGCGCAATGATTGCAACGCAGGAGGGTGCTACCTGGATGCTAAATTACCCATCAATACCCATCTTCTCTTGGTTTCCCGTTTGGACAATTTGAGGCTAGGATGCATGACATGATTCGTTGCTGTGCTGAAGCTTGGAGCCGAAGAGAAGGATCGACTTGCAGCGACTTTCAAGAAAATGCAAATCCATGGGTCCATCCCTGGATGTGAAAAAAGTGCTGAGTGAGGGTAGCAAATATTCAAATGAGAACTTTGAAGGCTGAAGTGGAGAAGGGTTCCATGTGAACAGCAATTGGACATGGGTTAGTCGATCCTAAGAGAGAGAGGGATGGATGCTCCGCGCACGCAAGCACTGCTTCGTTCCTCAAAAGGGAATGGGGTTAATCCCCCCCAGCCAGGACGTGGATGCTGTACGGCAACGGGGAGAGCCCTGGGAAGCGTTGTCTTTTCTTCTTAACCGCTTGTGCCCTGGAATCAGATTATCTGGAGATAGGGTTAATGGCGGGTAAAGCACCTTGTCCTCCGAGGTGTCTGGTGCGTTCTCAACTGCCCTTGAAAAGCCGAAGGACAAACTTATTCACACCCCTGTTTCTGCAAGTTTGCTTGAACAACTTCTTGCCCGAAATTGCTTCTTCAGTTCTTTTCCAGGGCAGGAAATCAGCCTAGAACAGCTTGCGGATGCCCTTACAACGCAACCCTCAAGAGGAACACGTCCAGCAATTTGCAGCAAATTGAAAGTTTAACTGGCAGTTTGTTCTGGATTTCTTCCCAGTTGCTTGCCGTAACAGAAAAAGCGTTTTTTTGTCGTGCAAGTTTTTGCAAGTTTGCTCGAGCAAAAGCCTGCCCGAACGGCTTCTTCAGCAGGATGCAGCCTAGAACAGCTTATTGATGCCCCACCGCAAGGAACAAAACATTCAAACTCTGTGTGCCCAAGTTCTGTTCCGGAGCGCGGAGGCTCGTGCTACCCAGAAGCTTATTGAAGCCTCTTACGGACGCAATTTGCAGCAAAATTGAAAGTGTAACTGGCCGTTTGTTCTAAAACATATTACCGGTTGCTTACTGATAGAAAAAGAGCAGTTTTTTGTTGTGCAAGTTTTTGCAAGTTTGCTTGAACAAATTCTTGCCCGAAATGGCTTGTTCAGTTCTTTTCCAGGGCAGAAAATCAGCCTAGAACAGCTTGCTGATGCGCCGGCGGCTCAGCGTTTTTTTTGTCGTGCAGGTTTCTGCAAGTTTACTCCAACAAATTCTTGCCCGATGGCTTCTTCAGTTCTTTTCCAAAGCAGACAATCAGCTTAGAACAGCTTACTGATGCCCCACTTCCCTTAGAACGCAACCCTTACGAGAAACAAAACGTCCAAACTCTGTGTGTCCAAATTCTGTTCTTGAGCGCGCGGCGGCTCGCGCTGCCCGAAAGCTCATTGAAGCCTCTTACGGACGCGAAATTGCAGCAAATTGAAAGTTTAACTGGCCGTTTGTTCTCTTTCCGGTTGCTGCTGTTGAAGAAAGAGCGTTTGTTTTGTCGTGCAAGTTCTTGCCAGTTTGCTCGAACAAATTCTTGCCCGAAATGGCTCCTTGAGTTTTTTCCAAGCGCAGAAAATCAGCCTAGAACAGCTTACTGATGCCCCACCGCAAGGAACAAAACATCCAAACTCTGTGTGCTCAAATTCTGCTCTGGAGTGCGCGGGCTCGTGCTACCCAGAAGCTTATTGAAGCCTCTCACGGAAGCGATTTGCAGCAAAATTGAAAGTGTAACTGGCCGTTTGTTCTAAAACATATTGCCGGTTGCTTCCTGTTAGAAAAAGAGCGTTTTTTTGTTGTGCAAGTTTTTGCAAGTTTGCTTGAACAAATTCTTGCCCGAAATGGCTTGTTCAGTTCTTTTCCAGGGCAGAAAATCAGCCTAGAACAGCTTACTGATGCGCCGCCGCTTCCCTTAAAACGCGACCCTCAAAAAGAACACGTCCAAACTCTGTGCCTAAATTCTGCTCCGGGGTGCGCGGCGGCTCAGCGTTTTTTTTGTCGTGCAAGTTTTTGCAAGTTTACTCCAACAAATTCTTGCCCGATGGCTTCTTCAGTTTTTTTCCAAAGCAGACAATCAGCTTAGAACAGCTTACTGATGCCCCGCTTCCCTTAGAACGCAACCCTTACGAGAAACAAAACGTCCAAACTCTGTGTGTCCAAATTCTGCTCTTGAGCGCGCGGCGGCTCGTGCTGCCCAGAAGCTTATTGAAGCCTCTCACGGAAGCGATTTGCAGCAACATTGAAAGTCTAACTGGCCGTTTGTTCTAAAAAATATTGCCGGTTGCTCACTGATAGGAAAAGAGCGGTTATTTTGTTGTGCAAGTTTTTGCAAGTTTGCTCAATCAAATTCCAGCCTAACATGGCTTCTTCAGTTCTTTTCCAGGGCAGGAAATCAGCCGGATAATCAGCCTAGCACAGCTTGCTGACGCCCCGCCACTTGACTTACAACGCAACCCTCAAGAGGAACAAAGCGTCCACACTCTGTGTGCCTCTTGTAGAAGCAATTTGCAGCAAATTAAAAGCTTAACTGGCCGTTTGTTCTGAATGTCTTGCCTCTGCTTGCTGTTAGAAGAAGCGCAGTTTGTTTGTTGTGCAAGTTTTTGCAAGTTTGCTCAAGCAGCGACCTGCCCGAACGGCTTCTTCAGTCTCTTTTCCAGAGCAGGAAATCAGCCTGGAACGGCTTACTGATGCCCCGCCGCTTCCCTTGTAACGCGACCCTGAAGAGGAACAAAACGTCCAAACTCTGTGCTCAAATTCTGTGCGCGGCGGCTCGCTGGTGTGTTGGCCAACTAACTCTATGAAGTGTCACATTCCGACGACACTAGCAGACAAAATGAGCCACTTTTATTCGTGGCATTTTGTTGAGTAACTCCCATGTCCGAATGTCATTTTGGTGAGTGTGCCCCGAGTCATGTCATTCGTGACTGTCTTCTAAAGCCTTAAACATGCGCGGCACATGCTTTCCGTGACAGCAGCAAACATTGCCCGTCTTGAGGGGAGGGGCAGAAACGAAACCGCAGTCTTGTCACTTATGGCAAGGATGGCTCGGCGCATCAGAGGACTGAACTTTTAGACTGAACTTATGGCACCACAAGCCACTGCAATGCCTGCTCCTACCAAAATGTTCAAGGGAAACACCTCAGGATTTCAATTAGGCCCAAAATAGTTACACATATGGAAAACTGAATCCTAAAAGGAAACCACGTCTTGGGACACTCACAGCTGGAAGCGATCTGGCATGCAAAGGGCGTTTCTCACTCCGCAGGTTGCACCACTACGAACTCCTCCTTGGGATCTGCAGCTGGGCAGTCCTGCACGAAGATCCGGGCTTTCCATGACATGGTGCAACCTCCTTACTTGGCCCACATGGGCTTGTCTGAAAACTCGGGAATCGCAACAACTGTGACTTCCTCGGGTTTCCCCCAAAAACCAACCAAAGGGGGGTCGCTGAAACTTGAAACAGCTATGTAAAGAATCCTATTGGACCTTCAAATGTGACTCTGTAGCGATCAATTGTCCGTAGAACACCCTCCCAAAATAGTTGGCGGACACAAATCCCAACCTAAATGATGTCCACCAGCGGGTCCATATTACCCAAGACCCGAAATCTGACAGCACCCCCGTAAGGACCTGGATTTCGGCTTTGGTCCGACAGGAGCAGTCATTTCCCGAAAGTCTATCCAGAAAGATCCCCCAAGATGCCTCGTCCGACGGCTTGCATCCGTACCAAGACAATGTGCCCTTGGAAATGCAAGTGAGCTTTCATCACGTGCCGGGCTTGGATATGTAGTACGCATGTTCGCAAGCTTTCCAACAAGGCTCCATTAGATCCCAAAGGGCCACACAAAGGCGTGGCACATCCAAGCACGCACACTTTACCGCATGCTCTCACTCACACACACACACACACGGACACACACACACACACACACACACACACACACACACACACACACACACAGACAGACAGACAGACAGACAGACAGACAGACAGACAGACAGACAGACAGACAGACAGACAGACAGACAGACAGACAGACAGACACAGACAGAGACACAGACACAGACAGACACAGACAGACACAGAGACACAGACACAGAGACACAGACACAGAGACACAGA